GGACGGTCATCCCTAATTCAGGCAGAAACTAAGCTGAGTCAGGGAAGCATTGCAGTTTTGATAGGATTTATCCTCCCAGTGGTTCTGCCCTGGTTTTAGACTCTGCGCCTCCCAGGGCGTTTTTGTTTTTGTTTTTTTCCCTCCCAGGGCTTTCAAGCCCGTAGGCCCTGGTACGATTACTGGAGCCCTCCCTCCCAGTGGATCCTGAATGCCGACCCTTGTCTCCCCAGCACCCGAGCGAGAATGCAGAAGGCTCCTCTGATTTGCAGAGGCTTTCTGCTTGGGTCTGTAAGCTCCTGCTCCTCAGCCTTCTGAGTTTAGCACATATTTGAAGGGGAGAACTGGCCGAGGGAAGCTCCCTACTTCCTTCTCCTGGGCTTTTGGCCTGTCAAGTTTGCTTCTCCTGACCAAGAGCTCAGTGGGTTTCTCCATCCCTCAGCAACAGCTCCCTGCCTGGGAAGATTCCAGATTCCCAGCCTCTTTGCCCCGTGCCCAGAATGCAAATGCCTTTGGGGAGAAAGTGCTGTGGAGTGTTGGAATGTTGTCTCCTGTCCGGGCAGCCCCCCCATCTCTGGAATCTTGGCCTGCTGCTCCGCGTGGCTTCAGTAGCTCTTTGATTCTTTCCAACCGATTGTAAGATTTTACCCAGCTTCTCTAGCTGGGCCTGGTGGGAGGGACCTTGCTTGCTGCCAGCCATTCTACTGGCCTGTCCTTTGCCTTCCAGGCTTCGTGCCAACGCCCGGTCTCTACCCCGGAGCCACAGCATCGTCTCCATGTGTAAGACTTTCAAAGGTGAAATCCTCGCTCTATTTTTTAACACGAGAGAATCCGAGGTTCCAATACCAATCTCACCGAGTTACCTGAAATGCTGCCTACCGTCCGTTGGGTGTGTGTGTGTGTGTGTGTGTGTGCACGTATCTATCCGTGGTCACGCTTTGACTTTTCTGCTGATCTCTCTATTCGTGTGTCATTAGCGGACTTTGGAAGTCATTAGAGCTTTATAGCAAGTCTGGTAACTGGTAGGGTACGTTCTTTGCTTTTATTTTTCACAGCTCTCTTTGGAACTCTTGCAAAACTCCACTGAAGAGCCTGTTGGAATATTTTGCTTATTGGAATCGCACTGAATTAACATGGCTAAATTTGGGGAGAACTAAAAATTGTGCAATATTGAATCGAACATCTGCTTTCATAAATATTTTCTTTATCCCTAATTATTTTCTATTTCAGTACTGAGCATCGCTTACTCAACAGATAGAGCCTCTTTTTTTTTTTTTTTTTTTTTAAGGCACAAGGCATGCTGCTAAATGCTCGAAATCACATTCCAGTTGACATCCTCATCAGGACTTCACAACCTTGCTCTTGCTCTTCCCACCCCAGCTGGGACATCTTAATACTTTTCTCCATTTCCAGAGTGTGGAAATTTTCCAGGATAAGGAAACACAGATTCTCAGTGAGGCACATGCCTCCGGTCCCCTCCTGGGTGGTCATTTTTGGGTGTGAGTAGGGGAAACTGTTAAAAAAACACCTGTGGTGTGTGGATATGAGTGTGTGCGGTGGCTGAGGGCTCGGGGGTGTCGCTGGGCGTGATGCCAGGCCCAGTTCTGCTCCCTGCCCACCCAGGCTTTGGCTCATGCCCTGTACTTGTTGACTCCTGGTCGTCGCTGCTCTGGTGCTTCCTCTCCCCCTGCCGACTTTGGCCCACAAGGAAGGTTCTGGTCCGTGTCCAGCCTTCCCTGGGGAGTGTTGAGGGGTCAAACACCAGACCCTGGGCAGGGCTGGGAGTTTATAGCCCGAGATCTGCATTGAACCTGCTGCGGGGTGGGGGGGGGCGTTCCCTCCCTCTGCAAAGAGAGACGACTCCCAAGCCCCTCCTCAGGCCCCTTGTGCTCTTGATCCTGGGGTCCCCAGGAACTCCCCTGGGTGGGCAGTTGGGACAGTGCTGGAAAGGGGTCTTTGGGCAGATTCTCCTGAGGGTGGCAGTGACAGGTGGGAGAGTCTCAAGACCTGTCTCCCAAGCCTTTGCTCGTTGGATGCCTCTGGCGACGGGGGTTCACAGCCGAGTGGGCATCTGAGTTCATTTTACGCGGCAGTTGGTGGAAGCCCCGACTTCGTCTTCACATCAGGCTGCGTTCTGTTTTCTGGGGCTCCGGGCCATTCCTGCAACCGCAGCTCCCTGCCCTGAGCTTGCCCTCCCTGCGTTCCCAGGCCCCTGCCCCCCTGGGTAGCCAGCTGCAGCATCAGGCCGCCAGCCCCCTCAGTGGCCTGTGGGAAGGACCTTTCCAAGTGGCCGGAGCCGCACCGTAATTTTTTTTTTCAGTCAAAAATATTTTATTTATTTTTACATTTCTTATTTATTTATTTTTTAAATTTTTATTTATTTATGATAGTCACACACAGAGAGAGAGGCAGAGACACAGGCAGAGGGAGAAGCAGGCTCCATGCACCAGGACCCCAACGTGGGACTTGATCCCGGGTCTCCAGGATTGTGCCTTGGGCCAAAGGCAGGCGCTAAACCGCTGCGCCACCCAGGGATCCCTATTTTTACATTTTTTAAATTTAAATTCAATTTGCCAACATACAGTATAACACCCGGTGCTCATCCCATCAAGCCGCACTGTAAGTTTGCAGGGAGTTTGTGCTAGCTTTCCTCCGGGTCCCTGGACCTGGGGGGTGGAATCACTTTGGGGTCATCCGCCTCAACCTTGTAATTTCGCAGATGGGTAAACTGAGGCCCAGGGGTCCCGCCACACGGCTGAGATGAAGGCAGAGCCTGGGCTGGGTCCTGCATCCCTGGCCCGCACCTGCTTCTCTGTGACGCGGTTTGCTCCTCCTGGCATGACTTCGATGCGGCCCCAGGACTGCCCGGCACCTGCTGTAGGACATCTGGGCCGGGTCACGGCCTGGTCCCGTCGCTCACGGCTGCCCGCCCCGTCGGTGGGATCTGCTGAGCGAACCATTCCCTCTCCTGCACACCCGGCGGCCGTGTGCTTGCTGGCTCCGGCCGCCCCCAGAGCCCGGGAGGACATTCTGGGTCCCCTCGCCCGCTGCTTTCTGTCCTCCCACGTGCCTCACATGTCCTGGCCAGCTAGCGGACCTGCTGCAGACATGGCTGGGGTGCCGGGCCGGAGGCTCCAGGAGGGGCTGGTCCTGCTCGGTGGCGTCGCTCCAGCGGGACCCCCCCCCCCGCGGCGTGGGCCTTGCTGTCCCTGGGGAGCCGCTTTGTGTTTGCAGCCGTGGGGCCAGCAAGTTCCCCTCCTGCTGCCCCGCACATGCCTCTGCTGCTTTCTCTCCGAGCCCTTGGGCAGGCCCCGGCCTCGGGCCCAGCTCCCCTCCTGCCGTCCTCATGTCACCTGCCCATCAAGGTCGCCACCTGGGGCCCAGCACCGTCCTCCGGGCCTGGACCCGCGTCTCGCTCCCTCCCGCACGCGCCGTGTGCTCCCTCGCTGGTCCTCGGAGCATCTTCTAGCCTCTCCCGGGGTCTCCCTGCTCCTCACTCCCCTCTCACTCCCCGGGGGTCCAGTGGGCCCGGGCTCCAGGCCGAGCCCCACTGCCCTCAGCGGTTTGGAGGCGCTTCTCGAGTCGCCTGGCGTGTGTGCGGGGATGCCCGGGCCCCGCCGACTCTCCAGGCTGGGTCTGTCATGCTCCGGAGGCTCCCAGACTCTTCCGTGGGTGCTGACACGGCACAGTCTGCTTGGGGTGTGACTTTCTAGGGCCGCCAGGCTGGGCGGGGGCCTCTGAGTCTGGAGACTCGTGACAGGCGGTCCTGGGGGGTTTGCTCCAGTTCGCTCTTCAGCGGCTCCTTTTCACAGATCCTCACATTCTTTTCTCTCTCCTTTCATGGAAAATTACTTAATTCCAACCCTTTGGTTTACTTTTAAAGTTGGTGTTTTCGTATTTTTAATTCCCAAGAACTCTCTTATTCATTAAATGGTCCTTTTAAAAATAGCATCGTCCGCCAGTTCGTGGGCGAAATAGCTTTTCTTTCTGAGGATATTCATTATGAGGAATTTAAAAATCATTATCTCCTCTTCCCTGTGCTGTTTCGTGCTGCCGTGTTTGTTTCCGGGTGGTTTTAGCCTCTTTCTTGCTGGACGGCGAGGTCCTGCAGGTGTCCCCAGCCAGGCCCCCTGCACGGGCACCTCAGGTGCACCTTAGGCCCTATCTCTCGAGCAGGTGCCCCACACCTGCCCTCGTCTGGGCCGCGGGCCCCCGGCTGGGCAGGCCTCCAAGGGGGGGGTGTCTCACCCTGTGCCTGGCGGAGGGGGGTCAGGCCTGGGTGTCTGTGGGGGGGCCCAGGGGTCCTCACGGGTGTGACGGGGTGCCGTAACACGGTCCCGCAGACCGGTGGCTTCCAGAACAGATGTACTGCCTGGGGTCTGGAGGCCGAGGGCCTGGGTTGGGAGCACAGGGCGGGCTCCTTTAGAGGCCACGCGGGAGCCTCCGCTCCGGGCCTCCCAGCTCGGCGGCAGCGGCCCACCCTTGCCGCCCTGGGCCTGCAGGAGCATCGCCTGCGCCTCCGCCTCCTTCAGGCACGCTCTCCTGTGTGGCCCTGTCCCCTTGTCCTCTTGCTGCAGCGACACCGTGTTGAGTTAGGGGCGTGCGGCTCCGGCGTGACCTCGTTGTCACCAATCACGTCTGCAAGGGCCCCGTCTCCAAATAAGGTCCCTCTGAGCTCCTGGGGCTTATTAGCATTTTGAGAGGACCTAGTTCGACCCCTGGTGGGGTTCATGCCGGCTTTCCACAAACACGGTTTGGTCCTGCCCGGACGCCGCTTCTGAGGTGCCCAGAGCCTTTCTGGGTCCCCGGGCGGACGGGCTGTTCCTCGCGGGCTGCTGTTCCTGCCTCTGCAGCCGCCCTGCCGGCCCCCGGTCCTCGTGGACGCCCGGATCGCAGGCGGCATGTGCTGGGATTTGGGGAGGGGGAGGCCCAGTCGCCGCCCTGACGTACCTGTTCCGCCTTCCTGGGTGTTGTTTCTAATTCCCGCCTCCCTTTCTCTCAAGGTGTCTCCGCGCCCACTCGGGCTCCCGACGCCGCTGAGGGTGACCCACCAAGGCCGGAGCGATGGCCGGGGCCTCGGTGAAGGTGGCGGTGCGCGTCCGCCCCTTCAATTCCCGGGAGATGAGCCGAGACTCCAAGTGCATCATCCAGATGTCCGGGAGCACCACCAGTGAGTATCGGTTCGTCGGGGTGGCGTGGGCTGCCCGTCGCTTGGGGCCGAGCATCCTGGGTCCCCCAGCCACACCCAGCAGCCGGCCTGGCCCCCAGCTCCCCGTCGCCCGCACGGTTTGTGGGTTCCCTGGGCCGGCAGCAGCAAATGACCACCCGCGCGGGGGCGACGACGGTCTGAAGGCCGGTGTGTGAAGGCTCCGGCAGGGTCGTGCCGCCCCGGAGGTTCTAGAGGAGGCTCCTTCCCGCCTCTTGCGGCTTCTGCTGGTCCAGCCACCTTGGCCTGCGGCCCGCCCCGTCATGTGGCCTTGCCAGGAGGACCCTGGCCACCTGGCAGGCGGGCGGGCGAGGGGCTGGGTGGGTGCTGGACGCTGAGGAGGGCCCCTGGCTGGTGAGCTCTGGTGGCGTCCGTAGCGATGATCGCCGACACCTACGAGGCTGCCTGTTAGCAACTTAGCGTTTAAACAGACTCGAAACACGTAAGAGAAGGGAATAGTGGTCGCTGCACTCAGGAGCCCCCGGCCCAGCGTGACCTCCCTGTACCGTGTGCAGCTACTCCCATCTTCAGAGACCTCGCTTCCGGATCTGTCACCTTCCGAGGCTTAGGATGGGGGGCGTGTGGGGGGCACGCTTTCCGACCCGGTGCGTGAGGTCTCTCACCTGGTTTCAGCTGCCCTATGCTCCTCCGTTGTTTTATCCTTGTCTTTCTGTCTTGCGATCCTAAGTCATCCCCAAATCCCTGAGTGGTAGGAGGCCTCGGTCAGCGTGAGAGGAAGCGCGGCCGTCGGCGCCGAGGGGCAGCCGCCCGGGGTTTCTGGAGCACACGGGCGGCCGGGGCGGGGAGAGCCCTCGCTCTGAGCCGGACCTTGGCTCCTTTGGTTTGAACAACTCTTGTATGAGTTGCGCCTGCGTGTAGACGGGTGGTCAGAGCACGGCGTGTGGCTCGGCGTCCTCATCGTCTGAGCAGCACCCGGACCAAGAAGCAGAGCGGTGCCAGCCCCCGGAGACCCTCCCGCCCCTGCCCCCCCACCCCCCCACCCCCCGTAGGCTGGCGGGGCTTGTTTCGGGCCCCGAGGAAACCGAGCCAGTGTTTGGGTTACATCTCCAGCTGATTGACAGCCTGCACCCTCGCGTGGCAACTTAGAACAAACTCGGGGCTCGGCCAGGCGGTTTGCCCCTGGGGTCCCTCGGGCGGTGGCCGCACTGTCACCCACCCGCAGGCTCAGCTGTGCCCGGCGCCAGGGGCTCACGGGCGCTTCACCCGCAGGCTGCAGGATGGGGCCCGCCTCGCCCACTCCTGGTGCTCTGCGCCCCGCGTAACCCCACCCTGCCTGCGATCCAGGTTCGGAGGGAGGGGCTGGCCGAGGAGGGCGCTTGGGGGGGGCAGCTGCCTCCCAAGGCCTGTGGAGGGGTGAGGATTCAGGCGCCCCTGGAAATTTCTGGGCACCCGTGGACTCTGTGGGATGGGGTGGGGGCTCGGTCTCTTCAGAAGCCCGTGGGGCTCTGTGGCCCTTCACCCCATGTGGGCAGGTGGCGGAGGCCCCACTCAGAGCGTGCTCAGGGGCTGCTGGCTTGGTGTCCCCATGCACATCTGAGGTTTCATCATGGCTCGTAGGAGCACTGTTGTCCCCACTTGGTCCCTGGAAGCTGACCATGACGTGAGGATTGGGGCGCCAAGTGTTTATGGAGGACGTGGTCCCGGGATACTTCGGGGGAAGGACCTGGAAGCTGTGGAGGGCGCTGATGCACGGGTGACCGCCACGGGCAGCGGGGCTCCCCTCGCTGGGACCCTCGCACGTAGAGAATGCACCTCTGAGTCGTCCTCCCCAGGGCCCGGCTGCGGCCAGCGTCTCCCCCAACGGGGGCCGAGGGTCCCGGGGCCTGGTTTCCTTGTGACCGGAGAAGGTGCTCAGGGGGTGTGACTCACGGCCGAGGGTGGGAAGCCATGGGCTGCACAGGACCGTGACCCCTGGTGGGAACCATGGCGTCTCGGGTGAGAACGGTGACCCCTGGATGCAAACCATGACCCAGGGTTTGAACTGTGACCCCTGGTGGCAACTGTGACCCCTGGATCCAAACCATGACCCAGGGTTTGAACTGTAACCCATGGTGGGCAACTGTGACCCCTGGATGCAAACCATGACCCCAGGGTTTGAACTGTGACCCCTGGTGGCAACTGTGACATCTGGTGGCAACTGTGACCCCTGGATGCAAACCATGACCCAGGGGGGGAACTGTGACCTCTGGTGGCAACTGTGACCGCTGGTGGGAGCCGTGACACCTGGTAGGAACTGTGACCCCTGGTGGGAGCCGTGACCCCTGGTGGGAGCCGTGACCCCTGGTGGGAGCTGTGACCCCTGGTGGGAACTGTGACTCCTGCGTACAAACCATGACCCAGGATTGGAACTGTGATCCCTGGTGGGAACCGTGACCTCTGGTGGGAACTAAGACCCCTGGTGGGAACCGTGACCCCTGGTGGGAACTGTGACCTCTGGTGAGAATTGTGATCCCTCGTGGATACCGTGACCTTTGATGGGAACCATGACCTCTTGTGAGAATCTATGATCTTTGGTGAGAATTTTGACCCCTGGTGGGAGCATGACCTCTGGTGGGAACCATGACCCCTGGTGGGACCTCTGTGACCTCTGGTGAGAACTGTGACCCCTGGTAGGAACCATGACCTTTGATAGGAACAATGACCTCTGGTGATAACTATGACCTTCGGTGTGAATTGTGACCGCAGGTGGGAACCGTGACTCCTTGTGGGAGCCGTGACCCCTGGTGGGAGCCGTGACCCCTGGTGAGAAGTGACCCCCGGGTGGGAATCATACCCTCTGCTGGGAGCTGTGACCTTGGGTGGTCAGAGGACATCTGCCCAAGGAGCTGACAGGGTCTGCTCTGTCACTGTTGGGTGACCCAGGACATCAGGAATGACTGGGGGACCCCTGTTCCTTCGGGTCCAGGCCCTGGCAGTGCAGCCATCACCTTAGACGGCCGCTGAGGGTCCTGGCGGGAGGGGGTCACAGGCGACCAAACCTCCAGGAGCCCCCAGAGTACACAGGACAGCACATGAGAGTCAGAACTCGGGAGTGGTCTCGGACAGGAAGCGTCAGGAAGCAGACAGCTGGAGGGGCTGAAAGCCATGGCCCGCCTCTGGCTGAGAGACGCGCTCGGGGACACAGGGAGGGAGAGAAGGGTCAGAGGATGGAGACTCGGGACACTCACTTGGGAAGCTGCATTCATCGTGGAGGAAACAAAGCGGTGATGGTACTGGTAGAAAGTGCCAGAAGCCAGGTCGGAAGCGTGGGTGAAGGCTGAGGGAACCCAGAGGAGAGCAGGAAAGGCTTGTCTGAGGGACGAGGCCAGCGGGCGGGAGGGCGTCCTTCCTGACGACCCTGGGGCGCGGGGCAGGCGGGGGCCCCGAGGTGGACACGCGCGGAGGCAGCCACGTTGTCAGTGTCCGTGGGGCCGGGGAGCAGGCGGGGACGGTGCTGCCCGGGGGGGCTGTGCCAGGCGTCAGGGGCCGCCTGAGGGCTCGGCGGGGAGCCGCTTGCCTGGGGACCGGCCAGGGAGGCTGCGGTCGCTGAACCGCGTGGCTGCCCGGGCCGCGCACCTGCTCATCGGCGCCCAGCGCCAGGCCCGAGGTGGGGTGGGGGGGCCTGGCCCCGCTCCAGTCGCTAAAGTAGGTGCACGCGGGAGATATGCCGGGTCCCCGTGCGCCCCTCGAAGCTCCGTCGTGACACACACATTAGAAGCGTTTACAGGTGACCGTGACCTGCCATCCCGTGTTCTTTGCCTGAACAGAACCCTGCACTCGAACATTCCGGATCTCGAAATTTCGCGAGGCAAATTGTGCACCGCGTCTGCTTCCGTCCGTCCGTCTGTGGGGGGCTAGCGGGTTACTCAGGGGGGCAGAGGTCCCGCGTGTAGCCCCCCGCCCCCGCTTGATGAGAGAGCAGACCTGGAACTTCTGGAAGGGTTTCCTGTCTCCTTTCTGGGTCCCTCTGGCCCCACAGAGAAGAAGCCTCAGGATGGGGCCTTCCTGCCCCCGCCCCGCCCAGCGGGCCCCAGAGGCGAGGCCGGGCCTGGGTCTCCACCCCTCGCGCCCATGGCGGGCCAGGCCTCACCCCGGGGGCCCCCGCGCCGACGGCCGCAGCAGATCACCGCAGGTCATTGTCGCAGAGGCCAGCAGCGTGCCGTCGAGGTGTCCGTGGGGCGGGCCCCTCCTGGCCTGGCCGCGGTGGCTGCCATGGGCCTGCGCTTGGCTCCGTCCTCACCTGGGCCTTTCCCTGTGAGTGTCTGTCTGTCCGCCTCGGGGGGACGCTGCATTTACGGCCCCCCAGCCTGCACGAGCTCGTCCTCACTAATTACGTCCACCAAGAGCGTATTTCCAAAGGTCACGTGCTCAGGTTCCAGGGGGATGTGGATCTGGGGAGGACGCTGCTCGTCCGGGACGGTGCCTCCAGAGCCGGGGTGCAAGGACAAGGCCGCGGAGCCCATGCGCCCAGGGCCTGCCCCCAGCCCCCCTCCTGGACCTGGCCAGCCGGGCCCAGGGTGCTTTCAGGCAGCAGACCACTATTCCGGATGGTTCCCTGGAACATTCCAGACCCTTCTCCTCCGCTCATAGTGGTCTTTCTCCCAAAGGCCCTTGTCACCCAGCAGCCCTGTGCACAGACCCCGGTGTTGCAAACGCCTGACTTACGTAAGTCCCCATCTGCCATCGCTGTTCTAGAATGTTCCAGGCTCCTAATAGAGTGAGCTTGGGAACGGAAGGCCGCAGAAGGGAGCTCGGCTGTGGCTGCAGAGGTGGTGGCGCTGCTGCGGGCCTGCTCATGGTATCAGCAGAGGAGCCCTGGAGGCCACCCAGGGAGCGGGTGCCCCTTGTCACCGGCCAGCTCCCCTGCCGGCCCCATCCAGGGACAGCGGCGGGGCCTGGGGCCGCCTTCTCCCCCAGAAGCCCACCACCCATTAGAGTCCCAACGTGGGTGTTGTGCTCGTGGAGTCGCCGCGTGGCCTCCGTTGCCGTCCCCGTAGTCCCACGGGGATGAGGAGGGTTCCCGAGGCACAGCCGGGACACCGAGGCTCTGTGACGTGTGTCATCACGTGGCCGCGTGGAAAGAGCGCGGTGGACGTGGGGCCCCTTCAGTCGTCAGCAAGCATTTGCTGAGCGCGAGCCTTTATGGGGCTGCACTCTGGGGCCCTAGGATAGCGGGAGGCTCTTGCTGTCGTCAGGGGTGACACTCCAGTGGGGAGGCGGGTGTCGCACACGCCAGTGCCAGGGGCAGCTGGACCAGCGGGGACGAGGGCAGGGCCCTGCGGATTCCAGAAGGGGCGGGGACAGGGGGAGCCACGTCGTCCCCGGTCGGTCGGGAGGAGGTGAGGAGGTGCGCGCTCCCCCGTGGAGGAAGGCCACGCCCGGGTGTCCGAGTGACCCGGAGGCTGTGGCCCCGCTGCGGGCGGGCCCCTCCAGGTCCTGTGAGTGGGGCTGCAGCCTGCTGGGGAGCAGCTCACTTGTGCACACGCCGCTCGCACACGCGTGCACCCACACGCACACGCGTGGCATAAATGCTCTCCCCGGGGCCGGTTTCAAGGTACCAACCGCTTGACAACGGGCTCGGGGCATTCCTCAGCACGTAGCCGCCGGCCTGCGGACGGAGAAAATCGCTCCGTTCAGCCCCGTCCCCCGGGCCCGCTGCACCCCCTGCCCCCTGGCCCCCCTGCCCTATTCAAGCTGGGGTCTTTGTCCCGGGCGGGCGCCCAGGCCTTGCGCACCCTGGGCAGTTTGCAGCGGCCCCAGCTGCCCCCACCGCGGCCTGGCGGGGGCGGGGGGGAGTGTTCCCGTTGCCCCACCCGGCAAGCCCCACGAGGATGCCTCCTCGCCTCCGTCTCATACAGGAGAAGCTCCAGACCCTGGCAAGGAAGCCCTTGCTCTTGCAGACCCGGTTCTGTCCCCCCGCCCGCGGGCCGACTGCAGGGGGCCGTGAGCCAGTCTGCCCGGGGGACGCTTTGGGGGCGGCCGGGAGCCAGGCCCCGTGGACCCCGGTTCTGGTCGGACTGTGTCCGGAGCTGTAATGGCAGGGCAGTTGTCAAGACCCCGGGGGACCCCAAGGGGGCCTGGGGACCGGGGATGTGGGTCTTGAGCACAGAGCCCCTCTGGCGGCCGTCCCTGCCCGCTCGGGTGCCGGAGCCCTGCCTTGGGGGGCGCACAGCCCGAGGCCCCTGGCACGCACCCCAGTATCGGGATGCCAGGAGGCAAGGCCAGCGCCTGAGACCGGGCAGGTGCCAGGCTGGACCAAGCAGGGTGGCCGGGAGGGGCGGGGGGCCAGGCCCGGCCCGGTGCCGCAGGGGCGCAGCTCGGGAGGCCCTGGGATTGTCGTTTCCCTGGCGCTGGCATGATCCGCACTGGGGGTTCCGGGCGCCGCCACCCCGACCCGCAAGCTGCTCCGGGCCCCGAGCACAGCACTCGGGTGGTCATCCCTTGCCCCTTCCCCGGGCCTCCCCAGGCTGCCGGGCCATCTCCCAGGACTCCCCACACCGGGGGGCTGGGTCCCAAAGCCAAGTTGTGCGAGGGGTGCCTCAGGCCGGCACAGGGCTGGTTGCGGGGGGCGGAAGGGGGTGTGCACAGGGCAGCGCCACGGGGCCCACAACAGCAAACCTGGAGGCAAGGTGCCCGCGGGCGGGAGGAGCGAGCTGGATGCTGCGTGGTGGACGCCCCTGGGGGACAGCTGGCGCCGCCCGCTGCACACGGGCTCCACCCGGGAAGGTGGGGGCATGACCGTGCGGGGACGCCCCAGCCTCCTGGGTGCCCTGGGAGAGCGTGTGCAGAACAGACGGGGGAAGGCCCGGCGGCGCGGTGGACGGCTGCGGTCCGGCGGACCCAGTGTCTGCAGGGGGGAAGCACTGTGGGTGCCCTCGGGGTGGCTGTGGGTGGCAGGGTCGCTGGACAGAGGCGTGGGAGCCCTGGTCCCGTCCGCCGGGGGGTGGCTGGCCTGGGCCCCCCGCCTCCCGCCTCAGGGTACCCCGGGGGCGTGTACCGCCTGCTGCCGCCTCTCCCCCCAGCAGAGCGCTCACTGCCACGTGTGTCCCCTCCGCAGCCATCGTTAACCCCAAACAGCCCAAGGAGACACCCAAGAGCTTCAGCTTCGACTACTCCTACTGGTCACACACCTCGGTGAGTGCAGGGCTGGGGCTCGCGGGGGTGGGTGCTCGCTGGGTGGCCCCCCACCTGTCCCTTACCTCTCTGAGCTGCGTGTGTCTCTCTAAGCAGGGCTGCTGCTTGGGCAGGGGAGGGGGGCGGGTGCGAGGCTGTTCCCCGCGTCCCCTCGTGTGTGACAGCCGGGTCACCCTGAGCGGGGACGTGCGTCGTCGGGAAACGCCTGGGGCCCAAAATAACCCTGTGCTCGGAGGTCACCCGCGTGGCCTGGTCGCCTGTCCCGGGGCTCCGGGTGCCTCCAGCCCCGCCTACCGGCCCGCGCTTCCGGCTGCCCCCCACCACCGACGCCGTGGCTCGAGCGCGGGGTCTCACGCTGCCGCCTCTGCGCCCTGGCACGTGCGGTCCCCGTGCTGACTTGCCCCGTGCCCCCGAGCCGGCGGGGCTGGGACCCCCCTGCGGGGAGCGTGCTCGTGCCCAGCCCGGGCGCGCCCAGCCTCCTGCAGCCGCGTCGTCTTCCAGCCCGAGGACATCAACTACGCGTCGCAGAAGCAGGTGTACCGCGACATCGGCGAGGAGATGCTGCAGCACGCCTTCGAGGGCTACAACGTGTGCATCTTCGCCTACGGGCAGACCGGGGCCGGCAAGTCCTACACCATGATGGGCAAGCAGGAGAAGGACCAGCAGGGCATCATCCCGCAGGCACGGCCGGCGCCCGGGGCGGGGCCCCGCGGGGGGGGCAGGAGCCCTGCGGGGGGTTCCTGGGCAGGGAGAGATGCCCGCCGTCGTCACCGCGGGTGGAGACACGTGCCTGGGATGCTGCTGGGACCCCCTCACCCAGCCTGACACCCCCCCCCACCTCGCACACAAGGGCGGCCCAGAGCGGGGAGGGAAGGACCAGCTGTCGTCTGGGGGGGGACCTCCGTGACTTGACAGCAGACAGCTGCTCTCGGCTGCAGGCCTTCTCAGTGCCTTTGAGAGGGACTGTTGGGGAGCCACGGGGGCCCGGGGAGGGCGTCCAGCCCCAGCTCAGGCTGCCCGCAGCACCCCGGGAGCAGGGCCCCAGGAGCAGCCCCATCGTCCAATGCGGTGTCCTTGGCCCTGCAGCTCTGCGAGGACCTGTTTTCCCGTATCAATGACACGACCAATGACAACATGTCCTACTCTGTAGAGGTAGGTGGGGCCCGGACGGCAAGGGGAGGTTGGGGGGAGGGGGGGAGGGGGGGAGGGAGGGGAGTGGGGGGTGGGGGGAGGGGGGAGGGGGAGGGGGTAGTGGGGGGGCCCACCCAGACGTGGACAGCGATGCTTGTGGGCAGAGGGGGCCCCGGGGCGTCCGCATGCACTGGGCTGGGCTGGCTGTGCAGGGGGCAGGGCCGGCAGGACACGGGCTGGCACCCACCTCGCACAATCACACAGGCTGGGGGGTTCCTGCGCGCCTTCCCCAGCCTCGCCCCTGCCCCAGGTCCCTGCTGTCGGCCTGCCCCCCCTGACGGTGGCCCCTTGCCCCACCCCAGGTCCCCACTGTCGGCCCCGTTGCCCCCCCGACTGGTGGCCCCGCACTCCCTTCGCCCGCATGGTCCGCACCCGCGTCCCTGACAGCCCCATCCCCCCCGATGGTGGCCCCTCGCCCCACCTCAGGTCCCTGATGGTGCCTCTGCCCTGCAGGTCAGCTACATGGAGATTTACTGTGAGCGAGTCCGTGACCTCCTGAACCCCAAGAACAAAGGGAACCTGCGCGTGCGAGAGCATCCGCTGCTGGGGCCCTACGTGGAGGACCTCTCCAAGCTGGCCGTCACCTCCTACAATGACATCCAGGACCTCATGGACTCAGGGAACAAGGCCAGGTGCGTGCCCACTGGCTCGGCGGCCTCCCGGTTCCCCCGGGGCTGTGTGAGCCTCCCAACCTGGGGAGGTGCCAGCCGGGGAGGGGCCTCGAGCACCCCGCCCTGTCTAGCGGAGCACTGTCGCTTAGGCGGGGGCGGCTCCTCTAGGGGTCGTTGTGCCCTGGGGGTACCAGGGGCGTCTCTGGTGGCTCCCGGGGACCTTCCCTGTGGGCTCGGTCGGAGGCCCAGCCGTGCCGCCTCCGAGGACGAGTAGCCCTGTGGACAGGCCCAGGCAGGGCACCTGGGGAGGGTCAGCCGTGGGGGTGGGCCCTGGGGGGGTCACGGCAGCTGCCCCCCTTCCCGCCACCCAGGGCCCCGGGAGGGTGAGGGCCCTGCGCGTGCTGCCGCAGGTGCACGGTTACCACATGGTAGACAGCTGGGGCACCGACGTCCACGACCTGGGCCAGCACCATCAGCCGTCCTCACGCCCCGCCGCAGGGTGACGGTGACCCCGTGTGCCTTGTCCCCCCAGGACCGTGGCCGCCACGAACATGAATGAAACCAGCAGCCGCTCCCACGCCGTCTTCAACATCATCTTCACCCAGAAGCGCCACGACGCGGAGACCAACATCACCACGGAGAAGGTGGGTGTGGCCTCGGCACAGGGGCCACCTGGGTGGGATCAGGGGTCCGGGGTCAGGCCCACCCGGGGAGCGAGGAGGCCCAGGCAGCCGCCAGCCCGCCAGGCATGCACCGTGCCCTCAGCCCGGGTGCCGGCACCTACCGCCCCACCCGGCTTGGGCCTTCACCGGGCGTTTGGCCCCCACCCCTGGGTGCAGGAGGGGCTGGGAGTGGGGGGCGCCGCGACCTGGCGCTTGCCCCCGTCGGCCTCCTGCCAGGTAGTTCTGGTGGAGTCGGGCCGAGAGGCTGGCCGAGGAGGCTGGGACCCGAGGAGGCGGGGGCCGAGGGCCGTGCCGTCCCAGGGGTGGCCGCGGCCGTGGCCGGCTGGCAGGAGGGCCCCCGGCCTCCACGAGCACAAAGCCGGGGCTGTGCCGCCCGCCCCACCCCAGCCCGGGTGCCTTTCCCACGTGCCTCAGTGGCCTCAGTGGCGCGGGGGTGGCTGTGTCCAGTGATGCAGCACGGGTGCTCCCGGAGGGTGGTGGGGCAGGCTCAGGGCCTCGTGTGTCACCGGTGCCTCTGGCCGTCGGTGTCCGGGTGTCTCTGTGTCATGCCCCTGAGGTGCCGGCCGGGCCTCGTCCTGGGGGCAGCAGAGCGCGTGGGGAGGTCACCCGCCCTGAGACCCAGGCACGTGGTCGGCTCGGCCTGGGACCGTCCTCCCAGATCACAGGGGCCCAGGGGCTCCAGGGGGACCAAGCGGGGGCCTCCTGCCGCGACTGTCCCCCTGCCCTGGGCCCCGGGCAACGTCCTGCGTGCAGTGGCCATGGCGCAGGAGGGTACGCAGCCATCCCCGGGCCCCGGTGGCGTTGGGGGCCCCGTCCAATCGCCGGGTCCCCGTGGGCAGCTGAGCCGCGGCCGGCGCGCAGGAACTGGGTTCACGACGCACCGGCTGTTTTAGGGGCGCGGGGGGTGCGGCCTGGGGTGGGGCTTGAACCTAAGGCAGTGGCGGACGAGCCGCGAGGAGGATGCCGCGAGGGAGGCCGCGGTCCGAGGCCCTGAGGCCCGGGGAGGGTGCGGTGCCTCAGGGGAGCGCGCCAGGGCGAGCTCGGGGAGGGGGGAGCCCCACGGTGGCCCGGGGCCCGTCCCACGGTGTGACACGCCTGCCGTTTCAGGTGAGCAAGATCAGCCTGGTGGACCTGGCGGGCAGCGAGCGGGCTGACTCCACGGGTGCCAAGGGCACGCGTCTCAAGGTGGGCCCCCGACGGGCACGTGGCGGACCCCCCTCGGCGTTCAGGGTCGCCTCCGGGTGGTGGCTGCAGGGTGGGCGGGGGAGGCCGCGCCCCGACACCAGGGGGCCAAGGACGGGTGGGGTGGGGTGGGGTGGGGTGGGGGGGTGGGGTGAGGGCGTGGCCCCACGGGGACCGGCCGCCGGGCGGGTCACAGGGACACAGGCGGCGGGTCACACGGGGCACGGTGTGAGGACGGAGCCCCTGTGCCCCCCTCCCCGCGGTGCCCACGCGGGCGGCGGGCGCGGTGGCACCGGGCTCCCGGGAGCGGGCCGAGGGCCTGACTGCCTTCTCCGCACAGGAGGGCGCCAACATCAACAAGTCCTTGACCACGCTGGGGAAGGTCATCTCCGCCCTGGCCGAGATGGTGAGCCCCTTGGTCCTGGAACCGGGCGCGGCCGCGGGGCGCCTGCCTGTCGAGGTGCCGGGCCCTGGGGGAGGGCGCGCGGCTCGCCGGGCCCCCGCACCCCGCACCCCCTCGCCCGCCTCCGCTCGGCCCCTCAGACGCCCTCTGCTCTCTTGCAGGACTCCGGGCCCAACAAGGTAAGCGGCTCTTCGGCCCCGGGGGAGGAGCGGGCGCGAGCGCCGAGCGCCTTCGGCTGCAGTCGGTCCGCGAAGGCCTCGGCAGCGACACTCGCCTCGGCCCGGGCGCCTCGCGGCCCTCCTGAGCCCGCTCGGGGCTGGGCTGTGCTCGGACGACGCAGGCTCCGGGCCGCGGAAGCAGCACCAGCGTCCTGAGCCGGTATAAATCCCCTACAGGCGAAGGCAAAGAAGGGCCGCGCGCGAGCCCCACGCGGGACGCTCCGGTCCGCGAGGGCGGGTCGCTGCAGGGCTGAGCGCCGGCGGGCAAAGCCCAGGCTGAGGCGCCCAAGGGGCAAAGTGCCGCTTTGCGTGAGGCGTTGAGGAGGAGGAAACGCGCGGGACGTGCGGTCGAGGATGGGGCGCTGTGTGGGGGGACGCGGCAGCGCGACGCGGGCTCTGAGAGCGACTGCCCGTAGGGACGGGGTGGATGTCTGCGAGGGGCTGCGTGATTGCTTCTGTGAGGAACCGGATGGGACGTGTGTGTGGAACCGCGGCCAGCGTGAGGCGTCGTGGCAGAACCGGGAAACCGAGGGACTGTGCGAGGAGGGACCCGGATCGGTGAGCGGCAGGTGGGGGAGTCCCGTGAGGGAGCTTGAGGAGCCGTGTGGGCCGCTGCCAAACCCTGTGCACAGGACTTCGGGAGGGAGCGTGAGAATCGGCCAGACGCACCGGTGACTAATGGACGGTAACGCGGACCGTAGGGAGTTGAGGTCACGTCCGCGTTTGAGGATTCGGATGTGACGAAACGTGTGTGCGACCGGATGGAGACTTACGCGCGAGTAAACGTGCGCGCCGCGGGAGGGGCTGGGCAATGGCGTGCGGAGCTAAGCGGGGGACTGCGAGGGGATCGAGGAACTATGCAGAGAGTGAAGCGGAGCACGCGGAGACTGAGGAAATGTGACAGGAAGTGCACGACACGGTGTGGGAACGGCGCGTGGGCCCCGCGCAGCCGGACGGCAGCTAGGCGGCAGCTGTGTGAGGGATTGTGAGGAACCGCGACCGTGTGGGCAGTCGGGCAACGGTGCGGGAAGTACGAGGGAACCGTGTGCGCGGGGAGCCTTGAGGAGCTGTGTGCGGACCTGCGGAAGACGGAGCCGCTCCGTGAGGAGCCGAGCGGAGGGCTGTTTAGGGCAAGCACGAGGGACTGGTACGGGGAAACGTGCAGGAGCTCTGGGGTTGTGTCGAGTGCTGTGAGGAACTGTGTGGGACGTGCGAGGAACCACACTGACGGGAGGGGAAGCCTGTGAAACGCGGTGGGCCCCTGCATGAGAACCTGGAGGAGCTCTGTGTGGGACTGTGGAAAACTGGCGACTGCACGGACGGGAGGAATCGTGAGCGACTGTGGGGACGTATGTGAGAGAGCACCGTGGACTCACCCGAGGAGCCTGTGGGGACTGTGAGGAACTACGAGAAAAACTGTGCGACGAACTGAGGAACCGAGACGCTGTATGAAGAAATGTGTCAAGAACTATGGGAAAATGTGAGGAACTCTTCCGGGACCTGTAAAGGAACTGCTTGGGAACACTGTGAAGCAACTATCCGTGAAGTGTGTTATGGAGCGTGTAGGGAACCGTGTGAGAGGTTGTGTGGAACCTCGAGAGCAAGCGTGTGGAACTATGTGAGGGAACTGTGGCGAACTGTACGTGACTGTGAGGAACTGGGTGTGAAACTGTGTAGGAAGTGGGGGCTTCTGTATGGGGAACTGGGGAAGTGTGGGACTGGGAGGAACCGTGAGAACTCTGAGGGGCTGCGAGAAGCCTTGTTCATGACTGTGGCCTCCGAAGAACTGTTGAAACGTAGGAGAAAATTTGTGGACTAGAGCATAGAACTGTGTGAGGGATTGTGAAAGGAACTTCGTGAGGAACTTAGGAACTATGATGGAATTTTGAGAAACTGAGGAATTATGAGATACCATTGGGAACCTGTGAGAACTGTGAGTCGTGAGTCGTGCTTGGTGGAATTGTGAGAGGAAGTAGGTGAATGGTTGGGACACAGTTGTGTGAGGAACTGTGAGAAGCAATTTGAGAAAATACATGAGGAACCACATGATTCTGAGGATTTCCGTGAAGAATTGTGAGGAACTGGGGATCCCTGGGTGGCACAGTGGTTTGGCGCCTGCCTTTGGCCCAGGGCATGATCCCTGAGTCCTGGGATCGAGTCCCACGTCGGGCTCCCGGTGCGTGGAGCCTGCTTCTCCCTCTGCCTGTGTCTCTGCCTCTCTCTCTCTCTGTGTGCATGACTATCATGAATAAATTTAAAAAAAATTAAAAAAAAGAATTGTGAGGAACGGTGTGAGGAACTGTAAGTGAAGAATCACGAGGCACTTTGCATAACTATAAGAAGTGTGTGAAACGGTGTGGGAGGACTGTGTGGGAATTGTGTGAGTGACTATTAAGGAAATTTTTGGGGAGCTATGAGGAACTCTGGAATGATTAGGGGGCTACATGGAGAACTCTGGTAAACTTTGTGGGGAAGTTTGAAGAACTGAGTAGAACTGTGAGGATGTGAGAGAAACTATGACAAATTATGTGGAGAACTATGAGGAAATATACATGAGCTCTATGAGAAACCGTGTGGAACCGTGAGAGGAAGCGTGTGTGGGAAAGTACAGGGGCTGTGAGGGAACCAAACGTATGGGAAACCTTGTGAGGGACAGTCCACAGTCCCTCCCACAATTCTCCTCAGTTACTTACCGAGTTCCCCACACAGCCTCAGTGCAGTTCTTCACACTGTTCCCGACAGTTTTACACGCACAGTTTCCGTGTAGTGGAAAAAGGAATGTGTTTAAGGAACTGTGAGAAATTTTTTTTTGGGGGGGGGGAAATGCATGCAGAACTGTGTAACAGACTGTGTCAGGGATTTGTGTGGAAAATTGTAAGAAACTCCGAGGGAATGTGGTGGAAGCGTGTGGAAAATTGTGTAGGATCTGTGTGAGAAGCGTGTGTGTGTGTGTGTGTGTGTGTGTGTGGACTGTTGGGAACTGAGGAATGGTGTGAACTATGAGAAACCATGTGGAACTGTGAGAAGCTGTGAAGAATTGGGAGGAACTACATGTGGATTTTGTGGGACTGTGGGAGGAAGTGTGAAAAATTGTGTGGGGAGCTGTGTGAGGAACTACGAGAGGATCTGAGATGGAAACTACGTAAGGCGCCACATGAATTCTGTGGAGAACTGTGAGGAACTGTAAGGAAGCAGATGTAGGCCGTATGAAGAATTGTGAGGAGCTCCGTGTGCACTGTGCAAGGACACACGTGGAATGGTGTGGGGGGACTAAGCGCATAACCATGTGAAGAAACCGAGAAACTGTGAAGAATTAAGGATTGTGGGGATCCCTGGGTGGCGCAGCGGTTTAGCGCCTGCCTTTGGCCCAGGGCCCGATCCTGGAGACCCGGGATCGAATCCCACGTCGGGCTCCCGGTGCATGGAGCCTGCTTCTCCCTCTGCCTGTGTCTCTGCCTCTCTCTCTGTCTCTCTCTCTGTGTGATTATCATAAATAAATAAAAAAAAATTAAAAAAAAAAGAATTAAGGATTGTGTGCGGAACCGTTTACGGAACCACAGAGAGAAGCAAGCATGGAACTGTGAGGGGTGGTGTGGCGACGGATTATGCCAGGAACTGAGAAGAATGGTGTGAGGACCTGAAAGGAGCTTTGTGAGAAACCATGTCAGGAACTGTGAGAAGAGCCGTTTGACAAGCTGTACGTGGAGCTGCGTAGAGTTGTGCGGTACCGTGTGTGGAATCGTGTAAGGATCTGTGTGAGGAAATGCGGGGCGAGTGCGAGGAACTGGGTGAGAAACTGAGGAACCGTTGGGGAGGACGTGCGTGAACTGTGAGGAACTATGTGGGGCTGTGGGCGGAAGTGTGCGACGCGGTGCGGGGACCGTGTGGGAGAGCTGAGGACGTCTTTGGGAACCGCAGGACTGTGTGGGATTGTGGGTGGGGTGTGAGGAGCTGCAGCGGGACTGTGGGGAACTGTAAGAAACAGAATTGTGGGAGGGATCGTGGGGTGGGGAGCTAGGTTGGAGCTGTGAGAAGCTCTTTGGGGAAATGGGTGAAGAACTGTGAAGGGCTGGGTCGGGGGCTATAAAGGATCGTGTGGAACTGCGTGAGGAGTTCCGGAGGGATCTGTGTGGGGATGTAGGTGCAACTATGGGAAGAACTAAGTAAGGCACCGGGAGAGGGAATGTGTCACGAAGTGTGGGTGGGACGCAGCGTGTGACGGATCGTGCAGAATTGTGTGAGGGCCCGGAACTGTGCGGGGAGCTGCGGGGAGCGCGTGAGGGAGTGAGGGGGGGACTGTGAGGTAATGTGTGAGGCACCGTGGGAGCTGTGCCGAGTGGCGCGGGGCAGGTTGCGATAGAAGCTTTTTTGGAAAAAAAAAAGACTTTTTCGGGAATTGAGTGAGGAAGTGTTTGAGGACCAGGGCCTGGAGCAGGGGCCTGGGGCACACAGACGCAGAGGCCGGAGACGGCGGCGGCCTGGCCGGAGGTCTGCGGTCTCATGTCACGCGTGGCCGATTGTGGCCCAGCGGGGAGCGGCGCTGGGTTATCAGCGGGACTCGCCGCCTCACTTCACCTGTTGCTCAGGCCGCTGCACGAGGGGCCGAGGGGGATGGGGTGGCCTGTGGCAGGCGGGAGAATGGAAGTCAGCGCTGGGAGGCCCGGCGTGAGGGGACGGAGGCTGGAGCACGAGCGCGGGGCTGCCGGCGTGGAAAGAGCGGCGGCCCCGCAGGTGGCTGGCCCTGGTCCTCGCGGAAGGGGCCGCGTGGTCGCGGGGCTTTACCATGGCAACGCGGCGTGTGACGGGGGCGGGCACGAGTCAGCCTCGGGAATTAAACAGAAACAAGGTAGAAACGCAGCGTGCGCGCGCCAAGTCCCGGGGAGGACAAAGGCGTCGCCCCGGGAGCTGCGGGGAGGCCCGCGAGGCCGGGCAGCCCCTGGGAAGGCCGCCGAGCGGCTCCTGAGCTCCCCTGAACTGAGGCGGAGGGGATCCCCGGGTGGCGCAGCGGTTTGGCGCCTGCCTTCAGCCCGGGGCGCGGTCCTGGAGACCCGGGATCGAGTCCCACGTCGGGCTCCCGGTGCATGGAGCCTGCGTCTCCCTCTGCCTGTGTCTCTGCCTCTCTCTCTCTCTCTCTCTCTCTCTCTCTCTCTCTGTGACTATCATAAATAAATAAAAATTAAAAAAAATAATTAAAAAAAGAAAAAAAAAAGAACTGAGGCGGAGGATCAAGGATGAGCTGATGAGCTCGTGCCTGGCGTGGGGGTGCCCGGGGGGGCCGGGGCCGCGCGTGTCCGCAGGGGCCTTGGAGCAGCGGCCCGAGGCAGGAGGCGCTGGAGAGGAGGGCACGGCCAGGGCCTCTGCGCCCGCGAGTCGAGCCGTCCAAGCCGTAGCTCGCAGCAGCCCGTGGGCGGCGGAGCCCACGCTCCCCTGAGCCGCCTTTGCCTCGCTGGAGGAACACGCCGCCGCGGGAGGCCGGGGCTGTGGAGGACGCCTCGTCCCCAGGGTCCGCGGCGGGTCACCTCCGTGCGCAGGGAGAGAGGCCGGGGCGCCGCCGAGGGCGCTGGCGCCTTTCCCGACCGTCCTGCGTGAGGGGCGGCGGGCTCAGGTCGGGCTCAGGTCGGTCCTTCTGAGGGAGCGGAGGGAGGCCTGCGGCTGCGGCCGGCGTGTGGCCCAGGGGCACGGCGGGAGGACTGGGGAGGCGCCTGAGGGCGTGTGACAGAAGCGGGCTTCCGGCGCTGGACGCGGGCACCTGGGGCAGCGCCCTGGGGTTTGGGGGGAGGCCTGAGGCCCGGCGCCCTGCCTGCAGCAGCGCTTGGCTCCGGGGACCCTGTGCTTTGCCTCCCCCTCCGCCCCCCCTCCAGTGGGCTCAGGGTTGACCTGGAATGTTCTTCCCCACAGAACAAGAAAAAGAAGAAGACCGATTTCATTCCCTACAGAGACTCCGTGCTGACCTGGCTCCTCCGGGAAAATCTGGGTGAGGGCTCTGGGCCCCCGCGATCCCCGGGGTTCCGACTTCCGCCCCGGGCCCACGGCCTGCCACCTCCTGGGAAGGGGCCTTCCGCCGCCAGGGGGCCCCTCACCGTCCTGGGCCGAGGCTGACGCAAACCAGGGGATCCTTCCGGAAGGCCTGGGCTGGCCGCCGGCGAAGGGCTAAGGGGAGCAAGTGCGGGGAAGCAGGATGCCCCCCCGACACCTCTGTGGGTGCCCCCGCTTCACGCCCCTGACGCCCAGAGCAAGTGTGCACCCCTCGCTGGGACCCCGTGGTTCGGGGAGCCCTGCCTGCTTGCGGGTGTTTTGGGAGACGCCATATGTCACCCCTTCTCCCTGACACAGGGATGGAGACTCAAGCGTCCCACTCCTGATCCCCTTTCCTCCCAAAAATAGCCTTGGGGGTCTTCCCTGGCCGTGTCCACAGCTTGGGAGGCTGACGCCCAGGAAGGTAAACTGAGTCTTGGGCTGACCCGGTGAATGTAGGCAGCTGGGCCCTACACAGCCGTCCTCGGCCTCGTGGCTACGGCCTGGGAGCCCCGCTGGCCAAGCCGGCGCCCCGGAACCATGGCCGCGGGACACACGTCCCTGAGTCACGGAGAGGCCGGCGGGCCACCCCTGAGCACCGCCAGGCCGCTGACCGTTCTGAGCCCTCGAGTGATCCGGCGGCATCGGAGCCGAAGCCGGACGTCCACTGCCTCGCACAGGGCAGGGCGCCACCCGACGCCGCGCTCCGCGCTGCCCCGGGCCAGGACACAGACACGAAATATTCAGAAAAATGTTCTAAATGAGAAAGATGAAAATGAAAGAAGTCGTTGCATCCTGCGTCGGCCTGGATGCTGAAGCTCTAAAGCAAGTAGCAGACGCCGTGAGCTTCGCCGCGGCTCCCCTCTTCCTGGTGGGGCGGCCTGGCTGGTGGAGAAGAGCCCCACGTGAGAAAAGCACGCGGCCCGAGGAGAATAACCGAGGCGCCCGCTGCAGCGGGGAAGCCAGAACCCCGTGCACACGTTGGCCCGTGACTCGGTTTACCTGTCTGGGCCTCGGCCTCCCCAGCTGCGCGGGTAGGAGGGGACAGGGGAGAGAGGAGCCCGCATGACGCGGCCTTCTTCCCGCAGGCGGGAACTCGAGGACGGCGATGGTGGCGGCCCTGAGCCCCGCGGACATCAACTACGACGAGACGCTGAGCACGCTGAGGTGAGGCCTGGCTCCAGGAGGGCGTGGTCCCCTCTCTGCCCGCGTCAGGAGCGCCGCTTGGCGGTGGGGGTGCGGCCACCTCAGCTGGGCGGCTCCTCGAGGCTCCAGGGGTCTCCTTCACGGCCCCGTCCATTCCCGGCACCCGAGGGACCCCAGCGGCCCCGGACGCCTGCGGTTGCAAACCAGATCCTTCCCGAGCAAAGGGCAGGGGGCGTCCCGACGGTCCCCGTGGCTGTGCGTTGGGCGGCCGGGCCGGGGAACCTGGAGCTGGCCCTGCAGGAGGCCGTATGTCGCCCCGGGTCACACGCCACCAGTGGAAAAGCAGTGGGGTCCCCGTGTGGGTCCCCGTGCACACATGCACACGAAGCCGTAACATTTAGGAGTGCAGGCTACACTCGCCACTGTCACCCTGGGTCCCCCTCTGGTCACACGTGCTCTCCCCACCCCGGACCACAGGTCCAGGTGCAAAGGCCCCCCCCAGGGGGAGAGGTGCCACCCCATCCCTGCTCCTCCTGGGGACTCGGTTCCCCCAAGCGGGGGGGCAGCCCTGGCTGACCCACCTGTAGGTCTCTGGCCGTTGGCCTCCTGACTCCAAGTGGGGCGACCTGCCCCCCCCCACTGTACCACACCCCGGGGCCCCCCCTCTTCACCGCGGCTCTGCCCCGGGCCCCTTTGGGCCTGCCGGGCACGGGCACAGCCCACGCTCCCTTGGCCGCCAGGTACGCCGACCGGGCCAAGCAGATCCGCTGTAACGCCGTCATCAACGAGGACCCCAACAACAAGCTGATCCGTGAGCTCAAGGATGAGGTGACCCGGCTGCGGGACCTGCTGTATGCCCAGGGTCTCGGGGACATCACCGACAGTGAGTGTCTGTGCCCGCCTGTCCCGGGTCCTGGGCAGGCAGCTCCTCGGGGCCCCGGTCGGGCTGCCCCACGGCCGTGCCGCCCGTGCCCTAGCCCTGCTCCAAGTCCCCGGGCGAGCCACCTCGGGTGGGAGGCTGGGGTTTCCGGCCTCGGCCTGGGTGGACTGCATGGTGTGGGATTGGCGCTGGCCCAGGCAGGCCGCGACGGTTCCCTGGAGGCCACACCGGCGTGCCGTGGGTGCTGGGGTTGCGGTGGTCCCTGAGTGGCCGCCCAGGACCCCCGCCCCCAGCCTGGTGGCCGCCTGCAGCGGGGGGCCTCGGACCCTCTGGAGACAAACCTGTTCTTCTGTTTCTCTGTCTCTCCTCCTCCCCCACGCCTCCCCTCCCCGTAGCCAACACTGTGCCCGGAGGACCCAAATGTGTGTATCCCCCTTGCTCTCCGCTTCCTGCTTCTGTCCCTGCTCCGCGGGGTGTAGGGCAGCACGGCGGGAGGGGCCTGCCCAGCCCCCCTCTGCCGTCCCCCCTTCCGGGGGCTGGGGCTATAGCTCTCTTGCTCAGGCACCTGATGTGCAGGCGTCGCGCCCCGCGCCCCCGGTTCGGCCCCGTCCGTGTGGCCATCAGGCCAAGGGGCCCTCGCGGGCTAGGAGTGGCTGAGCTCGGCCCGTTGAGCGCCCTGTGCCCCCAGAGGCCGGGGCAGCTCGGGAGGGCGCAGGGGCGCGGGGAGGGCCGGGTCTGCCCCTCCGGCTCCCGGCCCCACACCCCGAAGCCCCCGGCTCCAGAAAGGCCACCAGAGCCCCAGCCCACGTCTCCCTCTGGCCTCGGCCCGCAGGGTGGCGCCTCCCTGAGCCCGGGGCCGCGGGGTGCCCCATTCTGTCCTGTTCTGCCCCGGCACCCCGTGCTGTCCTGTTTGCCGCTGCTCTGCTGTGTGTCTGCTTCTGCCAGGGGGTCTGGGCACCTTCCGCTAACCAGGGGGTGTCCTCGCCTCAAATCCCAGCCTTAGGGGGGCACGGAGCCCCGGGGCGGCCCAGAGCAGGCTCTTTGGGGTGGGGGCTCCCTTGGGGGTCCCCTGTTCTCCTGTCCACCAGGGTGTTCTTGGGGCCCATTCTGTGCCCGGTGGGGCCGGACAGCTAGTGTGGCGCGGTCCCCGCACCTTGGGGGCACAGGGCGGGCGCAGAGAGGATGACGGGTGCCAGGGCCCTGGGTGCAGGAAGGCCACAGGGCGGTGACAGCAAAGGCGAGGGGCGGGGTGGGGGCACAGGGAGGCCACTCCCGGGCACGGGGGGCAAGGAGGCCGCAGGCCCAGGCGGGGCGGGGGGGGGGTAGAGAGGAGCTTGAGGGGTGCCCTGCTGCGCCGGGTGCTGGGGGCTCTGGGGCGGGGTCCCCCGGCCGGGAGGTGGCCGGCAGCCTTGCATGTGCTTGTCCGCGCGGCCCCGCGCCGCACCTGCTGGGGCTCCTGCTTCCGCCTCTCTCCACCCACCTCTTGCTCTTTCCCAACTCGTCTTTCTTTTCTCTCCCTCCCGTGTGTCTGCGCCCCCCCTTCCTCCCGTAGACGTGTCCGACCTTGAGAACAATAACCGTAACCGTGGCGGGGCGGAGCTGAGTCCAGCCCCTGACAATCTCTCCACAGTGACCAACGCCCTGGTGGGCATGAGCCCCTCGTCCTCGCTCTCGGCCCTGTCCAGCCGCGCCGCCTCCGTGTCCAGCCTGCACGAGCGCATCTTGTTTGCCCCGGGCAGCGAGGAGGCCATCGAAAGGCTGAAGGTGAAGGCGGGGACGCCACCTGCTGGGGGGCCTGGACCGAGGGGCGGGGCCGAGCCCCCTCCTCCCGGGACGGGCGCGCTGACAGCGCGGGGTTCGCGCCGTGTGCACGGGCGCAGCGTCCGGGGTACCCCCTCCAGTGCCAGCGCCGAGGGGTCCCCGCCCGCTGAGTGGGCGGCCGGGGGCGCCTGGGGCTTCTGCGCCCCCTCCCGGTGTCCTGTGCTCACCCCCGCCGGGTTCGCGGTGATGGGCTGACTGGGGGGCTGGGCTGTGCGGGGCGGGGGCGGCTGAGGGGGTGGGACAGGGGCTGGACCGAGGCCGGGGTGGGGCGCGGGGTGGGCGGGCGACCCTGGGGCGCGGGGCCGGGAAGGAAGCCAGGAGCTGGCACTGACGTGGGCAGTGCCGGCCGTCCGCGTCCCAGGAACGGCCGGGGGACATCTGTGCCTCAGAACCACTCTCTGTCCCCGCGTGTCTCTTGGTGTCTCCGTGTGTCCCTAGTGCCCTCGTGTGTCTCTCAGCGTCCCTGTGTCTCTCAGTGTCCTGAGTGTCTCTCGGTGTCCCCGCATTTCTCGATGTCCTGCGTGTCCCTGGTGCCCATGTGTCTCTGAGTGTCCCACGGGTCTCTCAGCATCCCTGTGTCTCTCGGCATCCCTGCCTGTCGCTCCGTGTCCTCGTCTGTCTCTCTCTGTCCTCGTCTGTCTCTCCATATCCCTGCGTGTCTCTCACTGTCCTGCATGTCTCTTGGCATCTCTGTGTGTTTCTCAGTGTCCCTGTGTCTCTCAGTGTCCTGAGTGTCTCGGTATCCCCGTGTCTCTCAGCGTCCCGGCATCTCTGTGTCCCAGGTGTCTCTCGGCATCCCCACGTGTCTCTTGCCCCTGCACGTCTCTCAGCATCCCTGTGTCTCCAGCATCCCCAAATGTCTCTTGGTGGTGTCCCTGCGTGTCTCTCTGTCTCTTGTGTCTCTCAGTGTCCCCATGTCTCTTCATGCCCCATACATTTCTCAGTCTCCCCGTGTGTCTGTGTCCCCATGCGTCTTGGTGTTCCCATGTCTCTTGGTGTCCCCAAGTCTCTCGGCATCCCTGGGTGTCTCTCTGTGTCCCTGTGTCTCTCAGCATCCCCATGTCTGTCTCTGTGTCTCTCTGTGTCCACACACGTCTTTCCATGTCCCCATAAGTATCGCGGTGTCCCCATGTCCCTCAGTGTCCCCATGTCCTTCGGTGTCTCCGTGTCTCTCAGTGTCCCTGTGTCTCTGTGTCCCCGTGTCTCTCGGCATCCTCATGTCTCTCCGTGTCCCTGTGTCCCTCGGTATCCCCGTGTCCCTCAGTGTCCCCATGTCCTTCAGTGTCTCCGTGTCTCTCCGTGTCCCTGTGTCCCTCAGTGTCCCTGTGTCCCTCTGTGTCCTCGTGTCCCTCGGTGTCCCCATGTCCCTTGGTGTCCCCATGTCTCTCCGTGTCCCTGTGTCCCTCAGTGTCCCTGTGTCCCTCTGTGTCCTCGTGTCCCTCGGTGTCCCCATGTCCCTTGGTGTCCCCATGTCTCTCCGTTTCCCCATGTCTCTTGGCATCCCCGTCTCTCTGTAACCCCCGCACATCCCTCCATGTCCCCATGTCTCTCAGTGTCCCCATGTCCCTCAGTGTCCCCGTGTCCCTTGGTGTCCCCATGTCTCTCCGTGTCCCCATGTCTCTCAGCATCCCCGTCTCTCCGTGTCCCCATGTCTCTGTGTCCCTGCACGTCCCTCCATGACCCCATGTGTCTCTCAGTGTCCCCGCGTCTCTCTGTGTCCCCGTGTCTCTCCGTGTCCCCGTGTCTCTCCGTGTCCCTGTGTCCCTCAGTGTCCCTGTGTCTCTTGGTGTCCCTGTGTCTCTCAGTGTCCCCGTGTCTGTGTCCCCATGTCTCTCAGCGTCCCTATGTCTCTCCATGTCCTCACACATCCCTCTGTGTCCCCGCATGTCCCTTCGTGTCCTGTGCGCGTGCCTCTCTCCCTCCAGGTTTATTTTCCCTTCCGTCTGCAGTCTGGCTGTGTCTGCAGGAGAGACTTGTGTCCGTGGGCACGTCAACCCCTCAGCCCTGCACCTTGACCTTCCGGGCATCGTGCTGCCTGGGCCGACCCGGGAGCTGGGGCCTTGGCGCCTGCTGACCTGGCCGTGCGTCTGCCCCTTGCCTGGCGGCCTGGCCCGTGTCTGCTCGCGCCCCAGGCCCCCAGCCTCACTCTGCTCTGTCCCGCTGTCCAGGAGACGGAGAAGATCATAGCCGAGCTCAACGAGACCTGGGAGGAGAAGCTGCGGCGGACGGAAGCCATCCGGATGGAGAGGTGGGCGGTGGGGAAACTGAGGACTCCGGGGCCCCCGCCTGGGGCTCTTGCTCCTGGGGGTGGCCAGGCCCTTGCGTGGGACAGGCTCATCCGCTCTCACCAGGGATTCCCACCCCCGTCACCCATGGCCCCGTTGACCTGATCCCTGATCAGGTGACTGGCCCTTCATCGATGGGGGTCCGCCCGGGGCTGCGTGGCAGGAGCCCTCCCGCCTCCTGGTTGGCCGACTGGTTGGTGGGGACGAGGCTGGTCCCGCGGCCTCGGGGCTTGGGCTGACCTGGACGCTGTCCCCACAGGGAGGCCCTGCTGGCCGAGATGGGCGTGGCCATGAGGGAGGATGGCGGCACGCTGGGGGTGTTTTCTCCCAAAAAGGTAGGTGCTGGTTCCAGTTCTGGGGCATGGCCTGACCTGGACACGGCCGGCGGCCCACCGCCTTTTGTGGGGTGTCGAGGGCTCCTCTGGGAGGAGAGGGGGCGGGTCCAGCACGGGGGGCCGCGCTCGCCCACCGCCAGACCTTCCCTGTGGGGGGACCTGGCCCAGCCTCCTCATGGCGGGATGTCCCCGGGGCCTTAGGATGTCCAGGCGGGTGTCTCTGCTGAGGAGTGGACGGGGGCCCTCGGGGCTGAGGCCAGACTGGGGCAGGGTCGGGCTGACAGGAGGCTGGGAGGCAGCCGCCCTCTCGGAGCTCAGCAGAAGCGGGTCTGGCTGACCCGGCCCGGGCCTCGGCTTCTCCCTCCCAGGCCTGGCCTCCTGGCCCCGGCCCTGTCAGCCGCAGGCCTCAAGGGGAGCAGAGCACCACCCCCTTCAGTAGCTCAGGTGGGGTGTGATGTGAGCCCTGGGGAGAAGTCTGGTAATTCTAGGACTCAGGTCCCCCCTTCACCCCAAGAGGGCCCGACCCTTAGAGCTCCTAGGAGCCAAGTTCCAAGCTGGGAGGCCTCTAAGGAGGTGGTGACAGTCTGCTCTGACCACAGCTCGGGGCTCCCCTAGCCCTGCCTGTGACATGGGGTCAGTGAGGACGCACCTGCCCCCTCCCTAGAGCAGCTTCACCCTGGCTGGCTTCTCACCCTGGCTTTGTTTGGGGTGAAGTGTTTCTGTGTTGCCTAAACCTGAAGCCAGAGGCATGTGGAGCGCCCGCGGTGCGGCTGGGGACCCCACGGCAAGGGGGGCAGATGCTGCTGTGATGCATTCATCAGCCAGGTGGCCGCTCCCTGGGGACAGGGCCATGCACTCCGGGCCGGGAGCCAAGGGGCAGGATGGGCCAGGGCCCGGAGGCAGGGGGAGGAGGCGTGCCTGGAGGACCTGTGGGCAGGCTCTGTGCTGGGGAGCGGGTGCTACGCTGCTTCACGCCCCCCCCACCCCCGTAGGCCTTTCGTTCTCATTTGGAATGGATTGTTTGTGGGCTTCCAGCCCCTGACCCTCCTGGGGGGGTACCCAGGGTCACCGTGCAGAGCCGTGGGGCGGGGGCAGGCGGCTGGGGCCGGTGGCAGAGGAACACTGGACGGCCCTGGTCCGGGCGCTGCCCTGGGAAGGCTGGCATTCCGGGGACTCTGGTGAAGTGCACGTGCCGGCTGGGCCCCTGCTCAGCCCGGCCGGCCAAGCTCGGCTCTCGTGCTCGGGAGAAGGGCTGGTTGGGGACGGTTGTCCCTGGTGTCCGACGACCAGGACTTCACAGTCCTGCACAGGGTGGGGGGCCTGTGGGACTTACCGTGGAGGCTGCTCGTTCTGAGGTACCCAGTGGGAAGCCAAGGATGCTATCCGGCCTCCGCCAGCTTGCAGGACCCTGGCCTGGCACACCGTGCGGGGTGGCGCTCCCGAGCTCGGAAGCGGGTCTGGGGCCCCAGTGGGCGAAGCCTGCGGGGGCTGCTCTGGGAGGGGCCAGGCTACTGAGGGCAGTGCTCAGATAGGGTGGTCACCTTTCACACACTCGTGGATGAGAGGGGCCCGAGCCGGGCGGCCCATGGACGGGAGGGGGTCCGAGCCGGGCGGCCCAGCAGGGACTACTTTCACAGCGTCTGCTCCAAGCCCCAGGCCAGATCCCTGTCCAGTCAGCATCCTAATCCTTCTGGACTCACAGATCCACTGGGGCCTCAGTTAGAGCGGGGTACTGGAGCCCCCTTTCGGGGCGGAGGAAGGGACCCAGAGCATGGTGCCCCGACCCTGCAGGACCCAGCCTGCACCCTGTATATCCAAGGGCCCACCCTAGCCCCAGCAGCACCCTGGGCTCCCAGCCCGTCTGGAAGCCCAGCACCCACTAGGTGCCTTCCACCTGGCAGCTGCCTGCCCCCCTGGTTCTGAGCTCCTGGGGTCCTCAGAGAAGCCACCTGGGAGGACACAGTCCCCATGAGGCCAAGCCTGGGGCTGGTGGCAGTCTGGGCGTGAGGAGACAGGGGTCAGGTGGGTGGCCAGCACTGGGCGCCTGCGCCCCCCCGGGAGAGCTGACCCCCCCTTTTTCCTCAGACACCACATCTTGTCAACCTGAACGAGGACCCCTTGATGTCCGAGTGTCTCCTGTACTACATCAAGGATGGCATCACCAGGTGGGGGTCTCGGGGGGTAGGCTCCCCCTGCAGAGGGGCTGCCGAGCCTGGCATCTGCTGGAACGTTGCTCTCCGCCCGTGCTTGTCGCTGGAGACAACACCGACGGCTACTCTGTGCCAAGTGGCTCCCCTGGGCCGGGCTGTGCGTGGGGCATCCCTCATCTGTGTGCACCCCGGGCGTTTCCCCAAGGAGCCCACTGGGTAACCCCACGAAGGGGCGGGGACAGGCCGGTGGGTGGTGTCGTGGGCACACTGGGTCCAGCCGGCGCTGACGGTCCCCCGCCTCTCCCCAGAGTGGGCCGGGAGGATGCGGAGCGGCGGCAGGACATCGTCCTGAGCGGGCACTTCATCAAGGAGGAGCACTGCGTCTTCCGGAGCGATTCCCGAGGGGGCAGTGAAGGTATCTCTGCCCCTCTGTGCCCTCTGTTCCCCCGCTGCCCCTGGTGCTGCCGAACGTCAGGCCTGAGCGGGGGCTTGCGGGCTCAGCCAGGCTCCCCGGTCAGTCCCGGGGAAGCCCCTCCGTTGGAACGGGGTTCTGAGTGCTGGGCTGTGGACACGGGGCTCCCTCCCCGTGCCAGGAGTGGGCTGGGGTCTTCCTGGGCGGGAGGATAGTAAAGCCGTGAGGAATGAGCCCGGATGAGGGGTGGAGAGCTAATTTTGGACCACACTTTCCGGGGGGCCTTGAGGTGGCCATCTGTCCATGACCCAGCCCGCCTGCCCGTCTCTGTCTCCGTTGCCCATCTTGGGTGTGGCCGTCTCAGGGAGGCAGCGCTGCTGTGTCATGGTGCCCGCGGCCCCCAGCACCAGGCTTCTCCCCGGCAAGTGTCTGGCTGCAGCCCACTGTGACGGGGACATTTCAGGATGACGGCCTTAAATGGTGTTGGGGATGTCGGCACTCCCTGAATTCTGTCCCAGAGCCTGCCCTCCGCTGGGTGTGTGGGCACTAAGCTCCGGGGGGCTCTGGGACTCCCGGGGACATGCTAGCCACTATTTCCCATCCGTGCCTCTGTAGAGACCCTGGCGGCCGTCCTGGTTCTCTGACTCGGGCACGTGCGCCTCTCCCTGCGTGTCACGTTCCTCATCTGTCGTGTGAGGCTCAGCCCTCCGCGGGCTTCCCCGGGGCCAAACGCGGTACTGTCTGCCGGCAGTCAGGCTCTGCAGCCAGCAGGGAGGAGAGAGGCCTGCTGGGGGCCACCTGGGTGGCCAGGTGGGCCAAGCCCTGCCGGTGGCCAGAGGGCGTGACCACCCAGGATGACCGTCCCTCACAGTCCTCCTCTCCGTCCTACAGCCGTGGTGACCCTGGAGCCCTGCGAGGGCGCAGACACCTATGTCAATGGCAAGAAAGTCACGGAGCCTAGCATCCTGCGGTCAGGTATGGCTGGGGCGTGCACACGCTGGGCCCTTCTCCCTGCTGCTTCAGGACGGGGCCTGGGGTCTGTGCACGCAGGGCAGGGCCTGCGCCGGGAGGACAGGCCTCAGCTTGGTGTGTCCCTCCTGGCAGCTGGGCCCGGCTGTAATCAGGGCCCGAGGGCAGGGAGGGCAGAGCGGTGACCAGCTGAGGGTGGCCGGCCAAGGTGGCTGGGGAGGAGCGGAGGGAGGCCTTAGGGAGGACCCACCACGCACAGACGGCCCCTGCCCTGCTCCAGCCCATGGAGAGGCCGATGGGCAGGGAAGGCCTGGAGCCCACACTGTGGCCTACGGAGGAGCCGAGCACAGCCCCGGGGGTGGAGGAGCGTTCGGGGCCAGGGCACGGGGAGAGGCCAGCATGGCTGGGCACTGAGAGGCTGGGCTTGGGGGGACAGTGAGGTCCCGGCCATAGGGCAGGTGCTGGCTGGTGCAGAGCAGGGACCTGCAAGGACCAGCGGAGCCAGCGCCCGTGCTCCACCTTCCCCCTCTCCCTGCCCTCGTCCCTTGCGGCCACCCCAAGGCCACAGCCCCCCTCCATTGCTGGCCTTGCTCGTCCCCCAGGCAACCGCATCATCATGGGAAAGAGCCACGTGTTCCGGTTCAACCACCCCGAGCAGGCGAGGCAGGAGCGCGAGCGCACGCCCTGCGCAGAGACGCCCGCCGAGCCCGTGGACTGGGCCTTCGCCCAGCGTGAGCTGCTGGAGAAGCAGGGCATTGACATGAAGCAGGAGATGGAGCAGAGGTGAGGCCCGAGCTGGGGGTGGCCGCCCCGCCCCGCGCGCTCTCCCCGCCGCGCCCTCACCCTTGCCCGCTCCCGCAGGCTCCAGGAGCTGGAGGACCAGTACCGCCGCGAGCGAGAGGAGGCCACGTACCTGCTGGAGCAGCAGAGGCTGGTGAGTGCGGCCCTGCCCGCCGGCCGGGGTTGGGGGCCGGGTCCCCAAGGCGGGAGGGCGGCCAGGGGCCTGGTCTCCGCGCGGGCCCTCAGTGCCGTTTCCATGGCCAGGACTACGAGAGCAAGCTGGAGGCCCTGCAGAAGCAGATGGACTCCAGGTACTACCCTGAGGTGAACGAGGAGGAGGAAGAGCCGGAGGATGAAGGTGAGGGGCTCTCAGCTGGCAGCGCCCGAGCCTTGGGCTGGGGAAGGGGCCTGGACGGAGAGCCCCCGGGCCGCTCCTTTGCCCTGGGGTCCCAGGCCACCCTGCAGGAGAGGCCTCCTTGTCCCCCGGGCGGGCTCCCACGGTGCCGGGGCTCGGGGGAGGCTGTGCGGTAGCTCATGCTCGCTGGTCCGGGTGGGAACCGCCTGGAAGCAGGGCAGCCAGGTGCTGCCCGACTCGCCGTCCCGCCTGCATGGGGCTGGTGCCCCTCCCCAGCCAAGGTCACTGCTCCTCCCTCAGGATCCTTGCTGAGCCCCCCACCTTGCCCCACTGACCTCAGGCCTCCATGGGCATGAAAGGGGGGGACAGGCAGGGCAGACGGGGTGGAGTCAAGCCCTGGGTTCAGGTCCCGTGTGGCCCCTGGTCGGCCTCTCAGGACTTTGTGCTCATGTGACCTTGGCCTCCCCTTGTGTGGCATCACCTACCCCGGGAGGCCCCTTCCCTCGTGGCAGGAGCGCTGGATGAGGGCGGCCAGGCTCCCAGGCTCCCCTCCTGGGGCCCCTGCTTCCCTTCTCCTGGGGTGCCAGCAGGCAAAGGCGTGTGAGCCGGGTCGGGGTGTGGGGCTGAGCCCTGGGTGGCCCTCCTGGCCGCCCTCCTGTGGGCACAGGCCCCCCCACGGCCCCCACGGGGCTCTCCCTGCGCGGTGGGTGGCCCTGTCTAGCTTACCGGGCAGGCCCTCCGGCTGCTCCAGGTCTGGTCCGCCTCTCGGGGGGCACATGGAGCCTTTCAAACCTTTCCGCCAGTTCCCCTTCCTTCCGAGCGCCCAGAACGGTGCGTGTGAGCCTGGGGTCCAAGCACAGAGCCCCGGGCCCGGGCAGAGGGGGGCGTCGTGGCCTTTCCGTGATGAGCACGGGCGCCTCTCCCCACAGTCCAGTGGACGGAGAGGGAGTGTGAGCTGGCGCTCTGGGCCTTCCGGAAGTGGAAGTGGTACCAGTTCACGTCGCTGCGGGACCTGCTGTGGGGCAACGCCATCTTCCTCAAGGAGGCCAACGCCATTAGCGTGGAGCTCAAGAAGAAGGTGGGCTCCTGCCCTGCTGCCCGCTGCCCCCCTCACGCTGCACTGCATGCAGGGGACCCGGTGCCGGGCGTCCCTGCCCCCCCGGGAGCGCACAGCAGCCGCCCCTGACCTGGCCCCCTTAGAGCGCTGGGCAGAGTGAGGGAGGCCCGGGGGGCGGCCCCGGGTGGGCGGGCGTCCCTCCCGCTCAGGGAGCAGCCGGTGAGCTGCATCCGACGGACGCACCCACCCAGGGCTGACGGGCAGTCGTCTCCCGCCCACCACAGGTCCAGTTCCAGTTTGTCCTCCTCACCGACACGCTCTACTCCCCGCTGCCGCCGGACCTGCTGCCCCCAGAGGCCGCCAAAGACCGGGAGACTCGCCCCTTCCCGCGCACCATTGTGGCCGTGGAGGTCCAAGACCAGAAGAACGGGGCCACCCACTACTGGACGCTGGAGAAGCTCAGGTGCGGGCGGGCGCGGGGCGGGCACGGGGCAGGTGCGGTCACGGCGCTCCGGTGTCCGTGTGCTCGTTTCTCCTGCCGTAATTGCTTTAAATATCAAGAGGAAAAGCGTTATTATCGAGCCCATGTTCTCCTTCTACCGACGCAGGGGTAAAGCCTACCGTGCTTTCCTGGAGGAAGGGGCGGATGAGGCCGGGGGGGGGGGGGGCGGGAGGGGGTATGGGGCCAGCAGAGCTTCGGGACAAGCCAGCCAGCCCCTGGGGGGTGCAGGTGAGGGGTCTCGGAGCGCACCGAGCGGGGCTGCGTCCTCAGAAGAGCTCAGCCTGGAGCCTCCCCACCCCGGGCCGTCGGGATCTCGGGGGGAGATGGTGGGGGGCTGGACGGGGGGCGCAGTGTGTGACAGACACAGGAAGGTCTAACGCAGCTTGAGGTGCCCTGGACATGGGGCTGTGCACAGAGGCAGGGCCATGGCGCCGGGAGGGAGGCACACGGGCCCAGAGCCAGGCGAGTCCTCGGCCACCGCGGGCAGGGCCATCTGCTGGGACCGGCCTGGTTGAGTTATTCTGGGGACCTCAGGACACAGGGCAGCCCCGTGGCCCAATGCCTGACCCCAGGGTGATTCTGGGCAGAGAGTGCGGCTCAGTGACGGGGGCTCACCCGCAAGTCGGTCGCCGGCTGGCCCAGCCAGGGAGCCCCCAGAGATGTCTCGACGTCGTAAAATACATGGAGCGGAAGGTGCCACTAGCGCACACTCGCAGTCCTGCCCGGGCACACCCCTCCACGCCTTCCTTCCCCGTGTGGCGCCTTCCCACGCGGATGCGCGCCCCCGTGAGACTCGTGCGAGCAGAAGCCCAGGCTCACGGTCCCTCCCCACCCTCCCGCGGGCGAACAGGGCATGGCCGTCACTCCCCAGTCCCAGGGGGAAGGGACAGCACTTCCTTTCTCCTTCAGCATGTTGGTTTTTCTGGGGATGATCATTTTTAAGATACCTCCCGTGTCCGTATCCTATCCCACCGTTGAGCGCTAAGGGCTCCACACAGGACGCCCCATCCCGCGCGTGAGGACCGCGTTGGCCCCCGGATGACGCTGAGCGGTGGCCAGAGCCGTGCCGGACGCTCCGCCGAGGCCCACGGTGTTCCCTGTGCCCCTGCAGGCAGCGCCTGGACCTGATGCGGGAGATGTACGACCGGGCGGCAGAGGTGCCCTCCAGTGTCATCGAGGACTGTGACAACGTGGTGACGGGCGGAGACCCCTTCTACGACCGCTTTCCTTGGTTCCGGCTGGTGGGCAGGTGGGCGCCTCCTTCCCTCCCTGGGCCGAGAGAGAGAGAGAGAGAGAGAGAGAGAGGGAGAGAAGGTGGTGGGGGCAGGAACGGGGCCTCCTCCCAAGGCCGAGCCCCCCGGCTGGGGGACCCCAGCAAGGGGCCCTTCCACCCTTGACTCCCCTATCCTCGACCTTCCTGGGTCCGAGGCTCCCCACTCCCCCAGCCACTCCTGTCCACAGACCAGTGGGCCCTGTAACCTGGGGGACCGGGGAGGGCACGGGGTCTCAGCATTGCCACCGACGCCTGCTGCGGGGCTGTGGCCGCCAGGTTGCACGTGTCCACGGGCGTGAATAGGTGGCTGGTCAGGCTTCCTGAGCCACCCGGTCCTCACACGACCTCAGCCACACCTGGCCAGGATCATGCCAGCCAGCGGGAGGCTTTCCAGAACTTTCCATAGCCTTCCACTGGCCACACGTGCAGTTTCTTTCCAAGCCTGGGGACGGGGGTGCACTTTTGGTTCTCTTGTCTCTGAAAGCAGCATTCCTGATGGTCTGTGTGTTTGGTTTTGGTTTTAAACAGAAGCCCCCCGCCCCCACCCCTGTCCGTCCCTGCGAGTAGCTGGTGTTAACTTCTCTCTGTCTTGTCGTACTAACCTCAGTTCAGTCATCTCTGGCTGCAACAGCTACCCTCTTCTCAACACATGCATGAGCGAGCGCATGGCTGCTCTCACCCCCTCCCCCACCTTCTCGAGCCCCGACTCCGACGCCACCGAGCCTGCCGAGGAGCAGAGCGTGGGGGAGGAGGAGGAGGAGGAGGAGGAGGAGGAGGAGGAGGACCTGGAGGACGACGTCTTTCCGGAGCACGCGCTGTGCGACGGCCGGGACCCGTTTTACGACCGGCCCCCCCTGTTCAGTTTAGTAGGAAGGTTGGTGAGGTCGAGGACGGCATGCTGGGAAGGAACCAGCTCTTTTGCGCAGGAGCACTGCTGCGGGCACAATTTGACCGCCGTCAGGGCGTGGCCCCCCGGTATGCAGGGGCAGCTCCCCCAGACCCCCCAGGCCGAGGCAGGCCGAGGCAGGCCGAGGGGCTGGCCTCCCCGAGGAGAGGGCGTGAGGGAGCGAGAGGGCTCCTGACCATCCTGGAGTGTGCCCAGCAGAGAGAGTCGGGGTGTACCCGGAGCGCGGCCATCCGGCTCCGTGCGGGCGGAGCTCCTTCTGCAGACAGGCTCTAGAACCCTGGGAGGAGTCCTCGAGCAGGGCCCGTGGGGACATCTGGGCAAGTGGGGGTTTGCGTCTCGGCACCCACCACCAGCGGGGCCGGCCCCGCTTCCCTCTGCCTTCTCCTGCTATGGCCCGAGAGGTGGAGGCTGCTGGGTTGCTGTCCGCGCCGCTCCCTCCGGGAGAAGGAGCAGAAGGTAGAGGACGCGGTCCCGGAGGGCGGGAAGGAAGGCTGGCCTCAGGCAGGGCGGGGTCTGCCTCCAAAGCCCGGGTCCCCCTGAGCCTTCGCTCCCCCGGCCTCCTGGCCGTCACGGCGGGAGACCGCACACGTGGCCCGTGCCCTCACGGGACGTGCCCTTTGCAGAGCGGGCCCCACTTCACTTTCTGGACAGAAGCGGGAGCCCAAGGGCAGGAGGTGGGGCAGAGGCCCCGGGGCAGCCCAGACCTTGCCGGCAGGTTGGGCAGATACAGCTGCCATTCATGCTTTTATTGCCGTGGAATGGAAGCAAAACCGGCGAAGGAAAGATCTAGAACCCTAGCTGCAGTCGTGGAGCATCTGGCTCACGAAACAGCTGCGTGTAGATGTCACGCATATAAAAGGGGCCAGACGGCTCCAACAGCGACCCTTGCTGAGTTGGACATCGCTTCCTTGGGCCAGGCCGCTGGGAGCGTTTGCAAGTCTTGACCTCGGAGCAACCAGTCCCGGAAGCTGGCCCCCAGAGAAAGGGGGTTCCCACGGGGAGCCCTTGGGTGCAGACCCTGGAGTGAAAGCCCCACCAACGTGTCCCGCGGGAGGAAGCAGCTTCCCGCGGGGGCATGTCACGGATTTATTCTGATTAGTTTTCCACGAACGTGACATGCTGGCCTCCTGGATAAAAACGTGGGGCTCTGACCCTGCGAGGCGCCCCGGGTCTGGGCCTCCCGCTCTGCGGGGCCCGACAGGGCGTGCCGCCCCGGGGCCCAGCTCCACGCAGGCCTCTGGGAAGCCCCCGGGGAGCCCCCGTGTCAGGCAGGCGTGGGCTCAGGGCGCAGGGGAGCAAGGGCACCGGGAGAAACGGGGTGCGGGCTCTGCAGTCTCAGCCAGAAAGAGCTGGGTCCTTCCAACACTCCCCCCCTCTGTGGATCTGAGATGTCACGAAACAACCCAACCAAAGTAAAGTCATCCGTGAGAGGCCAGCCCCCCATACGGCGGGCGGCCTGCAAAGGGCTTCACTTGGAAACGTCCCCATCTTTTTGGTTTGGCAAGAATTGGCTTCTCCCGCGCAGCAGCTGTGCAGGCCCAGGCCCTGAGAAGGACCCATCTTTGGTTTCCTTTCATCCTTCTGGTAGCTGCTGGCTCTCTCTCCAAAGCTTTAGCAGGATTGGGGCGCCCACTCTTGTCTCCCTTCGGAAAGGCTTCCCTGGCCCCAGCATGCGTCTCTGCACCTCACCAATCTCGTGGTTAGCCCTGCCTCCTCCCCTCCCGCCACACTCAGCCCTGGCTCTGCCGCTCTGCCGCCTTCTCTCTCTCTCTCGGGGCGGGTTTCAGCCTGCTTCAAGGTGTCCTCCCCCGCGTGGACCCCCACGTCTTGACCGTGGGCTCCTCACCCACGGCCAGGGTTAGCCCCCCAGTGGCCTCTCCCTCTTCTGGTGGTCTGGGGTGCCAGGTGAAGTGGGGAGGTGGGGTGGGCCCGGGGGCTCTGGGTTCCCCGACCCCGATTCTCCTCCCTGCTGGGAGCACCGCTCGCAGAAGCTGGACGGGCCGGGAGCCGCGGGGAGGAGGGCGAGGGGCTGGCGGCCGGGGATGGAGGGTCCGGGGAAATGGGGCAGGGGAGGGGGTGGGGGACCGCCCCACACACACCCAGGGACGTGTTCCAGACTCTGCGTGGAAAAGTGCTGACTTGCTCTGTGTCCGCACCAGGCCACCCGGGCGGGCACGGCCGGTCCCTCGGCTCCCAGCTGGGTTCCTCTGTGTGCCGGGCCGCTCAGCCCGAATCTTTGCCAGCGAGGCTATGAGCCCGTCGGGGTGCAGTGGGTGCCCCGTGGCTGGCGGGGCCCCTGAGTGGCTGCTCCTGATGTCAGGCTGTTTCTGGCACTTACGGGGCATGAAGGGGAGGCCAGCGTCTGTGCCGCGGGAGCCCTCCCTGGTGTCCTGGCTTCAGTTGCTCAGGGTGAGGTCGGCCAGGGGTGCAGGGGTCGTCCAGCCCCGGCTCACAGCCCTTGGAGGCTGCTGGGCCCCAGGGGTCCCCAGCAGTGCCCACCACCATCTCAAGGTTAGGTCTCCGGGATTAGGGGTGGCAAGGAGAGCGGACCCAGCATCTGGCACCGGATGCCGTATTACCTTGAGGGAGCATCCCACCGGGGCGCCCGAGGGGAGCGTGCGCCTGTGCGTTCACTCGCAGCTGGGTTATGGCAGGAGAGAAGGGGAAGGGACCCCAGGGGTCTTTTCATGGCATAACCCCCCACCTCCAATCAGGGAGAGGCCCCCAGCCCTCGGAGGCCCTGCCTCTGGGAGCACAAATAGGGTGCATCTTGTCTAAGGATCTGAACTCGGGCTTTGCGGTCCTCGATGCCACGGGTACTCGCGTCTTCCTTCTCCCCTGGCAGAAGGAAATCCTAACGGATCGGGGAAGAGTTGATCTACTTAAGCAATCAGCTGTGTGAGTTGAGCAGGTGGGCGTTGAGCGTGGCGTCTGCATCCACTGGGGCTGGAGAGGAGCCAGCCTGCGGGTTTAAACCCCCGCCCCGGGCGCCTTCCTTTCTGTCCGTGAGCCTCGTGCATTGATCCGCGAGGGGGGTACCGATGCCCTGGCGCCCCGGCTGTGATGTGCCATCTGAGACGCACCCCTAGGGGGGGAAATGCGGGCAGGTGAATACGACGTGCCGTGGGTCAGGGCAGCCCCGCTCCCACCGCCCAGACGTGAGGGGTGGGACCTTGGGAACTGACCGGCTGTGGGCGCACCTGCTGCCCGGTGGCCGGCAGCACCGCCGTGTCGTCCGGGCCCCTAGTGAGTGCAGGGGTGCGGGCTCATAGGACTGCATCACGGCTCTGCACCCACGGGCCACCAGTGGGACGATGTGGGCCTTGGGGTCATGAGAGGCCCAGCCTCCAGCTGGTTTGTGGGAACCTCAGATCTGCAGAGCCACAGGGACTCGCGGGTGGGCAGCGTGGTGGAGAGCATCCACTCGGGAGGAGCTTTTGTGAAGTGAGGCCTGGGGACAGGGCCTGCGTGTCACCGCCTGGCCTCCTGACCTGGACCGGCCCTGCCCTCCGCCTCTGTCTGTCTCTGGCCGGGCCTTTGTTAGGATCGGGGGAGGAGAGTCAGGATGTGGGTGGGCATGGACCCTGAGGGCTCGGAAAGGGGAGGGGTCGTGCTCAGAGCCGCCCCCGCAGGAATTGCCCCCCCTGAGCCATCCAGGAAGGCGGCCCCGGGCCAGGGGATCCTTGGTGGCCTGACCCTGGCTCACCTCCTGGCTCAGTGGCTCTCCTCCCAGGGGTTCTACTGATTAAGGACCCTGGTGTGGGGTGTGGGGCCCGGGGCCTGGCCTATAGTGGCCCTGCTTCTGAGGTCGTCCTGTTGAGTATAGACGTTGCTCCTCCGTCCGTGCCCGGGACCCCTGGGAGCCCCCCCAGTGCTTCTCTGCCTCCCAACACGGGGCTTTCCGCAGTGGGCCCTGCTCCAGGAAAGACGCCTTGTCCTGGGAGGTGGGCTTGGGGCTGTCCCGCTCGGTCCCTTCAGCTCTCCGACGTGCTGGGATGGCCAGGTGGGGCCCAGCCAGGGGCCCGAGCGGGATCTGGGCCCGTTCCTGCAGCCTGGGCCCTGGGCTCCCTCCACGTCCCCTTCCGACCTCAAGGCCTTGCTCCTTTCGTGACCGCCCTCCCCCACATACACACACACACGCCCCCGATTTCAAGCAAAGGCCCTTGGCCAGGATTCCAGGGGCCCCGGGGGGGGCAGGCCACCCCGACCCCTTCCCGGGTGGGTGCTGGGAGAGGCTCACCAGCCAACCCTGGGCGGGACCTGTCCACAGGATGCCCTCTGCCACTGCAGCAAGGGGGCTTCTGCTCTCTGAGCCCCGGTTCCTTTCGGCTTCTGCCAGCAGCCCCACCCCTGCCCCCCCGCCCGCCCGACTCCGGCAGAAATGCCCACGCATCCATCCCCACGGCTGCCCTTCAGCGAGTTCCCCAAGAGGACAAGGAGTTCCCTCAGAACGGTCCTCCTCCGGGGTGTTGTCAGAGGGCGCATTTGGCCAGGGTAGGGGGGCTTCCTCCGCCCCGGGGAGGGGCAGCCCAGGATGACACTGAGCCCCCTGGGGCAGCTCACCCTTCCCCTCTCGCTGGCACCTGTCTTGGTCTGGGAGGTGCCCAGGAAGCGAGAGGCAGTTGGCAGAGACAGACCCACGGCCGAGTCAGATAACCAGGTGGCCGTGAGGAGTCATGTGACGTGGGGGTGGGAGCAGAGGTGGGAACGGGCCTTGCTGGGTGGCAGTGGGGAGCAGAGCACCTGGGGTGTCCCGGGAGACAGGGGGTGGCTGGGTGGCGGGGCTCGGCCAGCACGCAGGGCGGGTGGGAGCCCGGTGGGAGCCTGGAGCCTCCTCTGGCTGCCGTGGGGGCTGCGGGGGAAGCAGAAGGGCGGCTGGTACTCCAGAGAGATGTTTGGGGAGAAGCAGTGCAGTTGAGAGAAGACCCAGGAAGGTGCTCAGGTTTCTGACCCGTGGGCAGAGGGCCAGCGGAGTGGGTGCACCTGGGGGCGGGGGGGCACCAGGGCCTCGAATGGGGCCCTCGGGGAATGGCAGTCGTAGGGTGTCCTCTGGGAGCTCTGCTGGGTGGTGTCTGACCTCTGAGCAAGCGGAGGGGGGCCGGGGCTGGGGTGACAGCTCTCCTCCTCCTCCCAGCTCCTCCCTGGGCCGTGCACCCTGGTGCCAGCCCCCACCTGGCCTGCAGAGTGCGCCCTCCCCTCCCCCACCTCCCCTTCGCCCCCCACCCCCACCCCCACTGTTACTCTTGCTTCCATAACCTCCTCTGTTCTCCCTGGCTGAGGCCCTGGGCCTCCCTCACCCCGCCTCTGCACCTGCTCCCCCACACGTCCGACCCTTCTGTGTCCAGATCCTGCCCACCTTTGCCCAAGCTGTACCCCTCCCCTGGAGCCCCCCAGCCGCCCCAGGACCCTCCTGGGAGCTCAGGGCTGCAGCAGGAGCTGCCCGTCCCCCGGGGCCTGCGGGGAGAGCAGGGTGGGGGCGGGTCCTGCGCTGAAGCTTGAACAGAGCTGCAGGTTCTCACCGGGATTGGGCTCACGGGCCGCCTGTCCGGGCCAGGGGTCCCCTCGGGAAGGTGCCCCTGAGAAGGGAGGAATTGTGCTCCTCATCCGCCGGCACACCTGGCTGGATGGCCGGGCCTTCCAGGTCCCTTTAGTCCTCCCAGCTGCCCGTGTGACGTCTGCACCTTGGCTAGCTCAGGAAGTGTGGCAGACGCTTGGGTGACGTGGGCACTGCCCAGCCTGTCCTGCCCCTCGCTGGGGGCATAGCTTGGGATGGGAAGGGCTCTGGGCCCTTTGGGGGTGGTGGGCAGGCTCGGCAAGCACTGCCGTGCGGTCTGGGGGTGCCCTTAGGGCTCTGCTCAGCCAACTTCTCTGGTACGGAGCTGGAGGGGTGCCCGTCGGCGGGCACCGTGAGCTCCCACCCGCTGTGTTCCTGGAAGGGTCTGAGAAGGAACCAAGAGCCATAATCCACCATAGGAGCCCTCCGTGGGGCCCTGAGGTCAGGGGTCACTGGGACGGGGCGGTGTGCCAGTGTGGGGGTCCGAGCTCGGCGTGGCCGGGTCCCCAGGTCCTCCTCCTCCTTGAAGCAGGCTGAAACCTCCCTCCTCAGCTCTCAGACAGCGGGTACGGCCCTGCGGGCTTTGCCCCGTGCCAGCCCCACTCCGCACTTGCTCTCTGCCCGCCCTGCGCACGCCCTCCTCCTCCTCTGTCCCTCTGCCGCCTCCTGTGTCCTCTGCAGCCCGCGGACCCCCCCTCCCGCCCCCACCCAGCACAGCCCCTGCCCATCCTGCCTGCTCGCCGCCCCGGCTGCTTTGCGCCTGGCTCTGCTTCGCAGTGTTGTGTCGTGAGCCCGGGCCCCGCTGCCGCCAGCGCCGCTCCCAGCGCGCGCCGGGAGAGCCCTGACCCTGGCCTCTGCTCCCCGCAGGGCCTTCGTCTACCTGAGCAACCTGCTGTACCCCGTCCCCCTGGTGCACCGCGTGGCCGTCGTCAGCGAGAAGGGAGAGGTGAAGGGCTTCCTCCGCGTGGCCGTGCAGGCCACCTCAGGTGCGTGTGGGCGGCCCGGGTGGGAGGTCCCTGTGGGCACCCCGTGGTGGCCAGCATGCCACTGGCCTCCATTCAGCCCCCACCCCTGTGGGCACACCGGCTGCCGGTGCATGGGAGGGTGCTCCAGGGGAAGCCCCCGCCGCCCAGCTCTGGGCTCCTTCCTTCCAGACTCTCCTGGGTCGGGTCTGCGGGCCCCCCGACGCCCAACACTATGCAGGCGGAGCCCACGGGAGCTCGGGACCCCACACCCCAGCCTGGTGCAGAGTGGTGCTCCCTCCTAGCTCCCCGCCGCCTCCAAGCCCCCCCCACCCCCCGTGGGTGTGCAGACCCTGGGCCCCGGGAGAGCTCTCAGAGCCTCTCTCCAGCCTCCCCACTGGGCTCCTCCTTCAGACTCCCGGCCTCGCTGGAGCCGGCCTCCCTCCCCAGGGCCCTCCCTCCGCTGCGGGCCTGCGGCCAAGCCCCCTGGCTGCAGAGGCGGACCCCCTCTGGCTGCCGAGCCCCCTGCCCCTGGCCGTGGCCCCAGGACAGGCAAGCCCCGGAATGAATGCCTGTGGACCTGGGTTTGCCTCCTTATAAATGGCACCTGTTTGAAGCCTCCTACCCAGCGGGAGTGTCGAAAAATCAGTGCAGGACACAGATGCGAGCCCGCTTACCTGGGCAGGAGGCTGCCTTGTTTGCCCTTGGGCCCCCATCCCGTCCCCGGTGGCCTCGCTCTTTCCCTCCCATAGCCTGGGTCCCCCGGGGGATCAGACTGCAGAGTGAGCCCCAGACAAGGTGGGGCTGGGCCGCTTCAGAGCGTGAGCACCCCCACTGGGGAGGTCTCGGGTCATCGCACCCCACCCGGATGGCCCGGCCACTTCAGGTGGCTCTGGCTGTACCTTCGGGGCCCTTTTGCCAGAGTCTCACTAGCCCATCATTTCCACGGGCTCTTTATAGCACCTCCCCGTCATGTCAGGGTGGTGTCACGACCCCGGGACCCTGAACAGGGGTGTTAGGAACATCTGGTGCCAGCCTCATTCCTCAGGGGGACCCTGTCCCTGTAGTCTTGGAGGGGCTCGGTCCCCGGGGTCTTGGCCCTTTGCAGCCAAGCTGAGCCCCGGGGGAGCCGGTCCCACTGAGTGGCCTGCCCTCTAGGCGGATGCTGTGGACACAGTTGACCCTCCCCGTCTAACGGCTGCGGTGGAGAAGCAGCAGCTTTAAAAAGCTCCAGTGGCCACAAAAGTCCCACCTGCCCTGCGAGTCCTGGGCTAGCCCCAGGCCCTCGGCAGCCAGGGTAGAACGCACAGCAGGCTTTGTCCCCCTGGGGGCCCCAGAAGAGGAGCTTGGAGCCCTAGAGGGTGGTAGAGGCCTCCCAGGGTGCTTTCTAGGCTGTGTGGCTGGAGTCGGGGTTGGGGCGGTGACAGAAGCCAGGTCTGGGGGGGGGGGGACGGGACGGTGCCTCGGGCGGCAGGACGGGATGGGAAACCATGGGATACCCCAGGATGCTGTGAGGGGAGGGGAGTGCACGTGGGGTGTGGAGCGAGGGGTGCTCGGGGGCCATGGAGGGTCGAGGTGGATGATGGTGCAGGCCCGCGAGGGTGGCGGCAGGTGGGCAGCTGTGATTCTGGGGGTGAAACCAGGAGGACCCTGTGCTGTGGCCTCTGCCCAGTGAGGCTCCGCAGGAGCATCTGACTGTGGGACGGGCGGGGGTGGCCGGGACCCGGGGGCGGGGGTCGCAAGTGTGGGTTTGAAATGTGGGGTTTGTGGCCGTCGGAGCCGGCTGTCCCGGGGTGCGGCCCCTCTCAGGCCTGGAGCAGCACAGGCTGGGGCCGGTGCCTGGAGGGCGGCCAGTCGTTCTGGAGCTGCGGTTGGCGCCCCACGGCCCCATCTCAGGTCGGAGCCTGTCCGGCTGCTGTGCCTCGCTCTGCCTGGCGGCTCGGCCAGGCTCTGCCAAAACCTCCTGCGGGACAGGCAGCGCCCTGACCCCCGGCTCCCTGCCCGTTTCAGCTGACGAAGAGGCCCCCGACTATGGCTCTGGCGTCCGACAGTCCGGCACGGCCAGAATCTCCTTCGACGACCAGCATTTTGAAAAGGTACCGCGGCGGGGTTGGCCTGGCCATCCCACCCGTCCCGACGGCACGCGTCCAGCCCGGGCCCAGACCAGCTGTGCAGGGGTCTCGGCATACGCGGAGCGCTCAGCCCTCCCCAGGGCCCTGGGTACCCCCGGGGTTCGCTCCCCAGGGCCCGTCCTGTCTCTCTCCGTTTGGTTGTCCTGACGCACTGGGTCTGCCCGTCCCCTCGCCCTGACCCCCCCTGGCTCTGTACATGGTTCCTCACCTGGCCCTCGGCTGCAGGCTGGGCCACCGGACGCCAAGACGCCTCAGGTCCCCCCAAGTGCCCCTTCTCTTGGGCCCTGTGTTTCCACCAGCATCTTTGCCACCCCCGCTGCGACATGCCACCCCCACCTGTCAGCGTTAGTGCTGGGCTGGTCCTGCTCTGCTGCCAAGAAACAGGGAGCTGCCCCTGCCCGCTCCTCATTGCTCTCTGCCTGCGCCCTCTGGCCAGGGTGGAGGAGGGGAGGGCCCTGCTTCGTGCCCCCAGACTGGGCTGAGCTCACAGGAGGCCCTTCCCCTCCCCTTAAGGCCCTTTCCTAACTGTCCCCACCTGGGCCATTTCCACCTGGCTGCTTGTCCCTACCTGACTGCTTATCCCCACCTGGCCACCTGTTCCCACCCGTCCCCACATGTCCCCACCTGGCCACCATCTCCATCTGGCCGCCCGTCCCCACCTAGCTGCCTGTCCCCACCTGTCCCCACCTGGCCGCCCATCCCCACTTGGCTGCCCATCCCCACCTGTCCCCACCTTGCCGCCTGTCCCCTCTCGTCCACCCCCCAGCCACCCATCCCCACCTGGCCGCCTGTCCCCATCTATCCCTACCTGGCTGCCTGTCCCACCTGTCCCCTCCTGGCCGCCTGTCCCCACCCGGCTGCCTATCCCCACCCATCCCCACCTGGCTGCCCGTCCCCACCCGCCCCCACCTGTCCCCACCTGGCCACCCCTCCCCACTGCACTCATCCCCTTCCCCCTAGTCCCCCCACCCCCCTGACCCCAAAACCCACGCCCACTCCCCCATCCACCTCTGAGCCCCCCCCTCCGCGCCCTACACCCGGCCTGTCTCCAGCCCCCAAAACCAACACACACTCCCCTCCCCACCCATGGCCCCGCCAGGGCCCTGCCCCCCAATAGCCTCGCCCTCCCCAGCCGTTGCCGTCCCCCCCTCCCATCCTGCGGCCAAGTCCCGGGCCCTAGCCCCACCTGAACCCTGAACGCCCAGTCCCACACCCCCGTCCCCACCCTGGCTGTGACCCATCCCCACGCGCATCCTCACCTGGCTGCCTGTCCCCCCATGTCCCCACCTGGCCGCCTGTCCCCACCTGAACGCCAGTCCCCACCCGTCCCCACCTGGCTGCCCATCCCCAGCCATCCCCACTAGGCCGCCTGTCCCCACCTGGCTGCCTACCCCCAACCGTCCCCACCTGGCTGCCCGTCCCCACCTGGCCGCCATTCGCTGCCTGAACCGCTCCCCACCTTCTCCTCTGTAGCCAACACAGGCCATGGCAGCCTAGGAGGCTGAGGCCGAGGGAGGTGGGTGCCCATCTAGGCGGAGGCAGGTCTAGAATGCGCCCACAGAGGCCCTGGTGGGGCTCCTGGTTGTCCGTGGGTGGGAGCGGCCTCCCCACGAGCCGGCTCTCTCTGACCGGGGCCCCCACCCTCGCAGTTCCAGTCTGAGTCCTGCCCCGTGGTGGGGATGTCCCGCTCGGGGACCTCCCAGGAAGAGCTGCGCATCGTGGAGGGTCAGGGCCAGGGTGCAGACACCGGGCCCTCGGCCGACGAGGTCAACAACAACACCTGCTCAGGTAGGCTGCCCAGCCTGGCCCTGTGTCGCCTGGAGGTCCTGCGCCTCCTGGCCGGGCCCCGACGCCCGGGCTCCCCCAGGTGGGCCCCTCGGAGGTCCTGCCACGTTGCTCTGTCCTTGGCCCCTGGCAGCCGTGCCCCCGGAAGGCCTCCTCCTGGACAGCCCCGAGAAGGCCGCCCCGGACGGGCCGCTGGATGCCGCCCTGGACCACCTGCGCCTGGGCAGCACCTTCACCTTCCGCGTGACTGTCCTACAGGCGTCCAGCATCTCCGCCGAATACGCCGACATTTTCTGCCAGTTCAAGTGAGCCCCGGTGCCACGAGCTGGCTGCGGGACATGGGCGGGTGGCTCTTGGCACCCCCGGGCGCCCCTGCCGGCCTGCGGTCCCCGCCCCGCGGCCCCGGCCCAGCCAACCTCTCCCCCCTTGCAGCTTCATCCACCGCCATGATGAGGCCTTCTCCACGGAGCCCCTCAAGAACACAGGGAGGGGCCCCCCGCTCGGCTTCTACCACGTCCAGAACGTACGTCCCAAGAGGCCCCTCCCCACCCCCTGGGGCTTTGTGCGGCCGCCCTGAAGCTGAGCCAAGCTGTGGTCACGGGACGTGCCAGCTTCTCCCTGCCCCAAGCCACGGCCGTGGGCTGGGCAGCGTCCGGGCATGCACGCAGATCCCCGGGTGCCAGGCGGGGGCTGGGCAGCAGGGGCCCCAGTGGGCTTCTGCCTGGGGCTGGGGGCACCACGGGCAGATGTGCACACGGGGGTCTGGGGCACCCTGCGTGGCCCTGGCCCGGTGTTGGGGGAGAAGCCAAGAGGCATGGCACGCAGAGGGCCCTGGGGTGCCCGGGCACAATCTGGGGAGGTCAGGGAAGCTCTCCAGGACGTGTGTCCAGCCAGGCCGTCAGAAGAGCAGGGCCTCGGGGGTGGAGTGGCTTCGAGAGGCAGGAGCGGGGCTGGCCGGCCAGCGGGGAGAGACGTGCCTCAGTGGCCGTGCTGAAAGCCGCCAGGGGGCCAGGCCTGGAGTGCCCCCCGGGGCGTGCGACACTGGCCGTGAGCGCTGTGGCTGCTGGGTGTGCGGCCCAAGCAGGAGGGGCTGCAGAGCAGCCCATGTCGACCCCCTCCTGCCACTTCTCAGCCGGGGCAGACGGCCAGGGAGGGAGACCCCATGCCGGGCCTCTGCGTCCTGATTTGCCCTCTCCACGAGGATGCAGGCACACTGGACTAGGGCCACCCTGATGCCCTCGTTCAGACTCGGGGTTACTGCTGTGAAGACCCCATCTGCACATACGGGTCCCGGGCATTAGAAGTACGATCTAGGAACCGGGGGTGGGGGACACAGCACAGCCCATAGCTCTCGGGGTGTGGGCAACGGCCCAGTAAGGGTCACGCCCGGCGCTTTGTGCCGTCTGCAGCCCCGTGTCCTGAAAGGGCACTCGGGGTAGGCGGTCGTGGCCCCCCGGTGCATGTCGGGAGGGGAGGCTGGAAGGACCAGGCGAGGAGCGTCCCCCCTTCGTGGGCGGAGGTCGGGCCGGGCCGGGGCCTCCAATCCAGTTGTCCGTGGAGGCCGAGCACTAACCTCTGTGACCCTCCTTCCCCTTCCTGACTGTGACGTGGCCTCGCCCTCCTCCGGCACCGCTCACCCACCAGATCGCAGTGGAGGTGACCAAGTCCTTCATCGAGTACATCAAGAGCCAGCCCATCGTGTTCGAGGTCTTCGGCCACTACCAGCAGCACCCGTTCCCGCCCCTCTGCAAGGACGTGCTCAGGTCAGCAGCCCTGGGGTGGGGTGCGGGGACGGAGGGTCCTTCCATCTCTCACCCAGCCCCCTGCTGCCCTCCAGGGTGTGGGTCTCTCCACCTCCAGCCAGCGAAGCCACCCTGCCCCAGACAGGCCTGGTGTGGTGGCCGCGCGGCACGTGCCTCCCACCTTCCCCACGACAGGGCGGCTGGTTACCCGAGGTCAGCCCAGCAGGACCCAGAGCAAGTCAGGGGCATCCCTTTAGGACCAAGCAGTGAATTTTTTTGCTTTTGTTTTTAAGATCTTATTTATTTATTTGAGACAGAGAGAGATTGAGATTGGGGGACAGGGTGGACACAGCAAGGGCAGAGGGAGGGGGAGAAGCAGACTCCTTGCAGAGCTGGGAACCGGACGTGGGGCTCGATCCCAGGACCCCGGGGTCACGACCTGAGCCAAAGGCAGACGCTCAACCACTGAGCCACCAGGGGCCCCTGAGCAGCGAGTCTCTTAAAGAGGATTGCCGTCTAGACCTCGACCTCGGTGGCTGTGGGCCGTGTCTTAGGGCCAGGGAAGCAGGCACTGGGTCGGAGACGGGGCAGACGGCTCCCGCTACCCCTGAGAACTCCTCTGTAGGGCCCAGCCATTCCGGTCTCCCCGAGCTCTCAGCCCCCAGACAGAGAGACGGCACATCCTTCCGTCTCCCTTATTCCGTGGGACCTCCCGGGGCCTCTGAGGGTGGGCTGGGGCGTCCCCTGTACGCCCCAGGTCGCGGGCGGAAACCACATGGGGGATGCGGGGAGACCTGCAGGTAGGCTTCTGGGGCAGTGGGAGCCCCTTGCTCCATCCACCCACTCTCAGCTGTCCTGTGGGACCCAGGGCTAAGCGGGGTGTCCAGGGTGTTGGAGAAGGAAAAGGCCTCGAGGGGTGCCGATTCCAGGGCGTCTGGGCCCACGAGCCTCGTCTGGCTTCGGGAGCACCAAGGGAGGCTCTATCCTGGAAGTCCCTGGACGGAGACCTGGAGCCAGACCCTGCCCAGTTCTTGTGGCTCGTGGGGCTGCCCTAGGTGGGTCTGGGGTCCGCAGGGGCCCTCCTCCCTGTCCAGGCCGGTGAGGGCCTGAGCCTGGGGCCTTTCCTGGGCCCTGGGAGGCAGGGAGGCCAGCAGGGGTGGGAGCAGGTCGTGCCTTGAGCTCCCCCTGCCAGCCCCTCCCCAGGCTCCAGCTTGGGGTCCCGGAGACAGACCCCCTGCAGCCCCCTCACCCCAGCTCCTGTCTCCCCACAGCCCCCTGAGGCCCTCGCGCCGCCACTTCCCGAGGGTCATGCCGCTGTCCAAGCCAGGTAGGCGGGGCTGTGCCGAGTCCACCCCCGGGGGAGCGAGGAGCCTGTGCTGCCCTGGACGTGTCCCCACCCCGGGCCTTGTCCCTAAGGGGCCCCTGGGATGGCGCGGGCCAGGGTTCCCACCAGCGGGCGCCTCTCCCCTGCCATCCCGCAGTGCCTGCCACCAAGCTCAGCACGCTAGCACGACCCTGCCCGGGGCCCTGCCACTGCAAGTACGACCTGCTGGTCTACTTCGAGATCTGTGAGCTGGAGGCCAACGGCGAGTGAGTCCCCGTGCCGCTGGGGTCGGGGGTCAGGGGACCCCGAGGGGGGGTGGGGGTTGGGGTGGGGGCCCGTGGTGGCCCATGCACCTGCATCCACTGAGCTCCAGGGACTGGACGGCCTCCTCCCCGCCGGAGGGAGGGGCTGCTTTTCCTGCTGGGGTCCGAGGGTTCATCAGGGCGCGGGGGTGTGAGGGGCCCGGGTGGGCGGCCGCAGGGCCTTGCCTCACGCGTCCCTCTGTTCCAGTTACATTCCCGCAGTGGTGGACCACCGTGGCGGGATGCCGTGCATGGGGACCTTCCTGCTGCACCAGGTGCGAAGCCCCCCTGCCCCGCCCACCTCTGCCCCCGACTCTGTGGCCCCCAGGCCACATCTGACCGTGTCCTCCTTCCCCCCGGTGCCCGGCAGGGCATCCAGAGACGGATCACCGTGACGCTGCTGCACGAGACGGGCAGCCACATCCGCTGGAAGGAAGTTCGAGAGCTGGTCGTGGGTGAGTGGGCTGGGCTGGGTGGGCGGGAAGCCCCGCTGGTGCACACAGCCCAGGTGGGCCCTGCCACAGACCTGCAGGCAGGAGGCCGAGGGCGCGCCCCTCCGCGGCTTATACGGGACTCCCCGGTGCTCTCCAGCTTGCAGACCCCTCACGCGGCCTCTTCTTGTGAGGACCTAGATCGGGGCCCCTACTCCAGCGTGGCCTCGTCTCAGCCATTCACATCCACCGAGACCCTGTGTCACCTTCTGAGGCGCTGGGAGTTAGGAACTCAGCACATCCTTTCTTGGCGGGGGAGGTGGCGGGGGCCACAGTCCGGTCACCACGGATCTGACGTCTCTCCTCCCCGACGTCACGCTCTGAACCCTCTGGTCCACCAGAAACGTTCCTTTGGTTAAGCTGCAAAAAGCCGTCTCCCCAGGTTACAGGCAGGGGCGTGGACAACTGTCCGTCCCTCCCCTGCCCTGGAGCGGATGGATCCCTCCGGAAGCCCCTCCCTGGGCATTTCTGTGGCCAGGAGGGCAACAGCTTGACGGTGCTGTCCCCGGGGCTCGGAGGAGGGGCCCTGGGGGTGCAGGGGCAGGGACGCGACTGGGAGACCCATCATGCTGTGCCCCGAAGTGCGGGGCTGTAGGCAGTGAGCCCCTGGGGGATCTCGGACACACGCTTCTATCTTACACGCCTTGCATCTATCTCCGCACAAATCCTAAAAGGCTGGAGCGAGCGAGCAAATCCTCATCCTACGTGTCGTGTAGGGCAAGTGTGAACCGGATTTAGGAAAAGATTAAAGCACATCCCCAGCCAGCGCACGGGCCAAATTCGAACAGGAGTGCTTGTCCCGTGTTGGGCAGAGGAGGGGTGTTCCTGAAAGGACGCGGGGAGATGCCAGTGCGACCCCCAGGGCCCCGCTCTGGGCTTCCCAAACCAAACAGACCTCCCAGGGGACGGTCTCTGCCTGACGGGGGCCTCCCGGGCGTCACTTTTGGAGCGGGTGGAGCACCTGGGCGCATCCAACGGGCAGAGAGCCGCTGCTGACACCCCCCCCAGGGGCCAAGGAGGGGTGAGGCTGGCACCTAGGGAGCTTCCTTGCTACAGCTGAGCCCACGGGACGCCCCACCTCCAGCCATGGGGACATACCCTGGGAGCACTCCCTGGGGAGCCCGCACTTGCCTTCTCCCAGAACCGAGGTGTGAGAAGAAGATTCCAGGAGGTGGGGGCAGGCAGCTCCAGTGAACGTGGACATGGAATCCTGCGGGCCCTGGGCTGTGCCTTGCCTCTGTGCCTGGGGGACGGAAGGCCGGGGCTTCCATATGGCTTCGTGGAGAAGCTTCCTTGGGGACACAGAGCACTCTGGCAGTTAACACTTCCCGGAAAAAGAAAAAAAAAAACACTTCCCAGGCAGGAGACGATGAGAAATCCGCCAGCGGGGAGCCAGCACTCCGGGGTGGGCGTCACAGGGCTCTGCTGGGGTGTACCCCGCAGAGGCGCTTAGGGCACAGATGGTCCCCCTCCCTTTCAGTATAAAGACGGAACATTTCTCCCAGGATTTCCTTTCCCAACAAGGGCCTTGTGCGTTCTGGGCTGAGCGGTTGGCGCCTCTTGGTGCAAGAGGAGAGAGATTTGTGGCTGAGGAACTAAGGAGCGATGGCACAGTGGTCCTCTGAGTGCCGGGGCCCAGGTGGGCAGCGCCCCACCACGGCCTCCCCGTCTGGTGCTCGCCTGGGCGCGTGCGGAGCCGCTTCCCTGACGTGGCCCCACGGTTCCGGAGCCCCGGCTCGGGCAGGGACCCGGCGTCCCCACCCGTGCTCCTGGAGGTGACCGCACTGTGGCCTTTCCCATAGGTCGGATCCGAAACACTCCCGAAACCGATGAGTCCCTGATCGACCCGAACATCTTGTCGCTCAACATCCTCTCCTCCGATTATATCCACCCGGCCCAGGACGACCGGTGAGTCCCCTGGGGGGGCGGTGGGTTCCGTGCCCAGTTCCCCGGAGGCAGGGTCGGGGTTGGGCCCGGGGTGTGTCCTCAGCCCGCCATGCCCACGGCTGACCTGGCTTTGTAAGGTCCAGGATGTGTCCAGCCCCCAGACCCGCGGGCCTTCCTGTCTGACACCTCGGGACCCGGTGCAGGTTGGGGAGGCTCGTGGCCCTGAATTCAGCCCCTTGGTGTGTTTGTCTGCACATTGTCCCATCACTGGCTCACGCATTTGTCCAGCCTGTTCATCTGGTCACCTGGTGGAGGGGCCGTGGGAGTTGAGGATGGATGAGCTGGCTTCTGTCCTCAGGGGGTTCTGGGGGGCAGGCGGGGGTGTGGGGGCACCATGGGGTGGTGGGTGGACAAGCAGGCCTGGATTTCCCCGGCCACACTGCTGTGGGTGGTCTGGGCCCCTGGCAGGGGTCCTCGGGCTGGGAGTCCCAGGGGCGGCTGGGGGGTGCACGGGTCAGCGGTTCAGCTCTGGGGTGGAGTGTGCCCTCCGGGCACTGCTTGGCACATGTTCCTTGTCACTGGGCTGTTCCTTTCCAAGCTTGCGGTTAATGGCTGAGACCTGGCAGCCTGGGCGTCCTAGCTCCACCGCACCCGGGGCCATGGACGGGGTGTGCAGGCCCCCGACACACCGGCCTTGCTGGGGTTTGCCGGAGGTGGGGACGGGATGTGAGGGGTAGCATCTAGGGCCTGACGCGGGCTGGGGGCAGCTCGGAACTGCAGAGCACTGCCCCCTTGGTGGGGACACGGGCTTGGCTGTGTCTGAGATGCTGCTCTCTCAGGGCTTGGGGAAGCGATGAGGGTGTTCCAGGGTCCCGGACGGCTCTCCCAAGGCAGACCTGGCCTGGAGGGAGGAGCTGAGAGCTGGCCCTTGGAGTCTTCACGGGTTCCTGTGGCCGCGTGCACAGGAAAAAAACATCTTTGAGGGCTGGGTGTGTTTGGAGGGGGCCGGGGGGCCCCACACTTGCAGGGAGACCCGGCACCCATAAGGATAAAGGGTCCTGGGGCGTCCCGTCCCGTCCCGTCCTCCTGACCCCGGGGCCCAGATGGAGCCTGGGAGGGCCGTGGACGCCCTGGGGAATGGGCTGTAGGGGAAGCATCCCCGGTGTGGGCGGCTGGGGGGCCAGCAGTCAGAGACCGGGGGGGGGGGGGGGCAGCTGTGACTGGTTCCAGCCCTGCCCAGGAACCTTCCAGAAGAAAGTCCCCTGCACTTGAGTCCGGGGGAGGGGGGGTGGCCCGGGAGGGCCTGTGCCACTGAGGAGGGGTCTGTCGTTGAGTGACCTCAGCATCCCCCTGCCTCTGACCCTTCCTTTGCCCCAGGCATGATTATTGGGGTCAAAAGGGAGTGGGCGGCAAAAACCCAGGGGGTGGGGGGTGAGTGGTTTCCTTCGGGGTCCCCTGCCCTGTGTGCTCTCCCTATGCTGAAGACCATCTCCGAGGCGTCCCTTTGTCCCACCAGCACTGCTGCTGGGGGAGCCCCCAGGGGCCTCGGCTCGGGGCTAAGTCCCGGGCTGCTTAGGAGGCTCCAGCTGGACCTGGGGTCAGCAGGGCTTTGGCTACACGAGTCTCCCCGCCTGGGGCCCCATGGCTGACGGGCCTGTGGGATGTCAGGCTGGCCTCGGGCAGCTCCGGGTCGGTCGGCCTGTGTCTGAGGCCAGGACTGTCCCGTTCCCCCAGGGGTGGAGGAAGGCCCGTCCGTGGGGTGGGGCCACAGAGCTTGCCCACAGCTGCTCTGGCCTCAGGCATGGCTCCCGCCCATGCTGGGGCAGCCCCAGGACAGCGCCGAGCCCCCAGCTTTGCCCTAGAAAAATCTGGGGGACCCTCCCCACCTGGTGACCCAGGCAGGTGCTGCTCTGAGGCTTGACTGGCCAAGCCAGCGGCCCCCCCCGCCCCCCGAGGACCTGCCTCCCCCCATCCCACCCCAGCTGATGTCCTCGGAGCCCGCCCCGCAACGGGCCGCTTGGGTGGGCCCCTCTCCCCAGAGACGCTGAGGCTCAGAGCCCCCGGGCTTGGCTTGGGCCGAGGGCCGCGGGCTGTCCACGCGCTTCGCCACGGCCTCAGCTCCTCCTGCTCCGCGGCCTCCCCAGCTCACAGTGGGCCTGCCGCCGCCGAGGACCGCTTCTCCTCGCGCTGCCCCTCCCCGCGCTGCCGCTGCCCCGCTGCCCCGCTGCCCTGCCCCGCTGCCCCGCCGCCCCGCCGCCCTCACTAACCTGTAATTGTTTGTGTTTTGCAGGCAGTTTCTTGATTCGGACATGCCTAGGTATCATTTGTGCCCTTGGTTTTATTTTGGCCTTTCTCCCCCAGCCCCACGGCCCTGACATTTAATTTCAGCTTTTCGGATTTCTTCTACTCTCGCTCCCCTTTCCCTCCTGTCTCTCCATCTCCTTTAGTTTTATTTCCTTGGAATACTTTTTTGATTTTCTTTGTTGCTTCCTCTGCCCGCCCCGCCTTCCCTCCTGGCTGAGTCCCCTCCGCCCATACTCTTGATTTTGGCTGCTTTGGTAGTTTCCCGCCCCTCCTAGACGCTGGCTGGCCTCCCGCTCCTCCTGCCCCCGAGCCTGGCCGCGCCCCGCGCTGACCCCACCCTCGCCGGAGCGGGAGCAGGTGCCCACTGCATGCAGGCTGGCGGCCAGGCCCCGCTCCCTGCCAGGTGAAAGAGAAAAGAGGGGGCGGGGGGACCGTGGGCGACCCAGGACGGGAAGGCAGACGGGAACCAGCCCAGCCAGGGACCTCCACGCTCTGCACCTTCCAACCCTGGGCGTGGGCCCCTCCGCTGGCCCGGCTGGCGGTTCCGGCTGTGCTCCTGGCCTCGGCCGCCACACACCCTTTAGGGAAGTAGGGGGGTCGTTACGCTGTGAAGGGCCCGGTCGGTCTCTGGGCTCAGTCCGGTGGTCCCAGGCCCAGCGGCCCCCGGAGGCATGGCTTTCTGGGCAGGGGACGCCTGCCTCCCCGCCTCGAGTGGGGCCCCTGCCCATGCCCGTGGGGTGTGGGGTGCAGGGGGCAGTGAGGCCCTGGGTGCAGACGGCCTCAGCGTCCCTAATGGAGACCGTCCGTGAGACTCCAGTCTCTTCTGAGCAGAGGGTCGAGGTCATCTCCTTCGGGGTCGTGTGGATTGTGGTCAGAGCTCCGTGCCGGTGGTCCTGCAGGTCAGCCGTTTGGAAGGATGGAGTGAGCATTCGGAAGGTCCAGCAAGTGTCTGAGCCTTTAGGCTGCGTGGACAGGGACGAGGGTGGGGCTTGCTCCTGTGGAAGGAGCCCCAGCGTGGGGTGGGGGCACGACACGACCTTGGGGTCATGGCTGTGACGTCACCGTCACCGGGAGCTCACCGAGGTTCCTGCTGCTGTGACCCCAAGGGCATGCACATATGTGCGCCTCTGTGTTGGATGCGGGTTTTCCCGAAGCTGCTGCCCGCCCTCCCCGGGGGCCTGCCCGGGGGTAACGGGGGAGGGGGCAGCTCCCGCGCGGGGCACAGCCATGTGGGCACAGAGCAGGGAGCTGCCTCCGGGCAGTGGAGCGGGCTCACAGGGGAGGCCAGTGGGGAGCTGGGCTGCCCGAGGCCGTCGTCCCTTTGCTTTGCATCCGCCGGACGGGGCCCACGTCAAGGGCTGTTTCCTGGGCAGGTGGACGCCTCCAGGTCCCTCCGTGTGATTGCTTGGGGTGTGGGTGTTCAGGTCTGCGTCTCCACAGCCAGCGCGGTAGGCTCGAGGGTGGCTCACGGGTCCCCGCCCCCCACCCCCGCACATGCCTCCAGGAGGCTTCGGGGCAAAGCGGGGAAGAGACCCCGTGGCCAGGAGGCGGCGCCAGGGAAGGAACGGGAACCGTTCTTCAGCCCCCAACGCCATGAGGCCCTCACCCCTGCACCCAGGCAGGGGCTTCCCCACCAGGGCTCGCTGGCCCCAGGGGGCTTGGCCTGTATGAGGAGGCCCAGGGCACTGAAGGGAAGGGGGCGGTGGCAGGGAGCCCCCGTGGGGGCCGGCCTGGGCCCTAGAGGACGGTGGGCTGTGGCGCCGGGCGGGTCTGGTCCCAGGTGGGCGGAGTGGGGCGGGGACCCGGGCGGCCCAGCTGTCCCCGGGGTCAGTGCCCCAGGCTGGCCATGTGCCTGTGGACAGGTGGCAGGGGCTTCTGGAACCTCATTTTCCTTCCCCCTCGGAAAGGGGATAACCCAGCCCCTGCCCGAAGTTGCTGGGACACAAATGGGATGATTCGAAAAGCGCTTGGCGGGCCTGCTTGCACACAGTTGTATGAACGCGCTCACGTGGTCACTGACCCCTTACCCCTCACCCTGCCACTTACCCTCACCTCATCCCCTCACCCCGTCACTCCCTTACCCCCTCATCCCCTCACCCCTTCATCCCCAAATCTATCTCACCCCACATCCCTCTTCCTTTCACTGCATCCCTTTCCCCTTCACCCCTCCACCCCTCACCCCTCACTACTCTCCCTTCACTCCCGTATCTCCTCATCCCCTAACCTGCATCCCCACCCCTTCATCCTTTTACCCCCTCACCCTTTACCCCTTATCCCTCACCCCTTCACCCCCTCACCCCTCACCCCCTTGTCCCCTCACCCCTTCATCCCCAAATCTATCTCCTCACCCTACATCCCTCCTCCCTTCACTGCATCCCCTTACCCCTTCACCCCTCACCCCCTCACTTCTCACCCTTCCTCCCTTATCCCCTCATCCCCTAACCTCCATCTCCACCCCTTCATCCCTTCATTCCCTCACCCCTTTACCCCTTGTCCCCTCACCCCTCACCCCCTCACCCCTTCACCCCCTCATCCCCTCACTACTTACCCTTCACTCCCATATCCCCTCATCCCTTAACCCACATCCCCACCCCCTCATCCCTTCACCCCCACCCCTTTACCCCTCACCCCTTTACCTCACCCCCTCACCCCTTCACCCCCTCACCCCTTCACCCCCTCACTCCTCACCCCCTCATCCCCTCACTACTCTCCCTTCACTCCCGTATCCCCTCATCCCCTAACCCGCATCCCCACCCCTTCATCCCTTCACCCCTTATCCCCTCATCCCCTCATCCCCTCACCCCTCACCCCCTCAGTCCCGTAACCTCACTTCTCCATCCCTTCTGGTCTGAGAACTCTGTTGCTGCGCAGTGGGGGACACCGCAAAGCCGTGCACGTGTGGGCATCGGTGCAGGATCATCCCCGAGGCCAGGGTGTGAGCCCATCCCCCTGCTCTTAGCTGTGGGGTCCTGCTGAGCACGAGGCTTAATTTTCAGATTCTCAATGAATCCGTTTGCATCAGGAGGCCCAGCCTGCCTGCCCCCGACACTTGTCACAAGGCCTGGGGACCAGTCACAGCACAGTTGCCTAAATGTGCGTTTTGAGGCCGTGTGCGGTCGGCATGCCAGAGTCGCGTGTGGAACGACCGGGCAGTGCCCTCCGCTCACCCCCGCCCTGGCCGCCGGCTGAGACCAGCACCCGCCCCACCTGAGCTCTGCGGGGACACGCGCGGGTGCTCAGCCCGTTAGGTTAGGCCGGGCAGACGTGGTGGCTCCCGCGGAACAATGTGAGGGGACACGAACCCCCCCTGTTCTGGCCGGTGGGGCCACTGAAGCTTTCTGAGCAAGAATCAGCATGGAAAAAACACTTACGGCCTATGATGTTTTTTTTCCTTGCCAACAAAACCTTTTAAGTGTGTTTTCAGTTTTCCCCACGTGGGTCCTCACTTGTCAGATCGAGCTCCGTGCCCCGGAGTCGGAGTCGGGGGTCCCGCTCCTGGGCCCCCACTACCCGACCCTTGTGGCTGGAGGGGGAGTCAGCACAGAGGCCTCCCAGCGGGTCGGAGGCAAGACGTTGGAGGTGGCGCAGGGGAGGGCTGCCTGGGTCCCAGGCCCCCCAGTCGGCTGCGGGAGGAATCGTGCGGGAGGGTGTTGTCCTTCCCGCGGGAGGGTCTGGCAGGAACCCCAAGGCTCTGCCGCAGCCGTGCCCTGCCTGCCGCAGCCGGTCCCGGGGAAGGGGTCCGAGCACCGGGAGCTGTGCGCAGGGCGTCGCTGGACGAGGGACACTCGGGGCCTGGCCTGACGGGGGCCTGGACCTGAAGGGTCCGCGGGATGGGGGCGGCCCAGAGCATGGTGAGCGCGAGGGCGAGCTCAGGCCGTCCACTCACCAGGTGGCCCCACCCCAGTGTCTACCCCAGTGCGTCTGGGGTGGGGCCTGAGGATCTGCTCTGCGAGCAACGCGGTGCTCCCGAGTGGTGCTGCTGCTTCGGGTCCAGGGACCCCATGCACGCCCCCCCACCCCTGGCTCTGGCTCTGGGTGGCCATGGGGCAGCAAGCAGTGGTCCCTGCTATGTCCTGCGGGCTCAGCACTGCCCGTGGCTGCGTAGGTCCTACGTGGGGGGCTGCCACTCGCCACCCCTCCCCACCCCAAGCACACCCGCTGTCATCAGTGAGCCCTCTGTCTCTGCAGAGGCATCAGGGGCTCAGGAGTGTGGTTGAGGGTGGGGCTCCCGGCCTGACCCACGTGACCGTGTGTGCCGTGGCGGGCTGTAGGCCAAGGGCCGTTCTGCAGGAGCAGCATGGGGCTGGGGGCAGACCTGTGGTTTGGCACATTGTGGCTGTGCCAGGTCAGACCCCAGCCCCCTCGGCACCCGGGGAACGGCACAGTGAGAGGCGCCATCCTGGGCTGTGGACACGGGCCCGAGAGGGCCCCCCCCCACCGCCCTACCCCACCTCACACGTGAGACCCACAGGTTCTGGTTGTCGGACAGATTCTGGGTCACTGGGGTCTCATCAGGGCAAAAGCCACATCCCAGCTTGGCTGAGGGCCTCTTGGCCGAGAGCATCTCCAGGGGCCCTGGGGGAGTGAGCCTCGTGGACAGGGGGGCCCCTTTCTCAGGGCCCCCGCCAGTTCGGGCACAGCCCATCAGTCCTGGGCGAGGCTCCTGGCTGAGCCCTGGGTTTTGGGGTAGCCTGACGGGGCCGAGCACTGGCAGGGCCCGTCCTTCCTGAAGGATGCGGAGTGCACGCTGATGTAGGGGAGCCCCGCTGGTCCCCCGTCATGGCGCCAAGGTATGGGGGCAGCTGGCTCCCACACACCCAGGGCACTGGTGGGATCCGTAGTGACATCTGAGGCAGGAGAACAGAGGGGACAAGCTGGAGGGTTTGGGGCTGGCTGGCCCACTAGGCTAGGGCCCTCGGGCTAGCCTTCCCCCGCGTGTCATCGGGGCCTCTCGGCGGCGAGCACCAGTCATGAGAATAGTGACCCTGGGCCCTGGCCTCAGCAGCTCTACTAGCCCCTTCACCTCGCAGGACACCTCCGAGAGGCAGGGACGGTGACTGCCAGTGGTTTGTCCAGGAGCAGGGTACAGAGATGTCTGGTGACAGCCCGAGCTCACGCGGCTGCGCAGCGGCCCTCATCCAGCCCGGGCGGCAGTGGGCCTCTGGCTGTGCCTGCGGGGCCTGGCCCCAGGGCCTGGGGCACTTGGGAGCCCCCGGGGACGGAGGGCGTCCCTCTAGGTCTCAGTCATGGGTCTGGGGGACCCGCCTGGTCCTGCTGGAGATGGACCCAAAACTCTGGCCGCAGACGCGGGGTTCGGGGGTCGGAGAGGGCCCCACGAGCCGTCCGGGTGGCCGGCGGGCACGGCGCGCACCCCCGCTCACTGTCGTTAGCTTGTCCCGGCCGTGTGACGGTGCTCGTTCTGACATGTCCATCTCTTCTGTGTGTACTTGTGTGTCCTGGCTGCTTCCACCTTTAGCGTTTCATTCGGAAATGACACTAGGTACAGCTCACTTTTCTCTTCCGCACTTGCTTGGTCTGTCCTCTTCTGCTTTCCAACTTCCTTTCTCCCTCGCCGTCTCCCCGCGCTCTCTGTTGGTTCTCTGGTCACCCCGCTGTCCTCACGGCCCTTCCTCCGGATCTCTGTCCTTGGTGACGTGTACGTGACCGCGGCCCCACCCCATCCCGCTGCTTCACCCCGCGCCCCTGCAGCGTGCCCTGGAGGGCCAGGAGGCCGGGTGCGCTCTGCGCCCCGGGGCGGCCCCGCTCCTCCTGGCCGCCCCCCACCCCCGGATGGGGCCTGGCCGCGCCGGGCGTGCGCCGCTGCCCGCAGTGTGTTCACGTGTTCCTCAGCCTCGTCCCTGAGGATGCTTGGATGGAAACGGGGCACAGCTGGGTGCAGCACGGTGCCGCCCAGGACTCGCAGGGTGGCCACCCTCCGGAGGGAGGCAAATTCCCACCTCAGACAGGATCCTCACATGTGCACCCAGGCCCAGCAGGAGTCTAGGGGCTCTGGCTTCGGGTGCTTGAACACAGGAAGGGTCCTGTGCTGCGAAACCTGCTCTGGAGCCGAGGCCACGGAAGCCCCTCGGATCCTGGGCTCCTAGGGACGGCCTCGGCCGCCCTTGGAGGGATTCTGGGCCCCTGGCTTCTGCTCTGCCCACTTTCTTCCTGAGCTAGACATGGGGACACGGGGACATGGAGAAGAGCCTGGCCGCAGTGGGCGGGGGCGAGGCCGTCTGCACGGGCCACCCCAGCTTCCACTCCAAGCATCCTCCCCCAGGGGAGGAGATGGGCCACAGAGGCATTTGGCAAACCAGGCGGGTTGGCCCCTCCTTGCTCGTGCAGGGCAGGAGGGGGCGGTCCCCGTTCCGCCCTCTCCCCATCTCTCACCCCTCCATCGGCCTCCACCTCCTCCACCCTCCCGCCCTGTCCTCCCCCTTGTTGCCCCCTTGTTGCCACGTCCCAGCCTGCTTGCCTCCCTCCCTTCCTCCCTCCCCGCCCCCCTCTGCCCCTGCCCCCCATTCCTGCCTCAGCGCCAGCGCTGTGGGCCGCCCTGCCCGTCCAGGTGCAGGGACCCCCCCACGCCACCCGATGAAGGACGAGCCCGGTCTCCTCCCCACTGCCGCCCGGGCAGCTCGCCCTTCGGTGGCCAGTCTGCATGTCCCCAGCCCACAAGCACGGCCTGCACGCTGCCATGTTTTACCGTCTCTCTGCTTCCTTCCAGGACCTTCTACCAATTCGAGGCTGCGTGGGACAGCTCCATGCACAACTCTCTCCTGCTCAACCGGGTCACCCCGTACCGAGAGAAGATCTACATGACCCTCTCAGCTTACATTGAGGTGAGAAATCCCCAAGGAGGCCGACCCCACGCCCACGATGCTTGCCAAGGGGCATTGAGGGCGCTCGGAGGCCCTGGACAGCCCCGGGGGACCCTACAGTCTGCTCGCAGGACTGGTCGGGTCTTGTTGAACCTCCGTGCACTCCGTGGCACGGCTCACAGTGACCCCCTCCCGCTACCTTCCGTGTGTGGCTTTGCCCTCGGGGTGGCAGGATGGCTGCAAGTGCACCCCCCAAAGATGGTTAGAAGGGGGTCTGGGGCCCGGGTGCTGGGGTGCTTCTGTGCCTGAGCCCCACCTGCCCCCCGCTGCAGATGGAGAACTGCACCCAGCCGGCCGTCATCACCAAGGACTTCTGCATGGTCTTCTACTCTCGGGACGCCAAGCTGCCCGCTTCCCGCTCCATCCGCAACCTGTTTGGCAGCGGGAGCCTCCGGGCCTCGGAGAGGTGAGCCTGCGGGTGGGGGCGGGGGTGCCACCCGGGGCGCGGCTGGGGCGCCTCCAAGAGGTGAGCCTACCCGCCGTGGGGCGTGCCCAGGAGAGGCTCCTGTGACAGCCGCTGCAGGCCGGCCACCATCCCAGCCCGTCCCCTGCACCCAGGTCCCTGTCGTTCACCCCCGATGCTGGGGTCAGTGGAGGCCGCGGGGCACGGGTGGCACGGGTGGCACGTGAGAGAGGCCGAGTCCACCTGCAGGCACGGTGGACAAGGCCTGGGGCTCTCCTGTGGGTGGTCTTGGGGCCCCCACTCCACTGCCATGCCCGGACACCGCCCCCCAGGGATCTCAGGGATCATGCCATCAGGACCGGGGGTGGGATGCGACAAGGACACTCTGACAGAGCGCCCTGCCCCTTGGAGGTTGGCAGCACCCAAGGCTGTAGAACATCAGGCCCAGGACTGGCCGGACTGCCCTTCTTGCCCTCTCATGGGTCCCTGCATTCCTCGGGGGGCGGAGGAGTGAGGAGGGGGCTTTGCCGCAGGTGCAGAGACTGCCATGGGTGCCAGGCACCTGTGCTCACCTTCAGCGAGTCTCCCCACGCTGTCTCGGGGGCTCAGAGAGCAGGACACTCAGGGCGCAGCCAGGAGGGCGGAGTATGGGGCTCAGACTTATGGCCTGGGGCTGGCTATAGCTGGGACATCAGGGGCCTCCTGGTGAGCGGGGACACTGCCTGCCGGTGGGCCACCTCACGGTGGAGGGTGGTGTGCCCTCGGTGGAAGGGGCCTGGAGAGGTCTGGGATGGGGACCGTCATTCGGGGCTGCAGCTCGGGCCCCCAGTGCCCCAGTCGCCCCGCACAAGGCCACCCAGCACGGCCCTGCAGTGGGGCTTGTGTCTCACGTGCACCTGCTGGGCCCTTGCTGGGCGCGGGGTCAACCCTGCCCCCTCTGCTCCCCACAGTAACCGCGTGACGGGCGTGTACGAGCTCAGCCTGTGCCATGTGGCCGACGCCGGCAGCCCAGGTAGGCCTCTGCCCGCTGCGGGGGGGGGCACCCCGTCAGGAGCAGGGAGCCAGGGTCCCCTGGGGTCACACGGGTCGCCTCAGCTCAGCTGCCGTTTCGGGGCGCCTCCCTTCTGAGACTCAAGTGCTCGCCTTTGGACTTTGAGAGGCTGGAAGACCATGAGGGGAGAGGCCACGTTGGGGGCGGCCGCAGGGGCCGCGGTGCCGGTCACTCCCTGTGGGCAAGGTGCTCCCCGGGGGGCCGGCCTCCCTCGGGGCGAGTCCCCACCCGGACGGAGCCCAAGGCCCGGAGCCGGCGGGGATGTGGTCACACCAGGGCGCCCTTTCCAGGGATGCAGCGGCGGCGGCGGCGCGTGCTGGATACATCCGTGGCCTATGTGCGGGGCGAGGAGAACCTGGCGGGCTGGAGGCCGCGGAGCGACAGCCTCATCCTGGACCACCAGTGGGAGCTGGAGAAGCTGAGTCTCCTGCAGGAGGTGAGCGTGCGCAGCGGGCCGGACGCTGAGGCCGCGTGTCCCTCTGAGGGCCATGTCCCTCCCCTCGCCGCGTCCCCCTAAGCTCACCTCCAGTTCCTCTCCTCTCGTCCCACATCCCCCCCCTGCACTCACTGCATCCCCCTCCATTCCCCACCCCCTACCGTCCCTCCATCCCCTGCACCCCATCCCTCTACTGGCTGCCGGCACAGACCCTGGGGCCGCAGATGTGAGACCGAGAACAGCGCGCTCTGCCTTGAAGGGCAGCCGGGGTCTCGCCACATCCCCTTAGCACAGGGCCCGAGGGAACGGTGGGCTCTCCGGGCAGGCGCCCCCGGGGTGCAGCGGCCGAGCCGGGCTCTGGCTCTCATGCAGGTTGAGAAGACCAGACACTACCTTCTGCTGCGGGAGAAGCTGGAGACCACCCAGCGGCCCGGCCCCGAGGCGCCGTCCCCCGCCTCCAGCGAGGACTTGGGGTCCCACGGCTCCTCCAGCCCCTCGTCACCCCTCTCAGCCGAGAGCCGCCCGTCACCTCTGGAGACTCCCAATGAGAGGCAGCGGGAGCTGGCTGTCAAGGTAGCTCAGCACCGCCCTGACCCCGACCCCGACCCCTCCAGGGCTCCGGGGACTCGGCCTTGTCCTATCAGAGCAGGAGCGGGGAGGACGAGGGGTCCCTAGAGGCCCCTGGGCAGCCTTTTACAGCTTCCTCCCTGGAGCAAGGACCTGCTACCTTGAATACCTGTACTGAGGGGGGAGCTCACCACCTCCATCCAGAGCTGGCTCCTTCTGCATCTCAGGGGGCAATGCCAACCAGCCCCCCATCTTTGCCCAAGGCCCAGGGCCCACTCCCAGAGGCTCCCTGGCTTGCCATCACCTTGGAGGATGGAGGAGCTGAGCTGCGGCGCCCGGGCCCTCCAGGGGCCAGGCCTGTGGCAGGTCCGGGCACCTCCTGACTGGACATTTGCTCTCGTTGCAGTGCTTACGCCTCCTCACGCACACGTTCAACCGAGAGTACACCCACAGCCACGTCTGCATCAGTGCCAGCGAGAGCAAGGTGGGCGGAGAGGGGCTGCCCGCAGGGCTGTTGTCACCAAGGGAAATTCCACCGCTATCCGGGGAAGGAAATAAGGGTTTTCTTAGAAACATACTCTCGCGGCCTAAAGGAGCACCTCAGGTCTGAGGGCTGGTGTGCGTGTGGGGTCCGTGGGGCGCAGGCCCACTCAGTACCGCCCCTGCCCCCCCAGACCTGCCCACACGCAGCTCCCTCTGTCCCCGGCTGCTCAGGCCCCATCCCCGTGGCCGTCCTTCTACGGGGGGGCCGGGCCTGGGCTGCCCCTGCCCCCCACCGGCTCAGAGGCTGCACGTTGGCAGAGCCTAACCCGACCTCACTGGGGTCCTTGCTCGCTCTCGGGGGCCCAGCGGTCACGGATCCCTCCTGAGGCAGCACAGAGCCTGCAGCCCAGGGGAGGGCAGGCCAGGGGGCGAGTAGGGGCTGGGCGAGGTTCGGGGGAGGCTGGGCGGAGGGTCTGGCCTGCTGTTGGGAGGGCAGGGGGCCCTGGTGGGGGTACAGTGTGAGCGGAGGTGCAAGAGGCAGCCGCCGCGGGGGCGTCCCCACCCTGTACGCCCCCCAAAGGCTTGCTCTCCTTCACAGCTCTCCGAGATGTCTGTCACCCTGCTTCGGGACCCATCCATGTCCCCGCTGGGGGCGGCCACCCTCACCCCCTCCTCCACCTGCCCCTCTCTTGTCGAGGGGCGGTACGGAGCCGCTGAGCTGAGGTGAGTGAGCGCCCGGCTGCCGGAGAAGTTTCCAGGGCCGCAAACTGCCAGATGACAGTGGCCGTGACTGAGGCGCAGAACACGGGGTGGGGTGGGAGGAGGCACGGGTGAGCAGGGGAGGGGTCCACCCCGCGCCCTGCCCCCGGCCGGCACGGCGCCCGGCTGGCGTCCAGGAGGCTGAGTCTCCAGGGTGCTTGTTTTCTGCTGAAGCATTAACGTAAAGCGCAGTGAGGACTAGGACGAGGAATGGGTCAGAAGAGCACAAACCAAGCCGCCCTCGTCCCGGGGAGGTGCTCACCCCGTTCTCAGTAGGGGAGCGGCGACAGGTGGAGCCGAGAGACCCGCTGCTGTGCACGGGGACTGCCCTATTTATTCATGAGAGACAGAGAGAGAGGCAGAGACACAGGCAGAGGGAGAAGCAGGCTCCATGCAGGGGACTCGATCCCAGGACCCCGGGGTCACACCCTGGGCCGAAGGTGGACGCTCCACCCCTGACCCACCTAGGCCTCCCTGATCCCTTAGATTTTAAATCTGCACGTGCCCACGTTTTATTCATAAGACAAAAAAAAAAAGGCATCAAGCCCTGTGGGCCTCACCCGAGACAGCCTCTCTGGCCGTCGTCACCCTGTTGGGGCTCAGCAGGTGCCAGGGCCAGCAGCGGGTCCGTGCAGGGAGACGTGTGACAGCCCCCGTGCAGCTGGGGGGCCCCTTTCCCAAGGGGGGCGGCTGGAGGTGCCGCAGGAGCCCCGTGGTGGATGTTGTGCAGCAGGCCCTGTGGCCAGTGCGGGACCCTCCCCAGGGTGCGGCCGGGCAGCCCCTGAGAGGTGCCCGCGGCCTCCCTGAGGGGGTGATGCTGGCAACAGGAGGGAGCCCCAGCCCAGACAGTCGCCGCTCCGGCCCCGCCAGGAATCCCCTCGCCCGAACGCAGAAGCTCGGCTTTTCTTTCCAGGACCCCCCAGCCCTGCTCCCGACCCGCCAGCCCAGAGCCTGAGCCTGTGCCAGAGGCAGATTCCAAGAAGCTTCCCTCCCCTGCTCGGGCTGCGGAGGCCGATAAGGAGCCCCAGCGCCTGCTGGTTCCCGACATCCAGGAGATCCGGGTCAGGTGTGTGGGGGCCCCGCCCCAAACGGGGGTGCTTCTGCAGCAGCACCCAGCCAGCTCTGTCCCTAACCCAGGGCCGGCCACCCCTGACCTAGGGCGTCAGGCGGGAGGCAGAGAACCAGCGGACGGCACAGGGGAGGGTGGGCCAGGGCCAGGCCCGGGGAGGGACCTAGTGGGCGGCTCTGCAGAAACATGCTTTTAATGCACCTGTTGGTTTGGCCACTGCGCCAAAGGCCTGCCTGGCCCTCGCTGCCACGAGAAGGCCCCAGTCTGCAGGTTACGGTCGCGTGACCCAGAGTGACTGCATTTTCTTAGTTTCTCCATTTTACAGCTGGGGAAACTGAGTCCCAGCAACGGTGGTTCTGGTCTCCGGCCTCCCAGGTTGGGGCTCTGTCGGGTACCTCGTAGCACCCGGGGCCTGGCTGCGCTCAGAGGCCCGTTTTCTGACCTTCCTGCGTCAGGCACCGCCAGGGGCCCGGAGGGGGGGCGGGGGCCCATGTTGAGCACTGCCCCTGCGCCCCGATGCGGAGCGCGTGAGCCAGACGCTGTCCCCGCCCCGCAGCCCCATCGTGTCTAAGAAGGGCTACCTGCACTTCCTGGAGCCGCACACGGCCGGCTGGGCCAAGCGCTTCGTGGTGGTACGGCGGCCCTACGCCTACCTGTACAACAGCGACAAGGACTCCGTGGAGAGGTTCGTGCTCAACCTGTCCACCGCCCAGGTGGAGTACAGCGAGGACCAGCAGGCCATGCTCAAGGTACGGCCGGCCGGCCTGGGCGGAGGTGGGAGGCAGCGGGCCCCGTGTTCTCCGTGTCCCCCGGCTTGGCCCTGGCTCCCGGCGCTGGAGGCTGCAGTGCCCGCCAGCTGATTCTTGATGCCCTGCGGTGGGGGCTGGGGGCACGACCTCCGCCTGCCGCCCACACCTGCCCCAGCAAGGGCTCGGGCCTAGCGGGGAAGGAACCTCGGCCACGAGGGGGAGATGCAACCCGGGGAGGGGGTGCAGAGCGGCAGCGAGGTAGCCCTGGGGCCTGAGGAGAGGCCACATGTCCCGGCCGCATGTCCTGGCCTCATTTCTCAAGCGCCCACACGTGTGTGTTAGAAGGCGCCGTGCCCGCTGCAGCGAGTGGTGTGGCCTGGCCCGCCGTCTCCGCGGGTCGTCTTTCCCCCTCCTCACCCCCCGAGCACCGGGAGGCCCTGCACCGTCTCACATCCGCCGCCCCCGCAGACGCCCAACACGTTCGCTGTGTGCACGGAGCACCGCGGCATCCTGCTGCAAGCCAACAGCGACAAGGACATGCACGACTGGCTGTACGCCTTCAACCCGCTCCTGGCCGGGACCATACGGTACGCGGCTCCGTCCGCACGGCCCGCCTTGCTCTGGTTGGGCGGGGGGGGGGGACGTTCTGAGGACGTTAGGCGGCTTTTGCGGTTGCTGCTGCTGCTGGTGACATGTGTGAATCCCCGAGACGTTCAAGGCGTATGTCCTCCCGGGAGGGGGGCGGTTATGCAGCTAAAAACACGACACGCGGTCAGACTTGGGGACGGCCGGCCCTGGGGGGTGGGAGCCCCGCCTGCCCCTGCGACCTCTGCAAGGGGAGTCCCGCGGACAGGACCGGGTCTCCGGTGATGAGGGCAGCAGAGACGGCGTCCGCGACCGCTGCTTATCTCCCCACCCCTGCAGGTCCAAGCTCTCCAGAAGGCGGTCTGCCCAGATGAGGGTGTGAGCCGGAGCCCTCCCGCCACAGCCAGCAGGCCGGCCCCCCCCCAGCCCTCATCACCACCCGTCATGTCACGCGCCCAGCCTGCCCCCACCAGCCAGCCAGCGAGTCCCCTCTTGGGGGACAACGCGCCGGGCCCCGCGAGCGCCACCTCTGGCCTGGGGACCTGCGCCACACGACCTGTCCTGCTCCCAGCAGAGGCTGCGTCTGTTCTTTATTCTTTCTGAGCGAGCCCTGGGTGGGAAGAGCTGGGAGGTGCTGGGAAGGCCAGAGGGCACAAGTCACAGGGGCATCGCTGCCGTTCTAATATTTTTTTAAGCATAGACAGACTTATAATTAATATACATTAGTCCGTGACACTGGAACAGTCCCCCCAGAAATTAACTCTAAGACTGTGTTCTATTTATAAGTATTTATTTCTAATGCCTTCACCTAGACCTGTAGGATTCTGATGGACCCTGTCCCTTGCTTGATCCCATTCACATCCCCCAAGGCTCGTAGGGACGACCACGGCGAAGGCCGGGCACCTCCTGGTTGGCACCACGGGGGCTGCACGGGGGCAGGCCCTCATCCCGGGGTGTGCGTGTGTGAGCGTCAGGGGACCCGGTGCCCGGAGTCCGAGCCGCACGCGTGCAATCTGCAAGCCCCCCCTCACGGCGGCCACTGAGCCGGGCAGTGCGGCAGCTTCTCCGTGGAAGCGTATGCAGCCGGGGGAGGCCAGGCGGACGGGCTCCGGGGCCGGGGGGCTCTCCCGGCGGGGCCGGCAGGGTGCAGGCGGCTGGGGTTAGAGGTGGTCCAGGCGGCGAGGGCTTGTGGAGCGGCTTCTCCAGCTGCTGCGAGAAATGGGGTGAGCTCAGGGTGGTTGCTGGGGAGAAAGCGCGGGACTTCCCACCTCCGCCCCAAGAGAAGAGTTTCCGGGGGGCCCAGTGAGAAGATTCCAGGGGTCGGATGAGGGCCGCCGGCGGTGGGGTCGTGGTCGGCAGGGAGGCCTTCCCGTCCTGCAGCGAGGGTGTCGCCTTGTGCCGTTCCTTACAACGTCCACTCTGTTCTCTCTGCAGACTCCAGGCCTAAGGGCCAGCCCAGGATCCGCCCCAGGCCCGGGCCCGAGACCCGTCGGAGAAGCCACGGGGCCTGGGGGGGACCAGGGCCTGTTCCACACCCAGGGGCACACGTGGGCTCATTTCTCAGTCAAGGGTACACAGCAAGCAAACCCCAAACCCCTGCACCCCCCTCCCCGCCCCGGCCCACCGAGAGCGGATTTCAGAGTCCGGGCGTGCCAGGCCCAGGTTCCGGGGCCTTCCGCGGGCTTTGCCAGACCTGCAGGGCGCCACTCGCTGACCCTCACCTTCCCCTCAGTTTGGATTGCCCCGTCCCACCCCAGCCAATGGTCCCACTCCCCACCCCCAGCCCGAGCTGTCCCCCACGGCACCGACGCAACATGTGGACCTTGTCCCGATTCTACGCATGAGGCCAGAAGCACGTGTTTCCTCCAGAGGCTGAGGGCTCGGCTCCCACACTGGGCGAGGAGGTTCCGGTTTGGGGCTGACCGTGGGGGGCCTCCTAGAGGCCCCTTTAGCTCCGCCTCGGACATGGGGCCAGGCTGATGGGCTCGCCAGTCCGAGCAGCCCCGGCAGCGGTGTCTGGGCCCACCAGCCGCACCCGGCGGGGCGCTAGACGGAGCGTGCCTTCCCCACACCTGGCCTTGGGCAGCACGTCCGCGGCCACTAGAGCCACGGAAGGCCCCGCGGGGGCAGTAGCTCCATCACTAAGAACCACGTCGTGGGAAGCCACATCCGCGAAGCGCAGGCCTCGGTGGCTTCCGTGGAGACCCTCACGTCCCGGGCTGACCCAGAAACCGGACGTCCCTAGGCCGAGACCGGAGAGCAGGGGTGCGGCTCTGCCCACACCAAGCACTACGCTGGCTTCTCTGATGGGCTGGAGGGCAGGGAGGAGGAGCAGGAGGGAGGGAGTGTGCCAAGATGATGTGGTTCCCAGGAGCCCCCGCCCGCCGCAGGGAGACCGGGGTGCGGGCCCACCCAGGCCGCAGCCCACTCAGGCCAGCCAGCCTGCAGCCGGGGCCTCGGAGGGTCTAGGCCCTCGCACCCGGGGCGCAGGTGTCTGAGGCCAGCCAACCTGCAGGGCACCTGCCTCGTGGGGCGGGCGAAGGAAGAGGGCCCACCGAGGGTTCCTGGGAACCACCCTGACTTCGGGAGCCTCCACGGCCATGGAGGTGCGCCGGCGACTGCGTCATTTTGGCCTGGGGCCGCTTGGCAGTTGACCAGGAGCCAGGTGTGGGCCACACGGACGCCCGGCCCCGTCGTCACCACCAGACCCTCGGAGCTCCTGGGGAGAGAACTCAGAGTCCGGAAACCTGGTCTCCTCACGTCCGCCCTGCCGGAAGCCACCCGCGTGTCACGTTAGTGGGGACGGGCGTTTAACAAACCGGGACGCGGTCACGTGTGTGACCCGGGGGCCCCCGAGGGGCTGCCTGTCGTGCGGTGCAGAGAGGAAAGTCGGACCTGGCTATTTCCCACTGCCTTGGGGGATCGGGGGGGGGGTCCAGAAAGCCACCTCGGGGAGGTTTTTTGTTTTAGCGCCTGATGCCGCTCGTTTCGGTTTAAGGGACAGCCGTCCTCGCCCGGTGGGGGTGAGCTGCTGCTGCAGGCCCAGGAAGGGGTGCGGGGCTCCGAGGCTCCAGGCTGGTGCCCGGGGCGAGGGTTGAGGTGCCCCTACCTTCCAAGGCCGCCCCGTTCTGAGTCCACTCCCACGGTGCCCATGTTTCCGTCGCACACACACGCACACGCACATACACACACACACCCCGGGGTGGCTGCGGCGAGGTGCCCTCCCCCTCAGTCCTGGTCCCGACTCCGCGCCTGTGGGCGGGGGTGGCGAGGGCCCCCAAATGTCGCAGGTGTACGGGTGCGAGCGGGGGCGCGGTGCCGGCCCCCGTCAGCTCCCTCCAGTGTGGGACCCCGGAAGGCGCCCTCCTTTCCCCCGGGTCCAGGGCAAGCATTCCCCCGGGGATCAGCGGAGGCTGTGGCTTCTCCCAGGGCCTGTGCTTCGTGCAGCTAGCCGTCCCGAGCTCCTCCGTGGCTTGTACATATGTGGTTGTGTGGCACCCCCGGCCCCTGCACCGTAACCGCCATCCTGACGTAACGACTAGTTCCCTGACGTCCTAAACCTGAGTGTTAGGCTCTAGGCTCCTGTACTGTGTGTGCACTAAGATCCTGTCCAGTTAAGAAATAAATGTGGCTCCTTATGCAGCACCAGACCTGCGGGCCTCCACTGTGGCTTTATTGACGTGCTAAGTCCAGGTGGCGCGGCCAGAGACCGGGGGTGGGGGGGCGGCAAGGGGCGCGAGGGCGTGCACCCCGGGAGCGCCCACCTGCTTCCCTCGGGCTCGCCAGGCGGCCGCACGCTCTTCCGTACGGTCACGTTTGCCTCTGGCCAAAAGCACACGGAGATCCCAAGAACAACTACAGCCCAGGGTCCTTCAACAACATAGAAGATGAATATTTTCAGTTACATTTTACCAGGACGCCTGGAGGGCTCAGGGGTGGAGCGTCGGCCTTCGGCCCAGGGCGAGACCCGGTGTCCCGGGATCGAGTCCCGCATCGGGCTCCCCGCAGGGAGCCTGCTTCTCCCTCTGCCTGGGTCTCTGCCTCTCTCTGTGTCTCTCATGAATAAATAAATAAAATCCTAAGAATAAAATGTATATACTGAAAATATAAAACATTGATGGGAGAAACCGGTCTTTGGACGTAGACGTTACGTAATGCATCAAGGGTGTTCGTTGTACCCTCGGGTTAGCAATGAAAGTCCATGAGGAATTTTCGCCAATAAGCTAACAGAAAAGACCCAACAGGGCAATGAAAACATACAGGATCAATCAAAAGACATGAAAATGAAAGGTAAGAGGGAACAGAGCAGTTGGGCAAAAAAAGAAAGCAAATGCTAAGACGACAGGCGTCCGTGCAAATGGGCCCTTCGTGCCACCCGCTGGCAACGGGCGGGTCCTGCTTCGTGGGGGAGACGCCGGCGGCGCCGGCGAGGGGAGGCGGTGTGTGAGCGACGCTGGCTGGGAGCCCATCGCGGCCGCATCACGGCCCCACGGCACGCGGTTATTTTCCACGAGAGAAAACGGAGGCAGGACGGGCTCCGCTTCTGGAGGAGGGGAAGGCGCCGGCAGCTGCAGCATCCACCCCCCCGGGCAGGCGTGTGGGTTTGGGGTGACCCCAGATCCACCTGTGTGTGACCTGAGCGAAGTCGTCTTGCTCTCGGGGCGCGTGTGTTTAGCTGAGAAGCTGTCGGGCGGCTGTTCCCGACATTTGTCGTCCGCAGTCGCAACCGTGGACCCGGGCGTCAGCCCTGCGGGGCCGGGCGACTCCTGGCCGTGGTCAAAGTGGCCGACAGACACCGCTTCCCGCCAGCACAGCCGCTCCATCCCCACCCCTCCCCGCCGGCTCGGCAGCCGTGGACCTGGGCTTCGGGCCCCGGGAATCCGCTCCCGCTGGCCAGGCTGCCGGTGCCTGGACCCGCTCCCGGCAAGGGATGCCTCCGCTCAGGTGGCCTTGCGTTCCGTCCTCTGCCCTTGCCTGGAGTCGGAACAGTCTCCGATCGGCTAGAGAATGTCACCTATCGGCTTAAGAGACATCGTCCTGGAGCAGCCCCGGTGGCTCAGCGGTTTAGTGCCACCTTCAGCCCAGGGCGCGATCCTGGAGACCCGGGATCGAGTCCCACGCCGGGCTCCCTGCATGGAGCCTGCTCCTCCCTCTGCCTGTGTCTCTGCCTCTCTCTCTCTCTCTCTCTCTCTCTCTGTTTCTCATGAACAAATAAATAAAATCTTTAAAAAGCAAAAAAAAAAAAAAAAAGACATCGTCCTGCGTGCTCTTGGCTTGGGAACCGTTCCTACTATGAATGACAACTCCCCGGTGGGCCTGTGTTAAATAAACTATTGGCAAAGATAAGTAGCAGTTTCTGAGCATGATTTGCCCCAAATAAAACATCTGGAAGGTGGCAAACTTTATGCAAAAAAACCTCGGTTCTTCAACAGATAAACCGTTACGATGAGCGCGTGAAGCTCTCAACAGGCGGGACGTGTGCTGTTGGCGAAAGGGCCGACGAATACCTCGGTGGAGCAGAACAAATCCGCGCAGAGTCCACGGATGTTGCCAAAGGAGCAACAGCAACTCGATAGGGAGAAAATAATGTTTTGTTGTGTTTTGCGATTTTTTTTTACCCATTTGGCAGTGAGGTTAAGAGACAGAGAGAGAGAGAGCGTGCGCACAAGCAGGGGTAGCACAGGGAGACAGGGGAGCCGACTTCCCACCCAGCAGGGAGCCCCATGAGGGGCTCGATCCCAGGACCCCGAGATGTCGACCGGTGCCCAAGGCAGATGCTTCACGGCTGAGCCCCCCAGGCGCCCCCGGGACGGTCTTTCCAACAACGGTGCCGCAGCCCGGGACGCCCACGTGCAAGAAGCCAACACGACACCGTACTCCTTTCACAGACGTTAAGCCCTTAAGTCGAAATCGAATTTAGACCCAGACGTGAGGCACAAGACCGTAAAGCTTTTAGAAATACTTATCAAAAGACGTCATTGAGGAAGTGGAATTGGGTGAAAACATGTGAAACAATAACAGGACCGGGGACTTGGCTCCAGGGCGCCCACGGAATCCGTGAGGAATCACTAGGACCTGGACAAGCACACGCGGCCCAGTAAAATGCTGAGGGCCGAGCGCAGCGCGCCACGAGCTCCTGCCCGGCCGTCTGTCGCCGGAGGACGCAGGAGCCACCGCACCGGATCAGCACCGGGCGCACCTTGGGGACAGATGTGACCCGGCCTCATAAAGCTGAGCAGGGCCCTGCCCTACGCTCTGCGCATGGGGGCCTCTGTGCTGAGCCTCTGTCCTGCGTGCTCCGCTCTGGCAGCTTCCTGCGTGACAGCCCCACGCCCAGGACACCTGCGCTCACCCCCTCGGGAGGGCGAAGGCACAGGCTCCGCTCACCCACCAGCTGGCCTCTGCTCAGTGGGTAGGACCATGGGCGCCCACAGCCCCACACGAGGCCGCCCGGCTCAGCCGTGTGCAGACATCGGAGGCCTGGCACCTGTCGCCAGTGGGGCCTGCAGGGGACCTGGCACCTGTCACCCAGCAGGGTCTGCGGGAGGCCTGGCACCTGTCGCCGGTGGGGTCGAGGGGGGCCTGGCACCTGTCGCCAGTGGGGTTGAGGGGGGCCTGGCACCTGTCACCCGGCAGCGTCTGTGGGGGGCCTGGCACCTGTCGCAGGTGGGGTCGAGGGGGGCCTGGCACCTGTCGCAGGTGGGGTCGAGGGGGGCCTGGCACCTGTCGCTGGTGGGACCTGCAGGGGGACCTGGCACCTGTCACCCGGCAGGGTCTGCAGGAGGCCTGGCACCTGTCGCAGGTGGGGTAGAGGGGGGCCTGGCACCTGTCGCCGGCGGGGGACTTCGCACCCAAGGCTGCCGAGCTTCCCTTTAGTTTCAGCTGAAGGTTAAAAACTGTGTAAATGCAGTCAATGCCCCGCGGTCCTGGGCGCGAGGGGCGGGCCCACGGGGGGGGGTCTGTGCGGCCCCCAGGGTCCCCGGCAGCCCCGCGCCCAGGCGGGGAGGGTGGGGGCCTCGCGGAGGACGCGCGCCCTGCCCCCCACACCCACGCCTCGGCTCCCGGGGGAGGGACGGTTGTCCGCCTGGGGGGGGCAGCAGGGGGCTCTCCCGGCGGGTTCACTCTTCACTCACCCCTGTGCCCCCCCCCCCCCCCGCCCGGCGCCTTCCCCGCCGCAGGGAAAGAGCCGGACTCGCGTCATCCACTGAGACAAGCGCAGGCGGCTGCTGTGCTGCGCCCCGACCCTCCCTCCGGGTCCCCTGGTCCCCTGCGCCTCAGTCTCCCCAGCCGAGCAATGGGAGGTTGGCAGGGGGAGCCTTGGGGCTGGACCACTGCAAAGGGACCCTGGGGAGCAGCGGCCAAGGGGACAGGCCCGCCCCGCCCTCCGCGCCCCGCCCCTCCGCACCCCTCCGCGCACCCCGCGGGAGGGCGGCTCCTCCTGGACCCTCGGGCGTCCCTCAGGCCTCGGGGAAACGTGACCACGGGGCCTCGGGCGGGGGCGGGGGCGGGGGCGGGGGCGGGGGCGGGGGCGCTCTCGGGCGCCTCCTCCGCTGCCGTCACGCTCAGCCCCCTCCCGCTGCGCTCCGCCCAACTCCTTGGAGGGAAACCAAGGGTTTTGATGGGCGGTCCCGCCGCCTTCCCGCGGGGGCAGGGGCGCAGCAGCGTGGGGGGGAGGCAGGGGTGCGGGGGGAGGTCAGGGCAGCTGCGGCGGGCAAGCTGGGCGGGAAGGAGGGGCTTATGCGGAGACCCCGCCTCCGTGGCTCCGCCCCCCACCGCCCACTGTGCCCCCGCCCCGGGGCCTCCCGCCCCCCTCAGTCCAGGAGGCCTCAGCCCCGCCTTCCCCAGCGGCCCCTGCCCTCCCCTCCTCCCCTCCTCCGCCTGGGGCGCCCCGCCCCGCCTCTCCCCTCCCCCCGAGGCCCCGCCCAGCCTCTCCCCGCCCAGCCTCTCCCCGCCCAGCCTCTCCCCTCCCCCCGAGGCCCCGCCCAGCCTCACCCCGCCCCCAGGCCCCGCCCAGCCTCACCCCGCCCCCCGAGGCCCCGCCCAGCGGGCAGACCCCTCCCCCCAGCCCCAGCCCACCCCCAGCCCAGGAGCCTCTGCTTGCTCCTCCGAGGTCCCCACCCCCACCCCCGCCCAGAATGACCCCTCCACTCCTAGGGGACCCAGTGCAGCGGCGGGACATCCCCTGTCCCCTGAGGGGCGCTCCTCCTCCATGGCCTCCTGGGGGGACCGGGTGGGCCCGCGACCTCCAGGCTTGTGTCCCTGAGACCGGGCCGGTGTCCGGACAGTGTCCCAATCTCCCCCGCGTGTCTGGACTCGGGAGCCCGCCCTGCGGGGGTGCGGGCGGGGCGGGGGGGGGCTGGTCACAGGGACGCGGGCCCGCGGAGGGAGGAGGGCGGGGGCTTCTCTTGCAAGGTCCTCGCGTCTGCGCGATGGTACGGAGGCGCCTGAACTCGGCCAGCGGCTGTCCTAGGGATGCGTTTTATTTGTCTACACTGCTAGGTGTGGCGGCCGGTTTCTGCAGGTGCAGCATCTTGAGGCACCCAGAGCAGTCAGGCTGGAGCACCCTCCCTCCCTCCCTCTCTCCCTCCCTCCCTCCCTCCTGCCGGAGGACCCGCCCCGGGGGACCTGGTGACAGGCGGGCCACAGCGCAGGTGCAGGCAGCCGCCCGGCTGGGCCCACGGAGCCAAGAGCGCGGGGCGTGAGTCACCAGCTGCAGTGGAGGCTTTGAAGCCACGGGCGGTGTCTACACCCACGGCTGGCCGGGTGGGGCAGGGGCTGGCGTGTGTCACGGCGGGGAGGACGCTGGACCACGGGCCGCAGCAGGTGGGGTGGAGACGAGGGCACAGGTGTGGTGTTGGCAGGGGCGGCCGCCCAGGTGCCCGCTCCCACGGCTTGGCCTTGGGGTGGGGGCGGGCCACGCCTCGTCAGCTCGGGTCCCCTGCTCCGCCCTGCTCCGCGGGGCCCCCAGACTGATGGCTGGCCTGAACGTGTCCCTGTCCTTCTTCTTCGCCACCTTCGCCCTGTGCCAGGTGGCCCGGAGGGCGTCCAAGGCCCTGCTCCCCGCGGGCGCCTACGCCAGCTTCGCGCGGGAGGCGGTGGGCGCGGCCCAGCTGGGGGCCTGCTGCCTGGAGCTGCGGATGTTGGCGGAGCTGGGCCCCTGGGCGGGGGGCTTCGGCCGCGACGTGCTGCTGACCCTCGTCTTCCTCCTCTTCCTGGCGCACGGGGCGACCTGCGATGGGGCCTGGGCCAACCCCACGGTGTCTCTGCAGGAGCTCCTCCTGGCCGAGGCCTCTCTGCCCGGCGCGCTGCTGCAGCTGGCGGCCCAGGGGCTGGGCGTGCAGGCGGCCTGCGCCCTCACGCGGCTCTGCTGGGCCTGGGAGCTCAGCGACCTGCACCTGCTCCAGAGCCTCATGGACGCTCACTGCAGCTCCGCCCTGCGCACCTCCGTGCCCCACGGCGCGCTGGTGGAAGCTGCCTGCGCCTTCGCCTTCCACCTGACCCTCCTCCGCTTCCGGAACAGTCTTCCTGTCTACAGGGTGCCCGCCGTGGCCCTGCTGGTCACCGTCATGGCCTACGCAGGTGAGACTTGTGTAGGTGCCCACGGGGCCGCCCTGCCCACCTGCACTGGTGGGACACGCAGGAGAGGCTGCCGGCCTAGGGGGCACCGCCAGCCCCCAGAGACCGCGGGTGGCCAGATGGTGGCCAGCTGGCCTGGACACAACCCCCATCTCCCATCATCCTCCCCCCATGTCCCATCCCCCATGCCCCACCCCCATCCCCGACCCCACCCTCCCCTCCCCCATCTGTCATCCTCCCCCCACCCCCATCCCCCATGCCCCATCCCCCATCCACCATGCCTGTGTCCTGGCCCCTGGGCCTCCAGACCCAGCTCCTGGGGTCCCTCAGCCCCGCGGAAGCTGCCCTCCCCACCTCGGGGGAGAAGCCAAGAGCCGAGGCCAGCGGCGGCCGCGCAGACTGCTGAGCTCCCCGGCAGCTGTCCCTGGCCGTGGGGACAGAGCCGGGCCACACCTCCGGGGTGCCAGGCTGGGGCTGCTGATAAACCCCCAGGGGCCCCGCCATCCTTCTCTGTGGGACTGGCTCCCCTGGAGCGTTCTCCCGCCATGGACGGCTGCCCCCCCCCAGGGCACTGTGTGCTGGTGGGACAGGACGCCGGAGTGGGCTCTCCGGGCAGGGTGGGGTGCAGGTCATGCCGTGGGCGCCTCACGCCTGCTCAGGGCACTAGGGCCACAACCACGACCAGCTCTCCCGAGTCTGCGTCCGGGGCAGCGAGGCCCAGTAGGGACAGGACCAGACACTGTGTGCCCCGAGAGGCGCCCCTAGAGCCCGAGTACAGGTGGGGAAGCTGAGGCACGGGTGAGCAGAGACTCGCCGGGAGAGGGCGCTGGGTCCAGAGCGCCCGGGCTGCGGCCCCGGGGACGGGGAGCTCCTGCTTCAGCCCCGCAGCGTCCAGGACGCGGCCGAGAGCCTGGTCTCCCCCACAGCTTCGGCCCTAGACGGTGTCGCTCGGCACAGGCGCGGGTGCTCTCCCGGGTCTCTCCAGGCCGCCCGGCCCCTCCCTCTCGTTTCTCACTGCCCTCAGCCCTCCCCGGTGCCCGTCTCTGCCTCTCTCCCCCTGTCCCCGTCTCTTTCTCTCCTCATCTCTGTCTCCCTCCCCATCTCACTGTCTCTCCCTCTGTCTCCCCATTTCTGTCTCCCTGTCCCTGTCTCCCTCCCGTCTCTGTCTCTGTCTCTGCCCCCCTTTCTCCCAAGGACAACCTCCCCCGGGGGGCCGTGGGGATCAGGGGCGGGGGACATAGGTCACCCGGCCAAGTGCCCGGGCCGGCAGTGGAGGCTCCAGGAGAGACTCTGGTGGCGGCTGCTCCTAGATGCGGGCGCTGGGCCTTGGCTGCGGGGCCTCCAGCCCGTGTCCCACGGGCCCCGGGGTCAGGGGGCGGGCCCCCCACAAGCACTGTGCGCTTCCTCCCACAGCTGGGCCTCTCACGTCTGCCTTCTTCAACCCCACACTGGCCACCTGGGTCACCTTCCGCTGCTCGGGCCACACGGTGCTGGAGTACGCGCAGGTGTACTGGCTGGGGCCTCTCGCAGGTGAGGCCGGAGGGCCCTTGGGCATCCAGGGCTGCTGGAGACAGGCCGGGTATGGGGTCCCTGGGCTCCTTCCTCCTTGTCTGGGCAGCTGAGGGGGACGGGGCTCCCGCTAGGCCATCGGGGGCGGGGCCGCGGGGCGCCCACTGGCGGGGCTGTGGTCGGAGGGGCTGGCGCGGGGGCGAGGGGCGGCCGGGATCGCGTCCTCACAGACCCTGAGCCGGACGCGCGCGGCGGGGAGGACTGGAGCCTGCCAGGCCCTCGGGCCCGGGTCTTCCGGCACCTGGCCTGGGCCCCACCTCACCCTCCGTTCCCTATCGGGCGGTACGTGGGGTCCGGGGAGCTCTGGAAGCTTCCTCCACTTGTCTGCAGGGAGCACGGCCCCAGCCTCCCCAGCGGCCCCCGCGGCCGGCGGCCCCCAGAACGAGAAGGCCCAAGGTCGGAACCTTCCGTCCCTTGGCCCCGTCCCTCGGCCCCGTCCCGGGGGCGTAGCAGTCCCGTCGCGGCCCACGTCCCGGAGGCGGCCAGCGCTGCCTTGCACACCTGGCTTCTCTAACGGGCTTGCAGAGCCGCTTGGCGGGTTAGAGGCCCTCGGTCTCCACCCTCCCCGCCTCCGCCCCGCACACCTCCTCGCCCTCCCTGTGGGCCCCGTGGGTGAGAGCCCGGGGTGGGGGTGCTCCACGGGGCTCCGAGGTTACAGCTCTGTGGGCCTGGGCTGCCTTCTCGGGTCCCCGCTCTGTCCCGTGCCCCAGGTTGGCCCCGTCCCTCCTGCTCAGTGTCCCTGTGGGGTTCCAACTGCAGCGTCCGCGGCCCGAGGGGCAGAAGGGCTCAGGGATGCCCCCACCCTGCCCCCACTCCCTGCTGGGTTGCAGTCCCTCTGCCTGTTGGGGTTACCCTGCCTCTCGGGGAGGGTCCAGAGAAGGGCCCCGGCTGGGATATGAGACCTCGGTGTCGGAAATACGACGCCCTGGCTCCCACCTGCCGGGCGGCCTGTGGGGCCGTGAATTCAGGTCTGGAGGGGAGGCCTGGTCCTGGGGGGAGGCCCCCCGGCCCCTGCACTGGTCTGCCAGGCTCCGTAGCCGCACCCACACCCCAGGGGCCTGCAGCCCCTCGCACCTGGTGCAGGTGAGCACGCAGGACTGCGGGTGTCCAGCCGCGCACCCCCAGCCGGGTCCCCCCGACTTCCTGGCCTCTGGTGGAGGCTGTCGGGCCGGGCCTCCCTTGGCTTGTGGCTGCTCCTCTTCAGTCTTTGCCCGCCCCCCGGTGGCCTCTGCTGTGAGTCTGTCCCCTCTGCTCCTCCTCCTCGAGGGACGCCAGCCACCCTGGAGTTAGGCCCACCCTTCCCCACAGTGACCTCCTCAGCTTGACGACCTACGTACACAAAGATCTTATCTCAAATAAGGTCATGTTGTGAGATTCTGGGAAAGACGCGAGTGCGAGGGGTCACCATTCAACTCAGTACGGCCTCCGCCTCTGTAACTGCTGTTGTGGTGCCCAGAGCCACTAGGGTTCCTGTGGGGACTGGATGGGCGGGGAGGCTGGGGGGTCTGCACCCCATGTGCATGGGCCTGCTCTGCCCCTGTTCAGGGAGGGCCCCCACCCCCTGGGTGCTCTTGCGGCCCCGAGGCCACATGCCCTGTCTATGTCCTGCCAGGGTCGGGGTGGGGACCGCCAGGCTGTTTCCATAGGACGGGGCACCCACAGAGCCAGGCATGCACAGGGACGGGCTCCCACAGGGACGGGCTCCCACAGGGCTCAGGACACGCAGCTCCTCACACCAACTGCCCAGCCTCCTGCGGGCCAGCACCGGGTGCTCCCACCTGGGGGACCCGGCTGCGCCCTGCTGAACCTCGAGGGGTCGCGTCCAAGGGAGCAGGCTCCATCCAGCCTGGCCGTGCCGGCTGAGGCTCCTGCTCCCGGGTCCCACTCGCTCCTCGGTGTCGTCTGCGGCAACGGTCTGTCCTCGCTGGTGGCCCCACCTTTGCCGAGTCTCCGTCAGTTTAGTGCAGCTGGGCCAGTGGGGTCTGGAGGGAGCCTGGGAACCGGGGTCCGGGGCCCAGCCTTGGCCCCCCGCTGTCTCCCCTTGGTCTCGCGTCCTTCGCTCACACCCAACCCGGCCTGCGCAGGTGACAGGTCCCCATCAGGAGGCAGCTGGGGAAGAAGAGCCAAGTGGGGACGCACAAGGCTGAGGGCGGGCCCGGGCCCCCGAGACAGCCGGGGGGGATTGGGGTTCCTGCCACTGGTCCCCGGCCTGAGGGGTTGATGCCTGGGCCGGGCCTGCAGGGTCCCCGGGCCGCGTGGCCGGAGCCTGCTGGGCCCTGCGGTGTGACCCCACTCCTCGCAGGCATGGTGCTGGCTGTCCTGCTGTACCACGGCCGCCTTCCTCGCCTCTTCCGGAGGAACCTGCTGTACAGCCAGAGGAGCAAGTACCGAACCCCCAGAAGGAAGCTGGCCCCGGGGTCGGGAGCCGCCCAGACGCCTGCAGAGGGGCGCAGCAGCCGGGAGCCTGGAGCCGAGGGGGCCCAGACCCGCACCCTGCTCTCCCCCAAAACCAGTTGTCAATAAACCATATTCCTGAGACCCGCCTGTCTCCCTGGCCTGAGAGAGCTTTCCAGAAGCGCGGGCAGGGGGAGCCCTGTGCAGTGGAGGCCCAGCAGAGGCTGCCCCGAGGCCCCTCCGTCTCCCCACGAGTGGGAGTTAGAATCAAAGGTAAGGCCTGGAGGAAAGGCAGGAGGTGCAGCGCCCGTCCCCAGGTGCTTGGAAGACCCGAGGGCACAGGTTTGCACGCTGGTGCCTGGCTGCCCGACGCACCCCGGAACCCGCGGCCTCCTCACCCTGCCAGCTGCCGGAGCCGAGGCTGCACCCAGGGTCCCCGGCCCTCAGGGCGGCGCCCCCGCAGGTCCTTGGAGCCTGGCAAACCACCCCTGCCATCACTGGGGTGACAGCTGAAGCCGGGGCTCCCCGCCAGGCTGGGGAGAGCCATCTCCTCCCCCGAGGACCAGACCTAATCTGGGAACCTGCAGCCCAAAGTGAAAGCCCTCCCCGGCTTGCGGTCCTGGAGCCCCGGCCTGCAAGTGAGGCCAGTAGGGGCTCCAGCCCCAGGCTTCACCCTGGCCTCTGGCCGAGGGGGGCAAGAGACAGAAGACTAGGGTACAGGTGACCCTTTCCCTCGTGTGGAGGCCGTGTTGTCCCCCCCCCAGCTTCCCAGGGGATGGGAGAAAGCAGGACCCCCCCACCCACTTCCTACAGCTGCCCCTTCACCCCCTGGAAAGCTGTCCCCCCCGACCCGGCAGTGAGCCTCCCCGTCCCTCCTTGGGGTGGCCGCCTGGCGGCTCCTGGACGGCCTGGCGGGGCTGCACAGAGGCTTCCAGAAGGAGGAGCCTGAGCACACGGCTCCCTTGGAAGGGGACTGTGCGGGCGGGGGGACGAAGCAGAGGTCGTAGCCCCGGGAAGGAGGGGAGGCTCCGCGGGGCGACCCCGGGCCGCACACCAGCTGGCACGGCTGTCCCCACCGAGCATCCTCGCTGCCTCTGCCCAAGCACTTCGGGCTGGAAGCTTCTGGCGCCCGCACAGGACACTGAACCGGTGAATTAGCATAAGATGAGCAAACGTGTGGACGTTGCAATAAAGCGCGTCAGCAAATTACCAGAACGTTCAGAGTTTGCGGTCTTCGTTTCGGAAAACTTCAATTCTGTAAGGCCACGAGCTCACCACGAGCTCAGAAGCAGACGTTCCACCTAAGGAGCACCTGCATTTGGTGGAAGAGGACGCGACTTTTGTACGAAGCTGTGATGAACCGATTCCTTTTTTTTTTTTTAATTTATTTACGATAGTCATACAGAGAGGGAGAGAGAGAGAGGCAGAGACACAGGCAGAGGGAGAAGCAGGCTCCATGCACCGGGAGCCCGACGTGGGATTCGATCCCGGGTCTCCAGGATCGCGCCCTGGGCCAAAGGCAGGCGCCAAACCGCTGCGCCACCCAGGGATCCCTGAACCGATTCCTAACAAGGAAGACGACTTAAAGAATCTGGAAAAGCAGTTTAACACGGAGAATGCAAGAGTGGTTCAGTGAATATACGTGATTCACCTTATTAATCAAAAAATAAACTCACACAGTCCACTCCACGGATGCTTGAGAAGGCATCTGAGAAAGTACAACATCCACTCCCCGTCCAAAAAAAGAGCCGAAGAAAAAAATACAAATAGAAAAATAAATATAAATAAACAGACAGATAAATAAATAAATAAATAAATAAATAAATAAATAAATAAATAAATAATAAAAAGGAGCCGACATATTAGGGTCACTTCCCAGCTGGGCGCACACAGCGCGCACCTCCTTGGCGGGGACGGACCGCGGCGGAGACGTCGGCTGCTGCAACTGGACGGGGTGGAACAAGCGGAAGAACAGCAGTTCCTATCGCAGATCATGCGATGGTGATACAGGAAAAACACAGACGACGCAAAATCTGACACACGCTGGCAGAGGCTCAGGACGGTCGCCACGTAACCAGGCGAGACCCGGGGGGCTCCACGCAGTGGAGCGAGACCTAACGGCACTGGGTGTTATGCTGGCAAATTGAACTCCAATAAAAAAAATATACAAAAAACGGGATCCCCGGGTGGCTCAGCGGTTTAGCGCCTGCCTTCGGCCCAGGGCGTGATCCTGGAGACCCGGGATCGAATCCCACGTCGGGCTCCTGGCGCATGGAGCTTGCGTCTCCCTCTGCCTGGGTCTCTGCTTCTCTCCCTCTGTTTCTCTGTGTCTATCATGAATAAATAAATAAATAAATCTTAAAAATATATATATACAAAAAAAACACACTAAAATTTTTAAAAATTAAAAAAAAAAAAGAAGGGATCCCTGGGTGGCGCAGCGGTTTAGCGCCTGCCTTTGGCCCAGGGCGCGATCCTGGAGACTCAGGATCGAATCCCACGTCGGGCTCCCGGTGCATGGAGCCTGCTTCTCCCTCTGCCTGTGTCTCTGCCTCTCTCTCTCTGTGTGTGACTATCATAAATAATTAAAAAAAAAAAAAGATTAAAAAAAAATAATAAAAAAAATAAAAAAAAAAAGAAACACACTTAACCAGGAGTGCACGTAGCCGGGTTCCAGTGAAATTCTTTTTATTTTTTTTTATTTTTAAGATTTTATTTATTTATTCATGAGAATACACAGAGAGGAGAGAGAGAGAGAGAGAGAGAGAGGCAGAGGGAGAAGCAGGCTCCATGCCAGGAGCCCGATGTGGGATTTGATCCCGGGTCTCCAGGACCTCGCCCCGGGCTGTAGGCGGCGCTAAACCGCTGAGCCACCCGGGCTGCCCTCCAGTGAAGTTCTTAAAACTTCCCAAAAGACTTGAAAGTTTGGAAAGTCATCCTTTGCTCTTGACAGACAAACTCAGCATCCTAAAGATGTCAGATCTCCCTGAGTTAATATATAAATGTTAATAATGCGATAATAATGAATGCTTATTAGCGTAAAATCATATAACAGAACTATAAATATATAATAAGAATAATAAAGCCAAAGTTTTTTTTTTTTTTTTGATGCCAAATGCCAGATTCTAAGATCAGGATGAAAAAAATAAGCAAGCCAGACGGGCTAAGCAAGCCCCGCCTGAGACACAACCCCTCGGAGACGCACCTGTGAAAACCGGAAAATCGGGGTAACGCTCTTGCCAAACTGGGGAGCAGGGGAGCTCTTTGTAGCCACGATGGAGAATCCAGAAGCAACGGACGGCGTGGCTCCCAGAACGACGCCCTAATAAACCCGAGGCTTGCAGGGTGGCCATGTCCTGACGGCCGACGACCACCGGCGAACCAGCAGAAACCAGGCGGCAAGCTTTGTCCCGGACCAAAGGGAAAGACGAATGTACGAAGAACTGTTTAAAACATATTATCAGGAAAAAAAAAAAAAAAAAAGCAAAACACGAACAGAGGGTTCACAGAGGAAGGCGCGGGAACAGACGTAGAGGCGCAGCCGCGCGGGAAGCTGAGCGCAAACTGTTTCGGGCACCAACTGTCAGCCCCGGCGGCGCTCAGAGGCCCAAACCCCGATGATGAAGTCTGCCCCCCCCCCCCCGCCCTGAGCCAGTCATCACTTAGGAGCCGCAGGACCCGCCCTGACCCACCCCTTCCTCAGCGCCCAGCCTGGGTGACCGTGTCCCCCACCCCACCCGCACCCCCAGAGCCGGCCTTCTCCCGCCAGCCCTGCAGGGCCCCCAAGCTGCCGCGCTGCCCCCGCAGGGCACAGGGACCCCGGGGGCTGCGCAGGTGGACAGCCAGGCAGCAGCTCCTGCTCGGGAGCTAGGTCGTACCCGAGGGTCACGCTGGACGGCCTCCCCCAGCACGTGTGCTCAGGGCCTGCCGACACCTCCCTTGGGGACCTTTCCCTGTCCGTGGGTGGGACCCCTCACCCGGGTCTCGGGCCGCATGCGGTGCGGGGACCACCGCGGAGCTGGGCGGTGGCCGACCCGGGGCCCTACCGACCCGGCCTTTCCCTACATCGGCCCGACACGGTCAGCGGCCCCTCTCCGCATCCCACAGCGGGACGACGAGCCCCCGTGGCCCAAGGGCTGTGACCCCCGGGAGCTGAAGCTCCTGGCGCCAGGCCCGCCCCGAGGCCCAGCCCCTTCCACCTGCGCCCCGAGGGTATGGAGCCCCACCCACCTGCGCCTGGAGGGTAGAGACCCCCCCATCCACCTCCACCCCACCCCCTCCACCTCGCCCCGATGTAAGCCCCCCCCCCCCCCGCTCCAAGGGTAAATATCCAGACGTTTGCACGGAGCCATTTCCTTACCAGCCCCTTTGTCCACTGTCCCCTTCCTGACCCTGTGGCCAGGCCCTCGGCCACCGCCCCTAAGTGAGCAAAAACCCGGGACACGGAGGCCAACGGCTGGCGGCTCCGTCACCGGCTGCTTCGGTGTTTCCTCCTGTGGTCAGGGCAGTGGCCCAGGCGGCCTCCCGTTCCCCTCGGAACCGCCGTCCGCGAACCAGGGAGCCCCTCGCTGGCCTGGAGCCGTGCGTGGGGGACCGAGCGTGTGGCGCATGAAGCTGGCACCCCCCGGGGGCCCCCCCACAGGTACTCACCCCTGGTGACATGCCGCCCGTGCGGATACAAACGTAAGGTCTTCTGCGCCCTGAGCTCCGCTGCGGTATTTGTCCGGCGTCACGCGGGATGTTCGGGGCCTTTCGGGCTCGGGGTTATGCCCTTGGGCCCCACGCACCTCAGCCAAAACCCAGCAGCTGCTGGCGGTGTCTCAGGTGGAAACGTGCTGGCCCGGCCTCCCGGAGTCACGGCTGCGCGGCCCTCCCCGGCCTCCGCCTCCCCGGGCGCGTCCCCTGCTGCCCACGGGCCCACGGAGCGCCCCCGTCCGCCTGCCCCCATAAAGGGCCGCTCCCGCGGTCCCGCGGCCGCCTGCCCCGGCGTCGTTCTGGGCTGTTCTCAAATAAATCCACGTCTTGCCGGTGGAACAGCGGGTGGAACCCAGGGCAGGTGGTCCTGGGTGGGCGGGCGGTGACCGGGCGGACGGCGGGGACCAGGGCTTCAGCCTTGCTTCTGCCTGGGAGGGGCGGGGCGGGCACCTCGCTGTCCAGGGGCACCGTGCTGGGAGGGCTTGCGGCCCCCGAGGGGACCCCCACATTGTGATGCCCCCAGCGCCCGCCGAGTTCTCGGGGATCCACAGAAGCCATACACGGCCTCGGGGTGCGCCCTCCCCAGTTCCTATGCGGGCATCCGAGCCCCAGATGTGACGCCCTGAGGAAGTGCGGAGGTCACAGGGCGGGGCCCCTGGAGCGGCTGGGCCATCAGGGCGAGGGCGGTGGACAAGGAGGCTGTCCCCCCGCACCCCCCCCGGAGCTCAGCCTCGCCAGACCCCGGCCCTGACGTCCCTGAGGCCTCCCTTCCAGCCTCGAACAAGCCGAGCTGTCCTGTGACCGTAGCGCGAGTCGCCTGGGGCAGGCCTGGAGCCGGGGTCACCCGGGAGGGCCTGGGGACCACAGAAGCCCCCGCGCACCCCGTGTCCCTCCATCGGTGACCTACAACCTCCATCCTGGCGGGCGGGCTGGGGGCGGGAGGCAAGGGGGACAAGGGGGTCTCCCCAACCTGGGAAGGCAGTGCCTGGCTTTCGCCCCCAAGTCAGCGCCAAGGGTTGCCCCCGCTTGTCCCTCCCGCTCCCCCCCCCACCCTCCCACCTGCTCTTTTTCAAGATCCAGAACCGTCTTTGGGGAGAGAAAGGTGTTGCTCCAGCTGACCCCGCAATGCGCGACCTTTGAGGTGGGCATGTTAGGCCGCGACCCCCCACCTGCCACGTGGAAGGAGGGGGAGGGCCCCATCCTCCCTCCATCACCTGAGGCTGTCAGAGCACCCACTTCTGCTTCCTCAGGCCCAGCAGGGGAGCCCAGGGCCTGCATGCGCCCCCCGGGGCTGTCTCCTGCTTCTCAATGGGAGTGTCTGCGGGGACCCCGTGACCCCACGCCCAGCCAGGCCCTCGGGCCCAGCCGGGTGGACGCGTCCCGAGGCCCACGGTGTCATGGGAGAGCCCACAGAGGGGCCCGGCGGGGGGGACGCAGGCCGTGGCGAGGCTGCCAGGGGGGCTGGGAGGTGTGAAGTCTGCGGCGGAGCACGGGGCCCCGAGAAGCACCCCACAGGCGAGCGCTGGAGCTGCTCAGCACTTGGGGAGCGCACCGAGCACGGCTTTCACATTCACAAGCAGCGGCTGTGCCCCCGGGAAGGTGTCTCGGCTGGAGCCCGGCGCCCCGAGCCCTGGGGCCTGCGTGGGCTCCGTCCACAGGGTGTCACGGCCTGAAGGGAGCGTTGGAGCTTCAGCGCGTCTTGCTCTCTGACCCTTAGAGGCGACGGGGAAACGTGTTGTCTAACAGCGTCCCCAGCCCCCGCCGAGGGGTGCTCCCTGGTGCTCCTCCCTCCCTGAGCCCCCGCAGGGGCGGAGGACGGAGGGCGGGAGGTCAGCTGGCACAGTCAGGGTCGGGGGCATCCTGGAGCTTGGGGGCAGGCGCAGGGCTGCGGAGGGGGCGCATCCCGGGAAGGAGGCCGTGCCAGGGGGAGCGGCGGAGCCGTGAGGAGAGGGGTCTGGTGACGATCTGCATCCTGCATCCTCCTCGCTGAGCCCCAGCCCGCAGCCCCAGGGCTCCCAAGTCCAAAGTCAGGGTGTGAGCAGCGAGGCCGGCGGCGGGGGGGGGGTAGGAGCCACCGGGTCCAGGGTGCCCTGGGCCTCACCCCGCGGGCCGTGTGGGGCTCCTCCTGCCGTGGGCTCCTCAGCGGCCCCGCCAGGGCAGGGGGACTAGGACAGGCGGCGGGGCCAGGCCCCCAGAAGGGCAGGCCTGTGAGGAGGGGCTGGGTTCAGGTGTGGGGTGCGCAGGATGAGGGCGGGGGCCCTGGACGGGGTGAGCGACGCGGGGAGTCGTGGGGAGCCCGGGGAGAGGCTGGGCCGCTGGGCCCGGGAGGGAGGGAGGCGGCCACCAGGCAGGGCCTTCCAGCTTCCCCGAGGGAAGCACGAGGGCAGGGCGCCCCCTCGACAGAGCTGGGCCGCTTCCTCTGCGCCCCCCGCCCCCCAACCCTGGTGCAGCCCTGCGGCCCTACACGGGTTGTGGGGTGACCCTTCCTCCCTCGGCAGGAGGAGAGCAGGCTGTGGGCCTTCAGTGCGGCTCCTCCAGGAGCTCAGATAGCGCCCAGACCTCCAGATGGCGGGGGGGGGGTCGTGGAGAGCCCCGGGGGAGAGCCCTGAGAGCCCTCCGACCGTGAGCGTGGGCAGCAGGTGCACACGCGCACACACACGCAGCCCCACGGGCCAGGCCCAGCCCCGGGGGACACAGCTTTATTCCAGGCGCAGCGGAGGGCTGGCCGCCGGGCCTCACAGCGCGCGGGGGCACAGCCCAGTGACCCGGGGTCGCCGACTCACTGACTCACTCACACCTCAGTGCCCCCCGGGCCCTGGTCCCGACCCTCCGGCATCCCGGGGGGCGGGGTCACACGACCCGGGTCATCTCCGCCCCGCCCCCGGAGTGTGCCCAGCAGCCACAGCGAGTCCCGGGGTCCTCCAGCAGGCGGGGACGTGCCCGTCTCCTAGGCGAGGGTGACGCTGAGAGAGTCCTGGGTCCTGTGGGCCTTGGCAACGGGCACCGAGGCCAACAAAGTAGCCTCCTGGAACTCCTTGGCCATGAAGTAGTAGCCGATGGCGTCCAGACAGCAGTTGGCATCCGAGAGCTTGCCCGTGACGTACAGGGCGTAGCAGAGGGCGGGGGTGGGCCGGCCGGCGGCCGCGTAGACGGTCAGCACCACGTGGAAGGGCAGGAAGCAGAGCACGAACACGGCCAGGTTCGCCCAGACCATGCGGGTGGCCCTCCGGGTGGCTTGCGCCTGGTGCGGCCCGGAGGCCGGGCGCTGGGCCAGCGCGGCGACCACCTGCAGCGAGCAGAAGCCCAGCACGGCCAGCGGCGGGTAGAAGCCCAGCAGCGAGAAGAGCGTGGTGCCGGCGCTCTGCCGGGAGGGGTTCCGGAAGCAGAAGCCGCCCTCCTGCACCCCCAGGGCCCAGCGAAGCACCAGCGAGCTGCCCACCAGCACCCAGAGCGCCGCGCACACGGCCACGGCCTGGCGCGGGGAGCGGAGCCCTCGGGCGCACAGCGGGTGCCGCACGGCCACGTAGCGGTCCACGGCGATGGCGGTGATGAGGCCGATGCTCAGGTACCTGTTGGCCAGGTAGATGCCCTGGGACAGCTGGCAGGACACCGTGTCCGTGGTGTCCTTGAGGGAGTGCAGGAAGAAGGGCAGGGCGCACAGCAGGCACAGGTCGGCCGCCGCCAGGTTGACCATGTAGACGCGGGTCTCCGTCCAGGGCCGCATCCGGCAGCAGAGCACCCAGAGCGCCAGGCCGTTGAGCAGCAGCCCCAGCACCAGCAGCGCGCCCGTGTACGTCTTGTCCACGTTCTCCACCCAGGTCAGGTGCGGGCGGGCGCAGGTGCCGTTAGCGCTCATGGCCCTGGCGCCTGCGGGGGAGAAGCGGGAGTGAGGGGGGCTGCGGGGCGGGGGGAGGAGGGAGGGGTGGGGTGGGGGGCGCCGAGGCCACAGGGCTGCCAGCCCCCGGGGGAAGCAGAGCCCCTTCTCCAGAAATCAGGGCGGCTCCTCCTCCCTCCCTCCCTCCCTCCCTCCCTCCCTCCCTCCCTCTCTCGCTCCCCCCCATCCCTTCCTGAGGGCACAGTGGCCAGGATGCCCCGGGCATCACCCTCCCTCCGGGTGCCCGCACCCCAGCCCTGCACCAGGGGTCCCACCCGGAAGGGCCCCTTGGACCCTCCTGGTCAGAGCCTTGTGGGCAGCCCCGCCCCTTCAGGCCCAGGCCCGAGGCTCCAAGCAGGCCCCGCGTGGCAGCGGGCGTCCCCTGCCCCCGCTGCCATCCAGGCCACCTGAGGCCTGAGCCTCCACCCCCGAGCAGACCCCTCACTCCCCTGCACACGCTGCACAAGGGCTGCGACCAGCCCACCGGGGTCAGGGGGACCGGGGCGGGGCTGTGCCACCCAGGGTGTGGCCTGAGGTCTAGGGATTGGGCTCTGGGGTCCCCCCCAGCTGGCCGAGCCTCGGGCTCCCCAGCATAAGGGGGCGTCGGTGTCACACACGCGGGATCGCGAGCACCTGCACGGGGCCCAGTGTGCCCAGCGCCTGGGACGGCGGGGACTTGCCCACCAGGCCCCACCCTGGTTCCTCTGCCTGGGGGGCCAGGGTGGGAGAGGCCTCCTCCCCGCACCAGGCCCCGGGGCTCCCGCCGACCTTGGGAGCCGCTTGGAAGGGGGGTTGCGGGCGAGGCCTCCCCCCTGCCTCCTCCCCACACAGGAAAGGAAGAAGCGTCTGGAAGCATCAGGTTCATGGGCGCGGGGGCCCACTTCCTGGGCCGCAGTCCCCGGGGCTCTCCGGGCGGCAGCCCAGCAGCCCATTAGCGCAGCAGAGCAGATTTCAGCCGGAAACACCAATATTCCGCCCAATTATCCCATTTCAGCTCTTGGGAACCGCACGTGACCTCCCGCCGCCCCCCAGCTCCAGGCCGCTGAGGACGCTCCCTCTTTTTTTTTTTTTTTTTTTTTTAAGGATTCTGCTTCTCTATCTGTTGTGCGACACCCAGGTTCTGGGGCTCCACAGACCCCCCCAGAGCCCAGGGGGCCCGACCCAGAGACCCTCCCGCCGTGCCCGCCCCCCCGCAGCCCCCCCAGGGGCACACCGGCCCTGCCGGGTGGGCGAGCTGCCCCAGGACGCTCGGGCCCTGCTGGGGACGTCCCGCGATCGCGCAGTCGCCGTGCCGGGCGCTGGGGGGGTCCTTCGGCTGCGGGCCCTGCTGCCCTCCCGAGCTGGGTCGGGGACGGGCCCCCGCACGAGGACCCGTGTCCAGGGCAGGTGCCCCCGCTGGGCTCCCGCTCAGACGTGCGGGTCCCTCACCTCCCCTTGGCTGGGCGCCACGGCCCCACGGCGGGGGCCCGGAGTTTCCTGCTGGGGGGGCTGGGGGGGGCTGGCACCCCGAGCTTCCACTTCCTTCCTGACGGTGAGATCCGTCTGCTCCCCACGGAGTGGCAAGACGCCCTCTTCCCGCCCTAGACCGAGTCCCTGGACAGTGACCCCAAAGGAGCCTGCGGTGGCATCTGGGCAGCTGGCACACGCCACAGCCCCCCCGCCACCCCCTCCCCGGGGCCCGGAGCGCAGCGGGGTGTGCCCGGATGTCTGGGTGCTGCAGGGGCCCCTGGGGCCGGGCACCCGCCCTGAAGTACCCAGGCTGCAGGAGGATGGCCGCGGGACACGCAAGCGTCACGTGACACGGGCCTGTAGCTGTTTTCTACTTTCTCCAAACCTGGTCACAGCTCCCAGGGGGAGGCGGGAGTCCTGATCTCGGGGTACCCCGAGTTACCCTGCATTCGTTGCCCATGCCGGATGCACCCCCTCATCAGGAGGCTCCCCTGAGGTTCCAAACCCGCTCACACTCACCCCCTCTGAGCTCCCGTCACCCCACCCCGAGCCCTCCTCACTCCACCCCGAGCCCCCGACCCCCACCCTGACCCCCTGACCCCACCCCCCAAGCCCCCGACCTACCGCCTCTGACCCCCCACCCACCCGAGCCCGACCTCACCCCTCTGACCCCCTTCACCCACCCCTGAGCCCCTGACCCTCACCCCCTCTGAGCCCCCCTCACCCCACCCCGAGCCCCCGACCCTCACCCCCTCTGAGCCCCCTTCACCCCACCCCCTGAGCCCCCTGACCCTCACCCCCTCTGAGCCCCCCCCAGCACCCCCACCCCCGGCTCCAGGGTTGGTACCGACCAATGGTAGCCCCAGTTCTGCAGCTGAGCTCTCGCCCAGGGCAGCGCTGCTGTCTGGGTTGGGAACATGGGGCGCCCTGCACGACTGCACCCCTGAGGCAGCAGGCCGGCTGACAAGAGCAGAGGGGGTGCTGGGGCTGCCGCCGGGGCAGCTCAGGGCTGCCTGGGGGAGCTTCTGAGAAAGGAAGTGGGGGCCAGCACGGCCTTCCTGCCCACAGAGCTGGCACGCTCGGTGAGACGGAGTCTTCTAGAAACAGCCCAGGGCAGCAAGGCCACACTGCCCCCAGACAGAGAGGGGCCTCCCCAAGGCTGGGCCCCCAGCGGCCGTGCGGTGGTGTCCCCTGCGTCCGGGGCCAGCATCCGGCGGGAAGGCCACAGGCGCCCCTGACCGGTGACCGCGGGGCAGAGACCGCAGAGGCCAGCCTCGCAGGGCCACGCAGGTGACTTCCGCGGCGCACCGCCTCCCTCCCTGCCACCGGCTGCCCCTCCTTGGAAGGGAACCCCCGGCTCCTCCGGGCCACTGGCCCTTCGCCGGCTTAGCGCCCGCACCGTGGGGGCAGGGACCCCGAGTCCCGCGTGCGCCCCACAGGGCCCCCCAGCTTCTCTCCCTGCTCGAGCGCGCCCACCCCTGCCCGTTCACCGAGACCCAGAGCAGGGTGGCCGGGCGGCGCCCAGAGGCCCGGCGGGGGGGGGTCTGGAGGCCGCCCCCCAGCTCCCTGTCCCCCCTCCCCCCATGCTGCCAGCAGCCCACGGTCTGGCTTTCTGGACGGATCTGCCAGGCGTTGGGGCGGTTCTCTGTGCCCTTGGTTCCTGCTCGGGGCTGGGACCCCTGCTTTCAGCCGCGGGGGCTGGCGCAGAGTGGGGCCACGGACCAAGCTGGTTCCTGGCTCCCGGGGCTCCCCGCGGCAGGGCGGCATCGGCCGGGGCGCCCCCGGATCCCAGAGCGGCCGCTCTCCCCCACCTGCACCCCACCCACCCGCGCCGGCCCCTGGCTCCCCGCCTGCCTCGCACCTGCAGAGCCCACGTGGCAGCCCGCGTGCGGAGGCCGCTCCGGCGCTGCCCCGGGTCCTGCCCTGCAGGCCGAAGGGACACTCGCAGCATCCGTGCTGCTGCGCCTTCTAGGGAAGTGAGCGGGGGAGGCTGAGTCACCCGCCGGCAGGACCTGGACGGGGCCCAGGGGCGGGCCCAGGAAGCGCTGCAGACTCCGGGGGCCTCCCTGCCACCCCCCGCGGGACCAGGCCCCCCCCGCCCCGCCCAAGGAGGAAGCCGAGTGCCCAGGAGGAGGGCGGGGGCCCTGGGGACGCGGGCCGGCACCCACCCACCACAGGGGACCCCGGCGGACACCCTCCGCTCTGAGCCCCCTCTACTCCCCGGCCTGCCTCCTCTCTGCAGCCCCCCCGGCCCGCGCCCCATGCGGACGCTGCCAGCCGCCAAGGTGTCTCGTCAGAGGCCGGCCTCAGCTGCCCCCACGCCCCCCCAGGCCCCGCCAGCTGGGCCTGCCCCCCCAGCCCTGACCCCAGGCCCCCTGGCCCCGCCCCCCAGGCCTGCTACCCCTCCCTGCCCCCTAGGCACCCCCAGCCCTACCCCCAGGCCCCTCCAGGCCCCCCCAGCCCTGCCCCCCAGTTCCCCCAGCTCTGCTACCCCTCCCCAACCCCCAGAATCCCCTGGCCCTGCCCCCCCGCCCCCCAGGCCTGCTACCCCTCCCCACCCCCAGGCTCCCCCAGCCCAGCCCCAGGACCCTGTGGACTGGACCAGAGAGGCCCCAGAACCTGGAACCCGTGGGTTGCAAGTCAGGGCCGCCTGCACCCTTGAGAAGGGAGGACCCAAGCCACCGCCGCTGCCACTGGGACACTTTCTGTTCCCCTCTTCCCAGAAACCGGGTGGGTGAAGGAGATTCCTCCCCTCAGGTGGAAGGGCTGGCCAAGAGCCAGGTGAGGGTGCCACTGCGGGGGCGGGGCTCCCACCGGCATCACCCCGCGCCCCCCCTGCCCGCTGCTGCCACACCAGCTGCCGCTCGCTCTCGCCCCCTAGCCACTCGGTGGCCCAGGAGAATGAGGCCCCCCACGTGGAAAGGCTCTGGAGCCCCGCTCCAAACCTGAGCCCCGCGGCCCCACCCTAGTCGCCCCGGCACTGCCCCGTCAGGAGGGCTGCTTCCATCCCGCTGTCCCCGGGCCCTGGGGGCTCCCCTCGGCGTTCAGCCCCAGCCTCCACTCCCCAGAGCGAGGGGACAGTGACACCTTCCTGGCCACGCTGCCCCTTGGCCCTCTCCCGTCTGGCATCGACCCTGTATCCCGGGAAATGGGGTGCAGGGAAGGCCGAGAATGGGCCCCCCCGAGCCCAAGCCCTCGGCCCGGCCCGTGGGGGGCAGCCCCTGACGTGGCGCTGGACGATGGCTGCCTGTTTCCAGAAACTGGCTCAGAAACTGGTCTAGGAAAAAAAAAATAAAAATAAATAAAAATTAAAAAAAAAAAAAAAAGAAACTGGTCTAGGGTGGCAGGAAGAAGCCGCGGTCCCCTGGTCAGACGGGTAGTGCCCTGACATGCTGACACACCCTGGCCAGGGACCTCTCGTGCCATCTGCCGCCAGCCAGCCCATGCCAGGCCCGACGGGCAGGGGCCCCGTGTCGGGGACAAGCCCTCGGGAGCCCTGCAGCCCTGCAGCCCCGGCCCGGCCCCCAGCGTCCCCGGTAAATCC